GACTTTTAACACCAATTTTTATTTTTTACGCAGTACTGAGGAATCACCAATGGATGAAACAAATGAATTGGAAAAAATCGACACACAACCCAAATCAAGACCAAAAAGAAATACGGTTGATGTAGTAGAAAAATTACCAGAAAACAGGATGTGCGTTGGACGTAATAGAGAAGCCATTGTATGTCCCAAGATCGAGGTCAAGGTTGAGTTATGACTTATAATTAAAAATGCCATCCCAATATTTTCAATTTCAATATTTTGAAATTTATTTAGTAAATACTATTTGCTAATTAAGTTATGTACATATACAATTAATTCCCAGAAATAAATATAAACACAACACAAACCTAATTAATTTAGAATTACTAAATTTTCTAAATTCTACTCGAAAATTTTAATTTTACTTTTTTAAGTGTAAGAAGGGATAAAATCTGTATTACACTTTTATTTATCAAGACCTAATGGTCAATATTCAATACATAAAATGTCCCAAACTTTTAATAAAATAGCAAATCTATGTGATTATTAATAATTCTAGTCTAAGCAGTATATTACAATGTTTTTAATCATATCTTTTTATATAAACATATTTTGCGTACACTTTATTTTATTTTATTTATTTACAACCTGAAACCCGCGGATTAGCCCTTGTGTTTCGAAGGAAGAATAATGGTAATTTTAACTTTAAAATTAAAATTAATTTATTCCATCTAGCTATATCTCTATCTCTCCAGTTCATAAACTATAAATGAAAAAATTCCCAGATTCTGGAAATTTGACAACACTTTCAAATTTAGCAACACAGCTACATAATGAAAGATGATATGCTGAAGATATCCAGAAGATTTTTAAAAAATTCCTAGATTCAAGAAATTTTTGGAAATTTGTCACCATCGCAAAAAAGCCCAGTGTACATTTTGCAACGCCGCAATAACATTTGGAACAATAACACTTTATAATACGTATATGGGTCATTATAATGGTATATATACCATTAATTAATTAAGCCTAAGGCTCTCTGCCATTTGTCAGTTGCCCCTAACATTTCTTATTAAAAAAAATATAAAAAAATTCAATTAAATATAAAAATATTTTTAATGTCTTAATTAAGGTTGGTAAAGGTAAAGTTATCATCACACTATATAAATTGCAATAGTGAAAACTTGGATATATATTTCAGGTTTTGTATGAAACAGAATTCTAAAACCAAAAATAAAATAATAAATAAGTAGCTCCTCAGTACTAATAAAGAATGTGATAAAATGTCTGTGGATAATTAAGTATGATCAAATGTTGGCCTTATATTTAATGTCTACTTCGTCACAAACCTCCTCAATAAAAACAGCTTTGTTATAAACTAAAATGTAGTTTAGCATTAAATATAAAAGAACTCTGTAACCCATGTAGTTTATAAATGTGGCACGAGATGGCGCCGCTGCAGGCAATGGTATCTCTATTGTTATTTTGCGCGTTACAAACAAGACGCGTCTATTTTGGAAGGTTATCTTTCGTCGCGGCATTTAAAAAAAAAGTAGAAACCACGAATATATGAACGTGACTCATCCGACACATTCGTACGAAGCAATCTATCGAAAGTCACGGTCCAGTGCAGTCCCGTTTGTAAAAAATCTTGAGTGTAATGTTGGTTGCTATACTTATGATATATTTGCTTTTAAAGTTAAATAATTAACATCTAACATAATTAACATCTACGATAATTAAATAAAATGTAATTTTCTTAGAAACTAATTAATAAATAAACTTTTCTTTTAACTTTAATGAAATATTCTATCATCTGATGACAGAACGTACACTCGTGGCGACATCTCCGATTTTAATATCTAACAAATTTTTAGACCGATCCAACCTCACTTTCTTCCAATTAAATTCTTTGTCTATGGTATTTTTTGGAAACGTAGAAAAAGTATAGTTTGGAATTGCATATTCCCCTCTCGTGAAACCGTCAAACTTGTTACAGAATATACCTACTATTCTTTTAACTGTAAACGCAAATATTTCAGAATTGGTGACAAAAAACAAAAATGTTTACGCAGGTCAGGTACAAAGTGAAAGATATTTAAATTGTGTGGATATAAAAACAACTTGCGTTAGTTTCACGAAATTTATTAAATATTGACAATTGTTTCGCTACACAGTAGCTTCTTCAGAATGTATTAAACTAATACTAGTACAAAATTTATATAATAAAAATATTTTTGTAATCTAGCCTAGAATGTCTGAGATATGTTCGGCACCCGATGAGTCACGTTCATATATTGGTGGTTTCTACTGTACTCGGTATTTGCAGTTTTTAATTTTCTTTTTCATGTAAAGTAAACTAATTTCTTTCTTTTTAATTATTGCAATGTTTTATGTGCATTTATTGTATCACTTGGAAAATAAATTTTTTTATTGTGAAAAATGTCTCCTTCATCTCTTTTGTCACTATTGCCACGACATTAAAAATAAGAGACTCTTTAAGCGAAACTTTATGTAGTCACAATGGATATGAAAATGTGAAAATTATTTTTAGAGGTGGTTGTTGTTAAAAAGTATAATGACCCAGATAAGTATTACAAAAAACTTGATGTAAAAACAGTATACGCTAAACAATACAAATTAAGTTCTATAGGTTCGATTAGTTGTAGGAGTAAGCATAGAAAATATTTAATTATTTTTTTTTAAATTTGGTACTACTTTGTTGTCTGTCAGTCAATGTTTTCAGAGGCCAGTAAAAGGGTAAGATTTTATATAAGGAACCCAATACTTTTATATCCACAGACCATCTGTGGTCTGTGTTTATACCGGTTGAAATTTTATTTTTTTAATTAAATCGAATAGTATGTAGCCTGGTTTTCATCGGCGAAAGCTTATTAAGTGCACACAATCTACTGCCTTGGCTATCGCCTCGGCAGTGAAATCAATGCTCGGTGATAGTATGTGCTTTCTACGCCTGGTCTGTAATGTATTATTATGTATGGGTACTATTAAATATTTGTTTTTTTATCAATTTTAATATTGTTTTTTAAATGTGAAAAACTGTTTGGCAATAAAATTATTATTCTTATTACACAGTAAGACAAAATTTGATTTTCTTCCCTCCTATGAAAAATTCCTATAGATTTTGAAAATAGACTTAAAAAAATAATCACGTCATTTTTTTTGCGATCCAATAAAATGTTATTCACTGCATTCGGGACATAATATAACATCTTAGATAACAGCTAGTTTATAAAAAAATAGACACTAAATAAATGGACAGCCGTTAAATTTTGACAAATGCGCGTCAATTAAAAATAGCCTATAATTTTTTTGCTATTAGGTTTGCGGAAATAGAGGGTGAAATTTTCGGAATCATTTTTTAAGATTTCATGTCAATTCTTTAACATTTTTTACCCAAGAAAACCCAGGGCAAATTATTCTAACTTGAAACGTTAATAACTTTTTTATTTTTTATGTAACTCCCTATATGTTTTTACATAATCAAATTTAAAATTTGAAAATTCCACCCCATTTCCGCAAGCAAAAAAGCTAATAGTAAAAAAGTTGTAGGCTATTTTTGATAACAAAATATTAATTACTCGAACTGTTCAGTGTTCCATTTGAAATAATAAAGTTGATGTCACTTCCGGTTAAACCGGACATGGCATTTTGTTAAAAATATTTTAGAAAAATAGACTTAAATGGATTATAAACGCTTTTAATTTCAAATCGATATCTTTTTCCGTTCCCCAGAAACTTCCAATGGACCACTAATGTGAAACACCCTGTATTAAGTGGGTTTTTTTATGTTGTGATACCAATATAGATTTTAAAACAATGTATAATGGTCAAACTAGTAGACCAAGATTTGTTTCCAACATATGGTGGATTTATGCAGCACAAATTAACATTAAGATTAACTTTAACATTAAGATTAAGATTAATTTAACATTAATAGGAGGGTATTTATGCAGCAAAATTAGTAGCAAATTAAGCATGCGTATAAGTTAAAGTAATTTTGACATCTGACAATTTTGGTTTGTTTGAATTTTGTTTTAATCCCGTTTTAGCATCTGTTAAGTAAAATAAATGAAAACTATAATCTCCACGTCAAACAATAAACCAAAGAACACAATCATTGAATAAAAAATAAATCATTCAGCAGTATCTAAGTCTCATTTTATTTTCGGGTATGTTGGCATTACTGACACGGTTTATTTAAAAATTGCGCCGCAAACCTGCGCAGGAGGAATAAAAATTAACATTATCATTAAGAAGATAAAAGTTGGCCATATCTTAATGTTAACTTAATGCTAAAGTTAATGTTAATGTGTTGCATAAAAGCTTCCAATGGATTACGTTCATTTAACTTCTTAATGTTAATGTTAATCTTAATCTTAATGTTAACTTAATGTTAATTTGTGCTGCATAAATCCAGCAATAATATATTATATTGAATATAAGATAAATACAAATTTGTTTTTATAGAAAAAAATTAAAATCTTAAATTATTTTTTAAGTATAATTTTACTACTATGTAAAAACATCCAATATTTGAAGAAACAATTGATTTATAACAAAATAGGGAATTAAAAATCTGTATAGGTTAAAATAGAATAGAAGGGCCCTATACAAAATTTAAATGGCGTGATTTCGTAAAACGGTACAGGTACGTTTTTTAACCTTTATTTTTAAAATCTGTTAAAAAAATTGTTTTCCGGTCCGCTCAAAATTACTTGTGTCCTGTTGGTATGTTTTATAACTAAAACAATAATAATGTAACTAGATAAAACCAAATACTGTTTTTTGAGTTTCACGAATTTATTTTAATTTAATTTTGACAATTGCTTCACTAACACAGTAGCTTCTTTAGAAATGATTTCATAATGACACAGTGTATGTTTTAATCTAGTTATACATTATAATGTCACTATAGTGACATGGATTTTCATCAGGTAAAGGCCGAAACAATAAAATAAAACAATAATTTTTAAATATCCCGAAATCCAAATCCTTACCTTCAAGCATGGACAACATCATCGTTATCATGTCCTTCTGCAAGTTGAGTAAATCCTTTAGCAAATCCACTTGGCTCGAGTGTTTGGAAAGCTTATCCTGCATGTGCGAGAACAAGAACATGAAACCTCCGACGGCATCCCACAACCTGGAATGCGCCAACGCCTGCTGATTCAAAGTGCACGGGCCCTGGATTACTTCGGTGAGCGTGTTGAAAACTTGACTTGCCACGCCGATGGCCTTAAAGAAATTAGCTTTGCCGGCCGGATCGATCAGTTCCTTGCTCGAATAGTGCCAGTAGAAGTCCATTATGGACTCCTGAAGTCTTAGCAGGTAATCAACGGTGCAGATTACCACGTTCACTGTTGTGGTGTTACCGGCCTGGGTTCGTAGGTAATTTTGCCACTCTGAAATGGAAATTATGTTAAGACGAAATTGATAGCATTATGGATTTATATGATTCAGTATTAGTCCAGTCATTTGACCTTGCAATGTCTGTTTTTTTTTCATGATTGATAGGGGCTTATTTAAAAAGCATTAAAGCAAATTTTTCACCACCTGGCAAAATACATTTTTTTAATTTTTAGTGAATATCTTGGCCCCTGTATACTGCACAATAAAAAGTAAAAAATCAAATTATTTTTTATAAAATTACCTGTGTTTTTTATTCATAGAAATAACTATAAAAATGTAGTTGTAAACTGTGCATTTTACGGTAAATTATTATGATAAACATTTTGTAGCCCTATGAAGTTTATAAAATATAAAAAATTACATTTGATGCGACTAACGAGAGGCGACCAATCCACGAGCTTTTGAACATATTTTCCCGTCTTTGCAAACTACAAAATATTTTAAACCTGCTATTTAAAAGCTGCTTGCTGCGACCGTCCCTCCTGGATTGCGTTCGAAATTATTGGTTTGCTTGTTATTTGACTGAATACATATAAATATTAAATTATTGTAAACAACCCTTTAGTTATATGCTTTATTAAAGTTATTGTGATAATTTGTTTTTTTTTTTTAATAATTTATTCTAAATAATTTTACTGTTTTTTGTTTTTTTTATTGAATTTTAGACAGATATTAATAAGATATATTATATGAAGGTAAATAACGGCTCTCCCAAGTCGCACCGAGCTCTATTTGTTTTGAAATTGTGGAATAATTAAAGAGGTACAAAATGTTAATTAGGTATATTAATTTATCATAAAATATACCGTTTGCGAAATATTTGCAAAAAAGTAAAAAAACAATAGATAAAAACATTTTTTTCATTTTAACTATATTAGTTCAGATACAAATTATTGGAAATTTTGTAAAAAATAATTTTGCTATTTTACATTAAAATGTACAATTATTTTCGCTAAAAACTAAAAAATGTTCTTTTGCTTATATTTTTGTAAAAAAAAATCGTCACTGGTACAAATTTGGTTTTATGCTTTTCAAATAAGTCCCTATTGATTTATGAAAAAAACAGACAGTGGCTCGCCATGCAAAGTCAGGCAATTTTTTACCACGGTTTGACTATATATTTTATAACTTTTTATTAATAAAATAAAAAAAAGTATTATGTGAAAGGCATAAAAATGGGATCCTACAATATTTAAGATTAATTTACCTAAGTTGTGGCCTTCACAAGTCAGCTGTATAAACCTGAATAGAGCACATGTAAACTCTGCATCGTGCATATTTTTTTCGCCGGCAGCGCCTAAAAAATTAACACAGAAAAAAATAAACTTCACTTCTTTCTAAGATATGGATACTTGTTTCAAACCAACCGTGTAACCCGTGATGTGAACTTACCACCTGAAAATGAATTGAAAAGAAACAGATAATTTTGCCAATTATTACTTATATAAAGATAAGTTTGAAAGATTGTTTGAAAAATTACAATATTTTGTGTATTTCGTGAAATGATGCTAGTTTTTTCATTTGCTGCGGAAAGGTGGGGTAATGAGGGGGCCATGCAAATATCTGTCATATTTAATGTTGTTTAGGAGGTAAACTGGTGCGTAAGTAAAACTATAGGCTGTGCTTAAAATATAGGATATAAGTGCATAAAATAAACCCACATAACACAATATTTTTTAAAAATGTTGTCAGGCCGTTTGGGGAACAATATTTATAAATGAAAGTTTGATGAAATGTTGTACGAACATTTAGGGAAATATATTTAGCGTAAATATTTCTGAAACATTCATAAATATCACGTAAACATTTATTTTGGAATTTTATGTATATATTATTTCCTAAATATTGTTAATTTATAAACTTTTTGAAAACTTCATTAAAAGTAACATTTTATCAACATTTACAGCAATATTTTTAAAAATAAGTACGCAATGAACTGTAAATATTTTGAAATTTTTTTAGATATTTTTGTGATGTTGAGGAAACATTAATAAAATATAAGGTAATGTATTTAAAATATTTAAAAAAAATATTGTGAAAAAATAATGTATAAATATAAAAATTGGGACATCTAAATGTTGTAAAAACATTTTAGAGGTACTTATTAATGACTAATATTTATGAATATTTAGATTATTTAGCAAAAATATTCATTTAATATTTTTTTGTGTTATGTGGGAAGCTTTTAATATTTTATTTGAGCTGCTACAGAATAGAAAAGAGTTGGCTAAAAGGTCTTTCCACTAAAAACAATTAAATACTTCAATCTACTCAAGTAAATCTACTAAACTACTGAAAAATAAAACGGTATGAATAAAATACTGTAATATTTCTGTCTTCTTGAATTTGCCTAAACATGGATTCCAATTTCTTTTCAATTGAACAAGTATAGTTGTAACTCCCACCTTCCTCAATGATGAATGAAAAAATGCTCGAAAAATATATTTCAAGCACATATTTAAAGATGAAAATATTGTAACTTTTTGTTAGTATTCCTACAAAACCAAAAAAAAATCCATACAAACCTTCGGAGCCGACTCCCAAACCCTCAGCCTTGGTGTTACGTTCAAAAGCGTCCAAGTCCAAGACGCTACAACTGTTCATTAGTCCGGCAATACTGGTGAAGAAGCCCACGTCTTTTTTCTCTTTAAGGTGGTTCAGCATGCCCATTTGAATGTCGAAATTGCCACCTCTTAGAACGGAAATACCCAACTCGAGAGTTTTCATCACCATGTCTGATGGAACACCTTTGCAAGCTGATATGTGGAGCAGAACCATCTCGGCAACACCGCGATTTGCCAGGCGGGCTTGATTAAAGAGGAGCTTTTGTTTCTCCATTTCTTGTTCCTAAATGTGTTTTAGTGTTATACTGGGTGTTACCAAAGCACCAGGAGAAAAATAAGAAGCATATTCTACAATAGAAATAAGACAAAATGTTCCTTTTGATATAAATATTTGTGCTACATAACTTACATTTCTTATATATTATATAGATAATATGCTCCTGAACTCACTCCAAGCACTTAGTATAGGTAAATTAGAAGTATTCAAAGCAGGGTTGGTTGACTTGGCCCAAGTGGACATAATTGGACAATTTTGTCCAATTATATCCGTCCGGACAAAATCAATTCTGGACCAAATTGGACAAAATCAATTAAACACAAGTAAAATTCAAAAAAACCCTATTATAATTATATTAGGGTGTCAAAAACAACTTAAACATTTTGGTGCTTTAATTTAACATTAGAAAATAAGGAAACAATATAAAATAAAATACATTAAACTTTTAACCAAAACCCTACCTAGTTTAGAGTTTAAAGTACATTTACATAACAAACAACATACATTAAGTTTTAAAAAAACAGAGAGACCCAAGACTACAGCACAAGCAAAAGGCAGATTTTCTCTGCTCTGTCTCTGTACAAGTTTTTAAACGGTTAATAATTATTATAATAATAAGAATAAGAATAATAAGTGATAAGAGACTTGAAACCTTTCTACATTTTTGTTTTTTAATACCTTGATTCTTGAGTTACAATAAAATAAATGAAACAAATATATTATAATATATTTTATTTCCAATTTCCACCTTAGTAAATGACATTTTATAGATTAATTTTGTTGTTTTTGTACTTGGGTATACATTATGGGAACATACCTGTAAAGTTTAACAGGCTTAATAGTTATTTATGTATTAAGGACATAATAAGGTTTTTAAGGTCCGAGGCGCTATTTCGAACCCGAGCGCGTTAGCGCGAGGGATAGAAAAGCGTCGTAGGACCATAAAAACCAGTTATGCCAGCAATGCATACAAAACTTTATGCACGATTAATATATTATTATTTTTAATATATTATTGTTTTTAAAGACGTTTACGTCAAAGAATTTTTGTTATAATTGTCATATTATAATGTCAACTGATATCATTCAGTTTTAAAGTTTAAAGATGAATGAAATTGAGGAAGCAGCTGAAAAGGCGAAAAATTGCGGCCTGCTGCCGGAAAAATCAAAATCTTTATACGAAAAAACTTACTTCGAATATATCACATTGGTGTAACATTGTTGTTTTTAATTTTTGACGTTTCATTATAGCCCGCTGGGTCATAATAACGCCCGCGGGCTATAAAAATACGTTTACGTCAAAGAATTTTTGTTATAATTGTCATATTATAATGTCATCGTGCATAAAAACAATTTATAAAATGACACATTTGACACATTAATTGAAATTTTAAATTTGAAAATCGTTATCTAAAGGTGAAAATAAAAGTTTGTACGTATCACACTTTGCAATTAATTTGTACTAGGATCACTGGATTATGGGGTTCGCTCCTGCGTCGCCCACCCCAAAGATAATAATAATAATGGGGTGAACTGTGTAATAGTATATATAATTATTATAGTATTATAGATAATAAAAAATAAAATGCAGTGGCAGTGCCATTGTGGCAGCAGCAAAATGTTTAATAACAAAATAATAAATCATTAATGATTGTAGATGTAAATTGAATTATTAATCAAAATTATCAATAAAATTTGATGTTGTCTAATATTGTCCGTTTTTGTCCAATTTTGACCTCGTCATGGACGAAATAAAAAAAAGTGGACAAAAACACAACCCTGATACAAAGTAACATAATCTTTAAAATTTCGATAGAATCTTACCATTCCTTTAGTCATTGTCCTCTTAAGTTATAAGCAAAATAAAATTGGTTATAGACTTTGCCATTTGGACAATACGCTGTCACATTATGATATATAATCTTTACTTACGTGAATTGAAGACGCTCCTTCTTCGCCTTCGCCGCCACCTTCCTCCTCTTCCCCTTCTTCCTCTTCTTCGCCGCAAGATTTTGCAATAATTTCAGCGTAGCTCATATACAAAGGATCTTCTTGTAAAGCGCCCGACCTCTCAGTCATCGCACCTCTACAGAAAACTGTAACCAGTTGCGTGAGCGGATCAGGTTTACCTTCTTCTTCGTCTTCATCTTTTTTCTTTAGCTCCGAATCCTCGAAACTTTGCGTGAGATCTTCGATCATCACTTCTTGGCCGATGTTTTCGTCTTGAAGCCATAGGTCTCGATATGTGCGGATGAAGATGTTGATGGCACGGTGCCTAGATCAAGCAAGAATATGTTGTTCATGACACGCGCAGCGAAAATTCGAATTCCGCTGCCTTTTGAGCGGGTTTCTGAGGAAAGCAGAGGACTTTTTTCTCGTCATCTCTCAAGAGGCAGCGACAGTTAAAACTTCATTGCGCATGTCATCAAAACAGTGTACATATCTTGTGGCGAAAGGCAGCGATTTCCAAATAGCGTGTTGCTAAACTTTATAGACCTTTCGCCACTCGATATACAGGGTGTTTTACATTCGTGGTTAGAAGTTTCTGGGGAAAGGAAAAGATATCGATTTAAAAGCCTAAAATATATTGAACAAAATGCCACTTCGGGTTTAACCTTTGTTATTTCAAATGTATTTTTACATTTTTAAATTCTACACAAAATTCTGATTAAAATTACTATACCATGTTCTATACCTAAAGTGAATAGTTTTCGAGTTTATTATTTTGTTCGTTAAAACTTGGGAAATGTCCGTCAATCAAAAGTAGCCTATAACTTTTTTAGGTTTTAGGTTTACGAATATTTCCTATGCTAAAAGTATTTTTTTTAGTTAGCCTAATTTGCCCTGGGTTTTCTCAGGTAGTTTGTTAAAAATTTTAAAGAATTGACATGGAATCTTTTAGGATCCAAAAATTCCACCGCCATATCCGCAAACCCAATAAAAAAAAGTTATAGGCTATTTATTATATAAAATGTCTTTTTCTTATATCCTTCCTAGCTACGTTAATGGCTTGCCACTTAATTTACGGTGTAATATGTTGAAATGGTCACAGCGCTTTTTTAAAACCAAAGTTTTTGATATTCTATTTATGGAGCAGCAATGACACTCTTAATATTTATTTAATGTCTATTTGGGTTTATTTTTTAGATATTGTAAACTTAGTATTTCTACTTAGCATAATTGTTATTGTAGCCGGTATAGCTGGCATTTTTTGGTTGAATGTAAGAATGAATTGGTACATTTTTAATGTTTATATTCAAATTCCGCCATTTGAAATAGTGTATTTCCCACAGACCTGTGGTATTTCCTCATTTCAATAAAGACGTTTATTATTATTATTTATGATTGACGCGCATTTGTCAAATTTTAAAGAAAAAAAATAATTAATTAAAATAACAAAGTTAATGTCACTTTCGTTTTAAACTTTCAAATCGATATATATTTTCGTTTCCCAGAAACTTCTAATGGACCACGAATGTGAAACACCCTGTATAATGTACTGCTAATTTCTATTAATGGTTAGTTAGGGTTTTAAAATTTCGGAAAAAATATAGCAGGCAAAAAATGTGAAATTTTCAAGAAAGTTGACTTTTGCATTTTCTTCACTTTATTTAAAGGGTTATACGAAAAAAATGCAAAAGTCAATTTTTATTACAAATTATTACGGATATCATCCGTAGACTAATATCGAGAAAATTTTAAATTCATCAGAGGATGACAGTGAAGACGAATAACATCTGTCTTTTCCAATAAAAAATATTTTTTTTCCGTATCTTTTCCGACACTTTAAAACTCTATGGTTAGTAGAAAAACCAACCTGCTAAGTTTGTACAATGGCGTCATTCTTAGACAAGCCAAAGCAGCCCTTTTTCTAGCAGCACCAAGAACTCTTTTCCAACCGTCTCTGTTACTTTTTGGTTTGGAAGCCTGTTAGTACACACAAAAATTACAACACCAAAAAACCTTGTTGTTATTCGTTAAAAAATTTACGCCAAGCATAAAAGGAACACAATAAATAATAACGCCAAAACAAACCTTGGTAAACTGTGCAAAGAAGCTTGACGGAAACAAGACAAAACCGCTCTTTTACGTTGCGTAGATACGACACTTCGGTATACACCTTTTTGTTGCTGCTGGGGGTGGTCGATCTGATAACGCAAATGAAAAAGTATATACCAAATAATAAAAATAATACAAAACATATACCCTGTAATTACAGCAAAAGCGCAATATTTATTAAAAATAAAACACTTACCATGTGCAATCCATACAAGACTTTACTCATGGCCACAATACGGTCCACAGTTTCCTCCAATTGATTTTTACCGTTACCGTCTACAGCGCCAATGGAAACGCTCTTTTTGCTACCCAGTTGACTGTACAAGTAGTGCTGCCACGACATTTCATCTGCCGGATCGATTTTGTCTGGCAAAGTTAGTTGGGTCTTGGCGAAATCTATGATGTCATACTCGGGAAGTTTCTTCAAGAAACGATCCTTGCAGTGTTGAACCAACTCTTGTTCTCTTCCGGCGAATAGATTTAGACCCACAGGTAGCAAACGTTTCAAGCATGCTACCATGAGAGAGGCTTGAATTTCCTTGTCCTTGTCGCGCTTTTTATCGCGATTTTTCTTCTTTTTCTGTTAAATACAGGGTGTCACCATATAAGTTATCATCTTTTAAGGGGATGATAGTACACGCCAAAATAAGAAAGTTTTTCCCCTATTATTTTTGCATTAGTGCCATTTTTATTAATAAAAAAATCATAAAAATGTTTGTAAGTAAAGTTGAAATTTTGGGCCGCCTATAACAACTGACGCAAAATATGCTTGCACATTCATTAAAAATTTACATTTGTATTATCATTTGATAATTGATAATTGTTTTTCGTTTTGCATACTCAGCTATTTGTAGGTACTTTGAATAAAACAATACTTTCTTTTTATTGTTAGGTATCTCGAGGTTTCCGTGGTTTTCCCGTCTATTTTAAATTTTACCTTTTACTTTTTACGTCGATTAATGCTCATGTAGCTATTTTTTTAAGTGTTCCACAAAATCTTAATAAATGTTCAACTATCCCGCCGTTATTATCCACACAAAGTTGACAGTGGCCTAGAAAATGATGATGTGTCGCTCTTGCTATAATATCCGGATGATTTCAGATTTCATCTGCCGCCGCAGTGACAAGTTCGCGGAGTTGTTCTAATGTGTCAACTTCGCTCTGGTACACAAAAGTAACCATTCGTCCCGGATTTTCCGGGAAGTCCCGGATTTTAACAACGCCCCGGAAACGTCCCGGATTTTGCGTTTAATCACACAAAATAATAAATCTAACAAAAATAAATAAAGTTACAAATTTGTAACACTCATAGTAAACTGCTCGTCATAAAAATCGACTCACCTAGTTTTTTGTAAACTATTTGAAAGCTCGTTCTTGGAAAATTACTAAATCGATTTTGAAAATCTTTGGAAATTCTGAATAGCTGATTCTTTGACTCTTATGTCAAATTTTGGGAATACAATATTTTGCACATAGCATTATACTACAGGGTGTTAAACGAAGAGATGTATTTTTTCCGAAATTTAAAGTTATTCACATTCATGAGGCAGTTGAGTTTGATAGTAGTAATACCCCTCCCTAATATTAGTAAGGTAATCCCTCGAAACGTTTTCGAGATTTTGTGAATATCGCGGCTTAGTACGATTATATGCCAATTTATCGAAAATTGTCGTTATTTCCCAGTTTAGTCCAAAAAATGAGCAATAGTGGATTCTTTGACTTACGTCTAATTTTGAGAACACAATATTGTGCAGTGCACAATGTGTACATAGCATTGCCCTGCGAATGGGGATTTGGAATTTTGGAAAAAAACATTTTTTTTTAACACCCTGTAGTATCATGCTATGTGCACATTATCGTATTTCCAAAATTAGACATAAGAGTCAAAGAATCAACTATTCCTCATTTTTTGGACCTAAATGAAGAATAACGACAATTTTCGAAAAATTGTCATATAATCGTAGTTAGCCAAGATATCCACAAAATCTCGAAAACGTCCCGAGGGATAACCTAACTGTTATTAGGAAGGGGTATTACGACTAACAAGCTCAACTGCCCTGTGAATGGGGATTTGAAATTTTGGAAAAAAAACATCCCTTTTTTTAACACCCTGTATGTGCACAATATCTTATTCTCAAAATTATACGTAAGTCAAAGAATCCACTATTGCCCATTTTTTGGACTAAACTGGGAAATAACGACAATTTTCGATAAATTGGCATATAATCGTAGTAAGCCGCGATATTCACAAAATCTTGAAAACTTACCTTACTTATATTATGACTATCAAACTCAACTGCCTCATGAATGGGAATAACTTGAAATTTCGGAAAAAATACATCTCTTCGTTTAACACCCTGTAGTATAATGCTATGTGCAAAATATCGTATTCCTAAAATTTGACATAAGAGTAAAGAATCAGCTATTCAGAATATCCAAAGATTTTCAAAATCGATTCAGTAATTTTTCAATAACGAGCTTTCAAATATTTTCCAAAAAACTAGGTGCGTCGATTTTTATGACGAGCAGTTTAGTTCACAAAATAAAAAAAGTTTCGGTCGCTCACGAGTAAAAAAGTACACGACACTTTGTAATTGGCATTATTTAATTAAAACGGCAACACTGTCAGAATCATAATGACCGACGGTCGCTTTCCGTACCATACTTTGAGTTGTGAGCATAGAACAAACTATCTGCGGCGCAGATATTGGGTACCTAGTTAGTTTTGTTTTTGATTTGTTTTTTTTGTAGGCGGCAAACAAAACAAAGTGGGTCTACCTTTTAACTATTATTCTAATAAAGTTGTATATTTGTAAAAATATAAATGTGTTTGAAAACGATTACCTAATTTTCAAATATTTTTATATATACACTGCGCGTCTCCTTCATGACCCTTCTGGGCGTATAGCATCGGCTCGGCGAACCCGGGAATGGCTAATAAAACTATTGGCATTTCGCTCTCGAGCCCTAATTAGGGGACAGTACAGGACGCAATGGACATTCGTAACCAGCAAACACGGGTGCACGCGCCGTTGCTGGTGGCGAAAGAAAATCGGCGCGAGGAAACAGAGGCCTATGCGGGGCCCGGGAGCGATGAGGCAATATTATACATCTCTTATACTCATACTCATACACTGCGCGTCAAAATTAACGTAAAAAAAAAATCAACTCTATACTTTAACTTATATCAAGGGTTTTTCGAGAAACAATCCGTAAAGCCCTTTTATTTAATAATAAAAATCCCTCGAAAAAAAACTTTTATAGTGAAATTTTTTTTAAGTAAATAAAAAATATGCTGTGAAAGACCATATTTTTGTATATCCTAAAAATGTTGTACAACTCAAACAAACAGTAACGAAAATACAGCGCTTTAAAGTCTTCAAAAATGACCACTTTTCAGCAAAATAATCAAAAAAGGGGTCATTTTTACCGACTTTGAAGCGCTCTATCTTCGTTACTGTTCGTTTGATTTGCACAAAATTTTCAGGGTATACTAACTTACTTCAACAGCATATTTTTTATTTACTTAAAAAAATTTGATAAAAGTTATTTTTCCAACTTTTTTTTATTATTAAATAAAAGGGCTTTAAAAATATTTTCTCTAAAAATCCTCGGACACGAAAACTGAGATATAAGTTAAAGTATTTTTATACAAAATTTCATAAAGATTGGTACAGGCGTTTGAGAGTTCGAATTTTTTTACTTATTATGCGTTAATTTTGATGTGCAGTGTATATTTATATATAAAATTCTGCAATTTGGAATGATGTGAATATTAAATTGTTTTCACGACCTCCCCCTCCCATTTTCCCCGTTCCCTTTTTTCTCAAAATAATTTTCGGCAAAATGCGCCTGCTGCGGACTTTTCCGCTTTTGGCGGTTTTTTGGCTTTGTCGCGGATTTTGAAATTTTTGATGTGGTCAATTTATGGTACACTAAACTGTTCATGTAACCCCAAAGAAACCACAATAAGAACCGAATTGTCAGTAATCAATGATGACAAAGTACCTACTAACCGAGTTTAAAAGTTTGCTTGATATTACATGTGTACACTGTGCGCATACCTGTTTCTTTTTTGCTTGGATAAAAAATATCATTGTTTTTAGAGGTAAAAACAATGATGATAGGTATATAGGATAGGTCAGTGACATCCAGTGGCTCCCTGGTTTTGTCAAAAAAATTTCATAATTTTATATTTAAAAACAGTAGCTCTAATGTAAAAATGATGAGGAAAAACTTTGCTGTTTTGGCGTGTACTATCATCCCTCCAAAGGATGACAATTTATTAGGTGTATTTAACATTTAAAACTAAAAACGTTATATTTTGTAAAATCCCTCACCTTTCCTCCTGATGGTTGTCCTCCTTCAGGCACAACAGTCCTCCTGGTAGCGGTAGGCATAATTAAGGTCATGTTATCAATCTCATTGGCGGAGATAAAGTTCTGCTCTTCGCGCAGAAAATACTGCGATTTCGACCAAATATTAAATATCTCGGCCACGTGGTTGTACAAATCCTCGGCTTCGGCTATATTGTGCCTCATCCAGTGGTTTCTCTGCAGATCCACGTACTTTATCAGCAACGGGTAGAAAGAGTAAATGTCTCTAACCAACAAGTGCCAATCTTCTTGTATTTGAGCCTCGACTTGCGAAGTATCGTCGGTGGAGCTCTTGATGAAACCACGTAAACTTTCCTCTTTGTGGAACATGGCTTCGGTCCTCTTCTTAACTCTTTCGGCCAACGGCAGGAAGGGATCCTTCAGCAGCTCTTCGCTGCTGTTTATTATGATCTGCTGCGTGTAGGCAGCGATTCTCGTCATCCAGGGCGAGCTCTCGTTGCCGATGTTCTTCTTAATCAACTTCAACACGTTCTTCAGCAGTTGGTTCATATGTTCGGCCGTCACCATGGAAACATGGGCTTCACCCGTCGGGCTAACGTTGTCGGGGCCTTGAGACCACCAGAAGGGTAAATACGAGCACAGCATGGGCATTATAACGTCAATGACATGTGGGGCGTCGGAGTATGTTTTTTCGCTTTCAGTAAATTGATCCACTTCTGTTAGTATTGTTTCCAAAGTGGGCATAGATACTTCCATTTTTGCCATAATGTCTAAAAATAGTTTCAGTAATGAATACATTAATAGTATATTAGGTATATATATAGGGGGGGTCAAAATTTCCAGAAAAATGCCTTATTAATTAATGGATGTCCCCATACATGTCGCTTTATACAAATATTAAATTTAAATAATTTTTTAGATAATATTAAGTATTTGTCGTAGAAAAATTATAGAATGCAACTCTTTTATAAACTTTTCTAGGCACTCAAATTAAATTCGTGACGTTGGCGTTTATCAAACTTGATACATATATGTATAAAGCGACATATATGGGGACATCCATTAATTAATTAGGCATTTTTCTAAAAATTTGGACCCCCTCCCCCTTGGTGAGATTTGGTGAGATGTGGTAGACACCCCCCTATCCCTCACGTGAGATAAACATTTTTGACGTAATTTTCACCATTAACATTGCCCGTTATTATTTTAATTAAACTTAACAATTATAGATACTTTAAAATATTAAAATATATATATCACAAAGTTTTAAAAAATTTTACACGGGAAATGTTAAAGGTACAAAAAGGGACAGTTGTATTTATTGGAATTCCCGATAGAATTTCTAACTTGGGAATCTTCCGGCGTTAAAATCTCAAATTTTTTTGTGTAAATTAATATTTATTCCTTAAAAATAGACTAACAACACTGGTGAACAGCAATTTTGCCTTTGGGTGACCAGCAACTTTTTTAGGGTAAAGTGGGTGCGCCGATTTCAAAAATGACCATCATATTGCAAAATTAGTTTTTTCGATTTACAAATATTCAAATTCGTTTATATATTTTTATAATCAAATACTTAAACCAAGGTTCATTGTTAATGTAGCTAATTAAACCAAAACAAAAAAATTGTACACATTCATACAGTAACTCCCTTGAATAATCCTATTTTTATTTATTTAATTTATTTAATGTATTTAATTTATTTAATTTATTTAATTTATTTAATTTATTTAATTTATTTAATTTATTTAATTTATCTTATTTTATTTTATTTTATTTATTTTATTTATTTTATTTATTTTATTTATTTTATTTATTTTATTTATTTTATTTATTTTATTTATTTTATTTATTTTATTTATTTTATTTATTTTATTTATTTTATTTATTTTATTTATTTTATTTATTTTATTTATTTTATTTATTTTATTTATTTTATTTATTTTATTTATTTTATTTATTTTATTTATTTTATTTATTTTATTTATTTTATTTATTTTATTTATTTTATTTTTTTTATTTTTTTTATTAATCTTATTTATCTTATTTATTTTATTTATTTTATTTATTTTATTTATTTTATTTATTTTATTTATTTTATTTATTTTATTTATTTTATTTATTTTATTTATTTTATTTATTTTATTTATTTTATTTATTTTAATATTTTATTTATTTTAAATTATGGGATCTAAAGCATTCTTACTCAGACTGATGCCAGAGCCCTTTTACATTATATTTTCCTTTATAGATGACAAAAACTTTAACTTGTTTTTTAATTAAATAAAATCGATTTGATTAAAAAAATATATAAACAAATTTGAATGTTTACATATTAAAAGAAAACGATTTTTTTTACAATATCTCGAAACAAAAACAAATTGAGTAATATGATGGTCATTTTTTAAATCAGCGCACCCAAATTACCCTAAAAAAGTTGCTGGTCTTCAAAAGTTTCACTTTGTCGACCAGTGCAATCAATATAGAAGCAGTTTTTCACAGTAAATGTGTTATGGGCACTGTACGCAAAATTTTTAACGCTCTATCAGTTAAATCTGGTTAACTGCACTACTACGGCGAAATCAAAAGGTCAGTAGGTACAAACGTTCATATAATCTTTTCAAATATTGGCGTCAAGAAACTATTTAATACTTTAGTATTTTTGTATTGAGATAATAAAATAATTTTTACATTTAGTATTATTTTACAAGAAAGGCACTTTATTTTAATGATTGTATGAAATTTAACAAATGTCAACTAAATTAAAACTAACTTCAAACTTGTCAATGTGTATTTAAAAGGTCACTTAGAAGGTGAGAGTAAAAAAAAGTATTTTTTTTACCTTGAGCCTCCAAAGAGTGATCAGCGATTCTATTCAGCAACGAAAACTGGTTGTGTTTGTTAAGATGCGGTTCTAAAAAGGCTACAGGGAAGCAAGAACTGAAAGCCCCCAAGCAGGAGCCCAATTGAGGCTTATACCTCTCGATTTCTGTTTTCAGATATTTACGATCGTGAGTAAGGTTAGCGTCTGTACCCAAGTGATATAGAGCTTGAAGAATCTTGTAGGACGCCACCTGGATTTCATCCACTGCAAATAAATTGTCACAGAAAAGAATAAGTTAAATTTGTTGGTAAACTTACGCAGTAAATCTGTTCCGTATTCACAATTGGCCAAGTGGTCAAACATTGCCGTCAAAATGGGCAATATAACTTGATTAACATAAAACAGCGACGTTGAAGTTTTCAAGTGAGTCCCTCTCAAGTGACTGTACTTTCCCTCTTGCAGATTTGTAATCGTATGACCCAAATCATCAGCCGTATTATTGAAGAAAGTCAACATTGAAGTTCTGATGAACTCAGGGCAGTTCTTCACCAACGATTTGGCATCGATGCCTTTGACCAACACTTGAAGGCATCTCACTGTAATTCTTACGTCAGCGCCAAAAGCGGCCAGGCGGGATCTAAGCAAACTAGCCAGCTTGCAGAACAAGGCCGCCACCATTTCTTTCTCTTTCAAGCTGGCGGCTCCGATGTTGTTCGTGGCAGTCGCCACAGCGATGAAGTAGTTTCTGTGGGTCGAAAAGTATTTCTCCATTAAGGGCAAGACTACTTTGGAGAAGAACTTGATGTCTCTGGAGGATGTTTGGAATGAGGTTCTGCGGCTGAATGTTTGCGAGGGTTTCAGCATCTTCATGTTGATGGTGGCGCGATCCAAGTATTGGATGAGTTTCTCTAGGAGACTGTAAGCGAAACGAAGTTCTACTGAAGGTCCAGCGGTGGATTGCTCGCTTTCCAGTTGACCTCCACGATTTGGCCTGCAAAAATAGTAAATATTAGGATGATTAAAAAAAGGCGAATTGTTTTTTTTTCTTTCAAACAGGCTTAAATGTTTCGCTTAGGTATAATAATGAGCTCTTAATTTTAATATCTTAATGCTGCGCACTTTTCGATTTTCTATAAGAAATTTTTTTTGTTCCTTCTTATTTTTGTAACTCACCAACCAAAGGCCATACAGAAAATGTAAAAATGTGTGTAGAGAATTAAACGCTCTACAAAAAAGGTTTCCTATTATTTTTTGCTAAACCAATGTGTTAAAAAGTTATTAAAGATGGAAGTTCAACTAACCATCAATTTTGCCGATTTTCCGGCATTGCAGCGGAACTACTCAGTTTTATAAAAAAAAATTAGCACGAATTTTCATGCGGACATTACAAGAGGGCGATTACATGATTACTAACGGGACAAGAAAAAAAAACAAAATGTTTTATGAAAATTTTTGTTCCTATAATTTGTTGTTCCTATAATAATAATTTTATGCCAGTCCTCAGCAATGAAATTAAGTAATAACTATTATAAACTTATTATTATATGAACAACACATCTTTAAAATTATCATATTGTCTTGTTTTTGTTTGTCCCGTTAGTTATCATGGAATCGCCCAAGATTCGTTAACCAATTTTTTTTTTATTTACAAATGTAGACACAACACTTTGCTAATATAAAATCATAATAATTTTTTTTTCAATTTAATTTTTATTATGAAAACATATTTAACTTTGCTGCCTGAAATTTCAGCATTTGATAACTTGATATGTTGAGCAATTTTGTTTTATTATTTTACCCGTAATAGCTTTTTGTGTATTAAGAGCGCAAAGTTATACATTGCCGCTGAGCGAGAAGTTTGACACGCAATGCATAGCGGAGCGCGGCTATCTCGCGAGAGCGGCAATGTCACTTTGCGCTCGAATTACACACAGGATTTTTTCTACAACCGGTGTTTCTGTAAGAATGTTTGGTAAAAATTAATAATTATTGATAATCTCAAATTTGACGTTTGTGTCAAAAGTCGCAAATACACTAAACGTTTCTTTATTATGGTTTCCATGGTAACTAAGCGAGCGACAAAGTAACCAAAGATAATACAAAGTAACCTTTATAATCTGTGACTTTGTCGCTCGCGCTCGCTCCTCGGGATAGTGCAACTTTGCGCTTTCTTTTGGAAACGCAAATTTGTTCTTTTCGCTTGGTTGTGGAAAAAAATATTTGTTTTTACACTCAATTGTTAACACAATGTTTTTATCACTAGATGGCGTTGTGGTTGGTTTATAATGGCATAAACCTTAGTCTCTACTCTGCAATCTGTATTCTATATTCTGTACAATTTATAGGTCCGGTTTATAATCAAGTTAAAGAATTGAAGATGTAAATTTTACATATTTATGTTCTGTGCGTATTTATATTTTAATTATAAAAGCACCAAGCATGGATATCAAATTAATTAGCCTGGTGGAAAAGTTTCCTTAATCGTATCAAACATTTCTGAAATAGAATTAAATAATTCAAAAACCAAATACCTTCTGACCACCCACCTTTCCCTCAACTGAAAAAAATAGTTAAAATATTGTTTTTAATTATTTTTATTGTAAATAATTATAAATTTGTACAATTTATAAATTGTACAGTTTATGTTCTGTGTTGTACTTGTACAGCAAATAGAATAGGTACAGATTGCAGATTAGAGAATGAGGTTATAAGGTTATTATAAACCAGCCATAACGCCATACAGTACAAAAATTGTGTTACCAACTGAGTGTAAATATTTTTATCAGTAAAATAATAAAAAACATTGCTCAACTTATATTCATAATCAATTAATAAAAAAATTTGGTGGCATATCGAGTTATCAATTACTGAAATTTCAGGCAGCAAAGTTAATAGTATAATATTATAGGAGAGATAATGCAGGCTATTATTCACAAGGCTAAGGTTTGCGTCTCGAGTCGCCAGACGAAAGACTTAAATCATCCAAGTGAATAATGCGCATAATCTCGATTATAATACTATACTTTATCTACTCCAATAAGCAGATAATTAAATGATTTTCAAATATAATTACATAAAATCTGACATCTGGCAAATGGTTAACCTTAATTTTTACCCATTTTAAATGTTATTATAGTCGCCTTCTACCAATTTAAAAACCGATTGGTTCAAATCACAGTGAATATTAAAATTGGCCAATCACTAATGCCTAACAACGTGAATAATGAGTTTGTTATTTCCGTTGTTAGGAAGGGAATTTATAATGTTTTTTATTATTCATAAAAAAAAACAATATTATGCAACAGGAGTAGATAAATATGTTTTTATAATAAAAATTAAATTGAAAAAAAAAATATTATGATATTACTTTAGTAAAGTGTTTTGTTAACATTTGTTAATTAAAAAAAATTGGTTAACGACTTGTAATGTCAAATTTATGTTCCGCATGAAATTTCGTACCGAAAAATCACAAAAATTGATGAGTTTAACTTTGATCTTTAATTACTTTTTAACCAATTGGTATAGCAAAAAAGAGAGCGTTCAATTCTTTACAAAAATATACCAACATATTTTCTTTATGAGTTACAAAAATCAGAAGGAACAAAAAAAATGTTTCCATGTTATTCTTATGGAAAATCGAAAAGAGCGATGCGGAGCATCTCAATATTAAAATTAAGAGCTCATATTTTCACAGGCTTATTTTTATACCTAAACAAAACTTTTAAGCCTGTTTAAAAGAAAAAAAAATTGAATCACCCTAGTAAATATACATATAACATAATATACAACAAAAAATAAATTTCTTACTTGTGCAGTTTAAGTCCCATGTATTGCAAGTACTTGAGGAATTCCTGCGATCTATCTCTATCCTTCCTTCTTTCCTTATCGGTTAACAAATCATACGGCACCAACTGTGGATGTATACCGCCTCCGCAAGTATTTAACTCTTCCTTCTTTTTCCTTGCCCAAATGTCATGAGCATTTTCGGCTAACCTCTCGGCCATGTTTTGCATCTCTCTGGATAGGGTCAAGTTGGTCATATCTACAGGATGGGGGTTGTAGTTGAATGCGTTCGTGCCTTCTGATTGGCGCATTGCAGAGTTGCGGTTGTTTGAAGGTAAATCTACTTCGGTATGTTCAACCGACCAACCAATAGCCAGGAGAGCTTTAAGAGATTCTCTTACCGGTTCTTTATATCTTTCTTTTTCCTATAACAACATCAAACTTTACAAACTGCATTTTTATTTAAACAAAGTGTACTCTGATACAATTTTAAAACTGGGTTAAGAAGTATTTTGTTGACTGTGATTTAAGTTTTGAATCTCATGTACATTAAATTTAAGTCTATCTAAAATGTTGCCAAGTAATGTTAAATGGAAAATATGTACTAGTCCTTGGTAATTACTGTAGTAATGTTTGTTTTACTTATGCAACAAAACCTTCAAAATATTGTATATAAAAACTGCAAAACTGTTGTCTGTTATATTCTATTCATTTAATATTAATTTTAGAGATCACTTACAACATGTGAGACTGAATATAGTCAAATGTGATAACTTCTTTTATAGTTCTGTGGGTAAAAGGCATATGGGGATAAGTCAAAAAAATCAATTTTTTAGTAGTGCCTTAAATGTGTTCGCATTAATTTAGGAAATACATTTATGGTTAGCAGGTATACCCTTTTGCCAGCACATGTCATATACTAGCAAAAGGGTAGGCTCGCTAACCATAAATATATTTCCTGAATTAATGCGAACACGTTTAAGTCTACCGAAAAATTGCTTTTTTTGACTTATCCCCTTATGCCTTTTACCCACAGAGTTAATATACAAGTTGTCCCTGAAATGCCTGTACAAAATGATAACACATATTACTGAGACCGAAATAATCCGATATAACTAAATTTACTTCTATCCAAAAAGTTGATAATAATTATTATAATCAAGAAAAGTCAAAGTTGCAAGTTTGTTTTCGATTTTATCAAATATTAATTGCACAGAATTTGACTTTTGGGTTTTTTCAGGCAGGGAAATTTCTTAAAAAGAATTAATCTACGTTGTAGAGGGCGCGATACGTTTAAATGGTCACATATTTTTTGCGTCTCTAGTGAATTCACGTTTTTAATATTATAATTACTTTTTTATCTTTATTACGTAACCGTTTTTAAGATTTTTGCATTTAAATTGTTCAGTTCACCCATTGAATTGTGATTTAAAAATGTAACATTACGATTAAAGAACACATTAATTGTAAGTTTTTAACAGTGGCGGCCCGTCAGGGGAGGCAGGTGAGGCAGTGCCTCATCATAGAGAATTAAAAAATTAAGTATAATTTAAATATTTTACTTTCTATAATATACTATAAATTTTTAATATTTGGTTTACATGAATTGTGAAATAGTCAATAATATTGATTAATTTTATACGTGGAATACCCAGCAACATTTAAATTATTTGAATTTGAAACGAGCGCAATTTTAACTAATATTTATAGCTAGATGATTGTCTCAGAAGCATGCCTGAACTAATTTAGACTCACGATTGGCGTTAGCCTTGTTGTCTCGTTCTATTACAATGCGATATCGGGTGACGTTCACAATATCGAAATTCATTATATCGAATTCAAAATATCGAACACTTTTTATCGAAAATCAAAATATCGAAAATACAAAATGTCGAAAATCAAAATATCGAAAATTAAAATGTCGAAAATGATAATATCGAAAATTAAAATGTCGATTTGAAAATGTCGAATAATTAAAATTTCGAAAATTAAAATGTCGAAAATGATAATATCGAAAATTAAAATGTCGATTTGAAAATGTCGAAAATGATAATATCGAAAATTAAAATGTCGATTTGAAAATGTCGAATAATTAAAATTTCGAAAATTAAAATATCGATTTAAAAATATCGAAAATTAAAATGTATGATTAAAATCTCTAGGAGCCAGGGAGCCAAGATAATTCGGTGCATAACCGTAACTTTATCTACAGAGGCGCCTCTGTACATATACACTTCGGATTAAAATAATATGTCGATTAATTGAAATATTTAAACAAAATATCAAATTCAAAATAAGAAAATATGGTTTAGTTTCACATTAAAATTCGATTAAATAAAATTTCGATATTATCATTTTCGACATTTTAATTTTCGACATTTTGTATTTTCGATATTTTGATTTTCGATAAAAAGTGTTCGATATTTTGAATTCGATAAAGTGAATTTCGATATTATGAACGTCGATATTTTATTTTCGATAAATTGAAAATTCGATTAAATAAAATTTCGATATTATCATTTTCGACATTTTAATTTTCGATATTTTGATTTTCGACATTTTGTATTTTCGATATTTTGATTTTCGATAAAAAGTGTTCGATATTTTGAATTCGATAAAGTGAATTTCGATATTATGAACGTCACCCGCGATATCATAGTTGTCTCCTTCTCTCGTATTAGCATACGCGAGGCAGGCACGCCTACATCCAAGGAAATAAGCAGTTGTTGTGGCAACACTGTTGCGGAATTTATAATAAATCGATTTAATCGAAATTATATTTCTATTCTAAAATAAACATATTTTAACACTATCGCCATCTTGTAGCCATCACAGTAACCAATAAAATAAATACAGATTCCTTCTTTAGGTTTGATTTGGTTATAAATTCTGAACTGTGATTTATGTGAATTTAGTCATTATGGATATTACGGTGAGAAATTGTACCGATATTGTTGACCTTCACGTGGTTCTTGCTGAACAATGAAATATTAATTAGACAAAAATGAGGTTTATTTAAAATAAACGTCATTTTTACAATAAAATATATTTCATTGACAAAGTATAGGATTCCTTCCCCACCACAGTCTAAGTTTTTTACTTAGTTTTAAGTATAGGTTGTGGACTGCGACGTCAGTTTTTTAAGTTGGGTTTAAAAAAATGTCTTCGCCTTTAAATGAGGGCGAAACCCTGCCTCTGCCTCACCAAAATTAAATGTCACGGGCCGCCACTGGTTTTTAATTATTAAACGCACTTATTGGGTACTTGCTTAATAAAGATTTTCAAGTATTGACACCCTGTATTTTGGTTATTATCAACTTTTGTATAGAGATAAATATAGTTATATGATATAACTAAATTTACCTCTAGGTATACAAAACTTAATATATAACTAATATCGCATTATTTTGGTTTCAGTAATATATAAAGGGGTCATAATCAAAAGGGTATAAGTGCATTTTAGCATGAAAATAAGTTAAGTGCAGAATTGGGTAGTTTAGAGACCAATTTATTTTTTAAATTTTTTCATACCGTGAAAATTGTACGAGTTTTGCAGACATGCAAACATTGAAAAAAGTATCCAGGTTTATGTATATTGCAAAAACTTTAGTTAATAACTCCACTTTTCTTTTTTTGCACTTGTACCCTTTTGCTTCTTACCCCTTCATATGTGGTATTATTTTGTACAGGTATTTCAGGACATCATGTATACTAATTGTTTACAACATATACAAAAGCAAACTGCCTATGTATATGTATAGTCTTTTAATTTATAGAAGTCAATGTTATGATAATAATGTACGCAATAAAAACAGTTTTGATTTTATGGCTGCATCAATTTTTAACATTTTTCTTAATTTATTTAATCGCACATCCAGTTTAAGAACACCATAACTCAAAAATCAACAGTTTTGAGTTATGGTGTTTTTTAAATACCTAAACAACATAAGAATAGATTTAAGAAATCATCATAGCTTGTCCACCCACCATATAAGTTTAAACAGTAAAGGTATCTACGCAGTTTTAAGAAGTTTTCTCAGTTTCGATAGATCTTAATTTAATAAATATATTACTTTTTTGTTTGATTAAAATAAATTATATTAACAAAAATCTGTTTTATTTAGTGTAACAAAAAAAGTCAAAATGCCATAAACCCTATTAATGCAACATAATTAGAAAATATGAGACAAACTTGTAGTGCAATACCGTAAACACGGGTGGCTTTGGCTCACTTTCAAACTTCAGCTTAAAATTTTTGTGGTTTTAACAATCATAAACATTAAATTTTGTATACCAAAATTTGAGTCTTGAGTTGCTCTTTCATAATAACTATGTTATAATATAACATAGGGCTGAGTTTTAAAAATAAACATTAAAAACTGGGTGTGCAAAGTTACCCCCTGGTTGCGGGTTACTTTGTCTCACAGTGTTTTTTCAGTATAAAATGAATGTAATATTATATTTTATTTTTATTAGACACGTGTTAGCAGCGACATATATCTATTGCAAGGGATTACCAATAAAAAAAATAAAGAATCGACCTGTAGTTAACCAAGGATCATCATTCCAATGGATTGCGCATAATATAGAAATTTTAACGCGTGTATTTCTAGAGTTTTGCACTGATACGATATATACAATTTTAAAGTGTAATAAATTCCATTTCTTTCTTTAAAACGCTGATTTTCCTGTAATATAAACTCAATAGAATCGCTCAATTGACAGGTTTAGACCAACAAATTATAAATGTTAATTTTATCGAGCGCGAAAAGATTTTTCATAAATGGGTTAAAGTCACCCGCGGGGTGCAAAGTCACCCGTATTTACGGTACCAAAATATTTTCTTTAAATAATGAAATAAAATCTTTCTAAAAAATATAGACGTTTACAAAATATACCTACTGATTAAAAGCTATTGGATTCGTCCTTACTTTCTTTAAAAAATTCCTTTAACCTTTGCAAAACCTCAAACTTAATTATCTCATTTCAATGTTTTGTGCTATTATGTTGTTTGTTATTATTTTAGTTATTTCTGGGTTAAAGAGGCAGAACAGTGCAAACTGAACTTTCACCTTGTGTATTTGTAATTTACGAGGTAATTTATTATTTAGTCATACAATAAAGATATTATTATTTTTACTTACATAGTCGTTTAACATAGAGTATGGCTTCAATCTTGGATGCGTTTTACTTCCGTCCCATCCTGAGTAACTTTCACCGTACTGCCACCCATTTTCCAACTTTCTGGAAGCCCAGGCGTCATGGTAATGCTCCGAGAATTGCTGGACCATATTGTTTAAATCGTTATTTAACTGCACCGAAGAAGTATTAATTGGTTGCGGGTTATACGGTCCATCGGGGCCTGTGACGGACTTGGCAGTCTTATTGGAGTACCACTCGTCGTCGTAATTCTTAGATAGAGAGTAGTCCGGTGGTAGAGCGCAACCGATAGCTGTCAAACACGGTAGCGCCTTGCCGAATAATTCGGGATCGTAATCCATTTTACTCAAGGAATCGAAGATGTTCGAGAACAGCATCATGGTTAACCGTTTCTCTTCGTCACTGGCCGCTCCGTACAACCCTTGACCCGTATTGGAACCGTAATACTTGGCGCAACGGTCGTAATGCAACGTCAACAATCTTAAAGCCACCGTGGTGTATTCGGAAAGATTTGACACGTCCACGGTAAGCTTTCTGAGCAGCTTTAACAACATGGATGGTTGTAACTGGCTCGTCAATGCCACCAAAAAATCGGAGACGTTTTCTCTTTGACCTTTGGTAAGCATTCTATTTTTAGATAGACGATACACAGTGTGGAGTGTGGCGTCGAGAAGTGAAGCGTAATTTTCAGCCTCACTATAGAAATTGGAGTGTTGGATGAGTAATGGTAGAATGGAGTTTCCAATGTATCTGTTCATGCTTAGAGCCATGTCAGACTCACTTCCATCGTTCTAAAATAAAACAATACACATGTGCATATGTTAATGTGTTTTCATAAATTTGTTCTTACCCTATCAAGCATTGTGGCACACCTCAAGTCAGGCAAAAAGGCCTCTTCGAGAATCTTAAAGAATAGATCTTGAGTTTCAATTCCGTATACTCTTTCCAAGAAGAGCACTACGGATTGCTTATGTCCCGGGATTAACCCGGAAGGCATATCGGACTTGGGACGTTCTTCGCCTGCAGCTGGATTGTGAAGGCTGAAGCGTAAACTTAAAACACCTCTTAGATCATCCAAAGGTACCAAGGAGCGAAGGATGGCTCTCGCTCTTAGAGACTCATTTTTGCCCTAAATAAACATTTATAAATGTTAAATAATTTCAAGATTATCGTAAACAAATATTAGAAACCCTAGCGAATTCGTTGAACGGTAAAATAACGTTGATTTAGTGTTTAACTGTATAAATGTCAAAGGATGTTTTTAATTTAGCGTTACTTTTAAGTTGTAGGAGTTAATTTCAACGCTCAGTCGACGCAAAATATTTTCGTTCGTTTGAATCAACAGAAATTTAACGCTAGTTTTGTGTTCACAACCAAAAACTCAACAGTAAATAGACTTAAATTGTTGGGTTATTTTTTATAAAATAGGCCCTACTGAGCGTTGATATTTTTTTTCACAATTTGCTCTATGCAATAGTAAGTGAAATATAAGTGACTTTGCGACCCCAAGATCGGATTCCCAGGGTAAAAATACTTATATAAATATATGAAAATATCCAAAAGATGGAACGGATAATTTAAGATTTAAATTTGTTAAAGAAATTCTGTGTATACAGCCATGTGGTGCATGGTGCATTAATAAAAAAGTAAATAAATAATTTAAGGGATAAGTTAATCTCAGATTTTCTTAATCATATTAAAAAATAATTTAAAACAATGTGCTGGCCAAATAGCTTTTAAATTAAGCTTAATATCATATTTCCACAGAATATATTTCTCTAAACACAGATTTGTGATCAGAGATATGAAAGGAAAAAGAAGATAATTGTATTTGGCTGCCAAATTTTGGCAACAATATATGTCACTGTATGGTGAATAACTCGTGTTAAGTTGGTTTTGTGTGTTTACCAAATTCTGGATAAGCTACAATAGCTATTCGTGTATTAAGAGCGCAAAGTGATACATTGCTACTTTGAGCGAGAAGTTTGACGGGCGACGCGTAGCGGAGCGCGGCTATCTCGCGAGAGCGGCACTGTCACTTTGTGCTCGAATTACACACAGGATTTTTTATACAACCGGTGTTTCTATAAGAATGTTTGGTAATAATTGATAATTATTGATAACCTCAAATTTGTAAAGTAAAAAAAAGCTCGCTCCTTTTGAAATCGACAATTTGTACTTTTCGCTTGGTTGTAGAAAAATAAATTTAATAATATAAAGGTGGTTGTTAGGTTTTAACATTTATATTAACGTTAATTTTGTACTCCAAACAAGAAACATTTGATGCCAATTTTCAGTTAGGCAGGTGTTGCACTATATTTTTATTGTTATTATAAGTACGCATATTATAATATAAAAAAATTATTTTTTGTACCCAAAACTAGATTTTTCATAAAAACCATAAAAAAATATTTATTTGTTTTTGCGTTTTCGAAATTAAACGCAAATTTCAACGCAAAATAAAAGTTGACAAAAAAGCAAATATTTAGTTTAAATTTGCGTTTGATTTACGTAAAAAAAAATATTTCAACGCAAACCATATTTTACAAAAACAATAAAAAAATAAAAATTTGTGTTTAATTTCGAGTAAACGCAAATATATACGCAATTAAAACGCTAGATTGACACAAAACCTGCAAATTTTAAGTTGATTTTGCGCTTGCTTTGTGCACAACTCAACATTAAATTTGCGTTTGCCAGATCCGCTAGGGAAGAGAAGTGTAACTGGTTTCAGTTACACTTCGCTTCTGAAGATGCTAACATCGATGGCGAAAAGTACTTTAAGCACTGTGTTTTGTTTTGGTGTTGGGGAATATTTCTAATATAAGTTTAAAATATCACCTAGTCCTTTTTCAAGTATCAAGATTATTGTACTTTGAACTTACAAGTGCTATAACACTGGCATCAGGAGCGCATCTACCAAGTAAATCAACCAAAGTACAATAGAAATTCAAAATGGCGGCTCCAGTATCAATGTAATCTTCATCTTCTTCGCTTTCCGGTAGAGGATGGGTGAATTGGGCCAAATTTACTGTACCCTCGGCTTCGTCCATCATTTTTCTTCGGTCGGCTATGCGCTCTGACATCTAAAATATAAATATTTATTTAATAAAACATTACGATATTTCATAAGGAATGTACCTTGTTGGCATCTACGATAGCTCTTAGTAGACCTTCTCCTTCACCTCTTAGGGCCGGTCCAAGACATTCAGGTCTTCTGATCAAAAGTCTGATGACCAAATTGGCGTTTTCTTCAACACTTTCGCCATTCACCCAAACACAGAACCTCAAGAAATCCAAGTACCTCTCACCTTCAACTGGATCCCAACCTAAATCTGGATAGCCTTTCTCGATGAGTTCGGAGTTTGATTGCAAACCGCAACGCGATAAGTAAATAGCGATTTTCTCCAAATAATGCTCTCTTAAAGCCAACGCTAACTCTGTATTTTCCATTAGGGATGAATAGGCCACATCCAGAGGAGTAGAGCCTCTTAAACTGGGTCTGGCGAGTAAAATATTACTGTTATCCAAAAGGAAATCAAAATGTTCGAACATGGCTTTTTGATTTTGCCTGCCAGTTCTGCAGAAGTAGCACAAGAACCTGCAGCAAGACACCACCATTTCATGGGAGGTGTCCTTTTCTTTTACAGCGACCACCCCTCCTTCTCCTGCCGGGGCCTGAGCACCGGCGTCCGATTGGGCCTGCGATCTCCTACCCAAAGTGTTTATCATCACGGCCATTACGTTCTCGTGGATCCTCAAAACTCTGATAAGATCGGGGTGCTGGAAGAACGTGTGGTTATTCACAAGCTTCCATAATCTCTCGCGCATCAGTTCTTCCTCTTCCTGAGACATTTGCACGGGTAAAAGGGCCCTGATTTGGCTCAAGCCCACCCACATCTCGGCCACGTCAATCTTGGTTTTCGCGTTAATAATGTAGGTTTTTTCCAAGGCGCGAATCAGTTCGCCTACGGCATCGTACTGACGAACCAAAAGACTGAACATTTCCTGCACCAATTTGGGGGTTTCGATTTGCGATTCGGCCCACTGCACTATAGTGTGTATCAAGACTTTCCTGAAGATTTCTTCAGCGGTTTTCTTCACTGGCTCGGGCTCTTCTTTAGGCTCTTCCTCTAATTCCTTTACAGCGTTAATAAAGTTGTACAGCCTTTTAATTGGACCCGGCTTCGCGACTTCTTCGGGGTTTTCTCCGTCCTCGGCGTCCTGCAGTGCTTGTAATGAGACATGCACCATAAGTTTGGCGTGGAACTCGTTCAATCTTTCCGACAAATCGTCAGTAAGAGGACAGTTCTCTTTTTCTTCCTCCTCGATATTCTTGAAACACAATATGGCGTTCATCTGCTCCCTAGGAGGACACCTAAACTCCCTGGTCTTCTTAGCCGCGACAGCAGAAGGCAAATCGGACTGCTTAATCTCGATGTAACGTCTCAACTGATCGCTCTGTATATCGTTGACGAAATCGTGGCTGAAAGCGATGATGCTTTCGACTCTGTGACGCAACTGTATGTCGCAGAGATGTTGCAAGAGGTAGCACATTTGCAGTTTGGCACCTTCGGCCATTTTCATGTAGAGCAAGCCTTTGCGGTGCTCGTCTTTGCCCTCCTTGTCGAACGATTCGTTCCACGTTTCGGGGCAAATCATGATCAGAAGTTTGTTGACGTCTTCGTCGGATAGCATGCCGACTAAAAGAAGTCTGTCTACCAACTTCAAAAGCGGTCTGAAAATGGTTATTTTAGTTTGGCGCAGTCAAACAGTGGTTAAAAATTGCAAAAACCCGGACATAGAAAAAATTTAAGTCATATATGAATGAAAACAAAGTGTGTACAAAGGTTTTTTAAGGTTTTCTGGGGTTGCTGATTAAAAATCTTAGGTTCAATTTTAAAAAACAAATTGGTGGATTCCAAATGGCCACATAATCAAATTTTGTCTAAGGGGTCATTTATTAATTACGTGAGGTGTTTAGGGGGGGGGAGGGGGTCGAGCCAAACCTCACCCAATCTCACGTGGGGGGAGGGTGGTCCCGGCAAATATCACGTTATTTTTTTTTTGAAAGAAACAATGTAAAATTGCGAGAAAACGAGGGTTAAATTAAGTAAAAAATTATAAGCAAATTGTATTTTTTTAATAAATCTAATAGAATCAAGCACGGATTAACTTATTTAAACTTACTTATTAAATATATATACATTTAAAAAAATCTCACGTGAGATTAAGGGAGGGGGGAGGGGGTCGAGCAAAATCTCACGATATCTCACCAAGGGGAGGGGGGGTCAAAAAATCGCCAAAATTGCCTCACGTAATTAATGAACGCCCCCTAAACCATGTGTACGTGGGTTTTTAAGGTCGCTGATTACGAATCTCAGGTTAAATTTTTAAAAAACAAAATGTCCGACATTTTAAAGAACAAATAATCAGATTTTGTCTAAATCAAGTGTTTTAAGATCCCTGATTACGAATCTAAATTACAATGTTCAAAAAAACAAAATAGCGGACCAAAATGGCCGACATTTTTAAGAAAAAATAATCGAATATATTTTTTGTTGTCGCGGATTACTAGGGCCAGGACTTTCCTGCGCGAACGTTCACTGATGCACCTCTATACCTAGATATTGTATAGGTACTATCTACTAATTTGTACAATTATCATAAATCAGAATGATTGTACAAATTTAAATTTTTTACAATCATTGTATAAATTTTCAAACAAGTAGAAATAGATCAAATATCTAGGTATGTTTAGAGGACAGGGCTTTAGCAAGAGTGTTTATGCTTTCAGGGCCATGGTCTTCATGCCAAATTGACAACTTTTTCACCTGACCTCTTTTGATTTGACTGAAATTTTGATATATTGTATTATCCACTAAAAGCGGTTTTCTGTGGATTTATTCAGATATTACCTAACCGAAAATTTAAAAAAAGTGACTTATCGAGACGTTTTTTTTTTAATATTTCGTTTATTAACTTGCTTTTTAGAAAAAAAGAGAACAAAAGTCCTATTCTATAAAATGTTTCAGTTTTTCGTCCCATGGTGGGACAAGTTTTCTTTTAATTTTGTCGCAATTTAAATTTGTTTTTATAATAAAATAAACGTAAATATATATGAAAAAAATAGAAATAAAAGTTGTTGCACTATGGAATTTGGAAAACAACAAGCAAAATAAATATCTTTAAAAAAATGCAACATGTTTTTTATGAAGAATTTCACGAATATTTTGAAGAATATCGCCTTGATTAATCAGTTTTTGAAAAAGTAATAAGCGTTTGAAAAAAAGCACCAAATTTCTGATGGGTAGAAACATTTCAAAAAATTCACAGAAACGTTTTAGTGGGGTAGTAAATTTCAGTCAATTGGGTAAAGTTTTATAGTTTTATAGGATTCGAAGATACTAGGAGTCGTAACAAATTTTAACGAGAAAGGCGATGAAAATTGTTAAAATCTCTTTCGATCGTCCCGGATCAAAACTTTTGCGATCACTTTTGGTTCACTTTTTTTTAAATAAAACATTTCTGTCAATTTACGTAAGCACAAAATATCTTATATATTAAAATTATATATGTGCGTGATCGACTTACCGACAGGAACAACCTCCAAAAATCCAAATCAGAAAACAATCGAGTGAAAAATTACGTCCACTTATAGTTTTGGAAATATTTAGAAGTCATATATGCTGCATGTATGACTAGTGGATGGCGACAGTCGGTCATTATTAAGTTGACAGTGTTGCCGGTTTAATCAAGTAATAATTGGACTAGAGGCTAAATGTAGCAAGTGTTCCTTAAGGTTATAACGAATAGCTGTCATCTTGGTTATGCAGGTACACTGCATTGTGCCATACCAAACCAACCCAAACTTAACAACCCAACCCAACCGACCCCGCCCCATTGGGCCCCTCCCGCCCCATTGAGCAATAGAGGTATAATATATCTAAGGGCAGGCTGGATTGTGACAATGGGGCGGGAGGGGCCCAATGGGGCGGGGTCGGTTGGGTTGGGTTGTTAAGTTTGGGTTAGTTTGGTATATTAACCTATAATAAAATAAAATTAATTACTCAACGATTTTTGAATTATTTATAACGTAAATAACAAATTTTTAGTACAAATAATACTTTTATGATTTGATTGAATTATTTACCATTTTGTCGTTTTCTAGGTTAGTTTTAACTTGACGTTTTTTCTATTTTGATTAAACCGGCAACACTGTCAACTTAATAATGACCGACTGTCGCCATCCGCTAGTCATGTATGCTGCTTTTAAACGGGGTATAAAATCGTTTTAGGATACTAACTTTAAATAAGGAGATTCGATTTTTTTATATTATTCGCGTTTTTTGTATTTTCAACCACTGTGAGTGGTAGGATTGTTGATACTTACAAGAACAGGTTCTCATTTGATCCTCCAATAGGATCTCGGTTGTGAACTTGGTTGATTTCTACTGATTCAGCCAGGGCCATCATAACATAATCTCTTACTACATTCAAGGGGAAATATGGCGAGTACAGTTGTTTGATATTATCAATAGCATCCCTAAATGAAAGAAAAGGTTATTAAGTTGAGAAAATATACTGTTATATTTACGTTATTTCAGACATTTTCATGAGAGGCACCACAGATTCCACCTGCAACTTTCTTAAACTGTGCCCCATTTCAGGATTTTCGTACAGATCTTTCAGTTCCTGGCCAATGGGAATTACGTATTCGTTTTTGCAAACCTCCCTGTAAAAATGCATTAAAATTTTACTTCAAAACATATTTGGCGATATTCTTACATTGTGGTCGCTGTAGCCTCCAAATGCAACGCAATCAGGAGATCATAGAAACCTTGCCTTAGAGGTCCACTCATGTACTCAGACTTGATGGCGTACAAAAGTTGTTTCTGATCCACGTGTTTACATAACACGTGCGCTGCTTTATAATTGCTCTGATAGCATAGAGCCGCATATAGCGTTAGAGTGTGAGCATGGAAACTAAGCAGTTTATCCATCTCAATCAGTTCTAGGATGTCTATGCAACGATCTTCTTCGGGTACGTGCAGCGCTAGCATTGATATAGGGTCTTCACATAACATAGACCAACCTAAAAAATGTATTATACAGGGTGGTACTTGTAGCAACCCAAGCAGCATTTTTGGTTCCAAAAACCATTACCAAAGTGGTGATAACTTTAAATTAGTTAAGTATACTAAACAGCTACTTTAATTTTTACTTAAAAGTAATTCTAACTTTTAAATAGAAAATTTTCTAACAGAAACTTCATTCTTTCCTTAAATGGTTACTATTAAGTAATAAACATTTAAGTAAAACTTGGTTGCCCCCAAGAAGACTTTGCAACTTTAAAAAAGGTGTTATAAGTAAATTTAATTTGTAGCAGTTACTTTCAGTTGCTACCTAAAGATTACATTATAGTTATTTTTACTTTGTAGTCCCTTTGCAAGTTAAAATCTCGAAACTGGAACATGAGTTTAAAACTACAAAGTTAATAACTTAAATGTTATTATTTTAGTATTTGGAACGTTTATGGTACTAACCAAAACTACCGTAAAGTAAATTAAGGTGGAAAAAAACTTTAAAGTAGCGAAAACTACTTTAAAGGAAAAAGCTTCTTATCGGCCATTTTTTACTGTACGTGGTAATGTAAATAATAAATTATTTTAACTGTTTGTAAATGGTTGTTTACTTTTTAATAAATAGTAATTTTGTGGGTAATAGACGGTATTAATAATTAAATAAAAAATTAATAAATATCAAGATTTTTTTATTTATAAACATTATTAACTAAATCATTTGTTTATACTTAAATTTTGATGAAGCGCATTTATTTTACAAAAACTAAATTCATAAGTTCAACAGTAAAATTTAAAAGGTTTATAAATTAACCTGCCTAATTAAACATTACATTGTTATTCTGGAAGTTATAAACTACCAGTACATATTTAATAAACGACGACATTGAAAAGCCAAGTCCGTAGTGGTTCCATTTAAAAAAGGAGGTATAGTATAATCTAATATAAGTTTGACAAATACAGTTAATACGGAAGTAAAAACAAATAAATAAAAGTAATTATAACGCTCTAGCAACGATATTGAAACGTTCTAGTAACGTAGCAGCTACGTTCCAAATAGTAGCAGGGTTTATAGCTAGTGACATATTTGTTACCTTTTTGGAACTCAATAATTGTTCCCCACTTTAGTTGTAACCTTGTAATAAAGAGACCGGCGACTGTCGCAAAACACTTTAAAGTTTCTTCAATAGTCCCATATACATAACAAATACTTAAATTGTTGCTTGTGAACGCAATATGCCTTTAATATTTACCTCTTATGTCAGAAAGCTTCAAAGCATGTACTTGCAAGCTTTGATTTGGTACTCTAGCCCATTGGTGCGGTTTCAAGCACTGCACCTTCAACCTGGGTGGAAATTGCGGAATAACATGTTTGGCGCTATTTTGTAGGACAGCCGCGGACAAGGGTAAACTTGTCGATGTTCTACCCAATTCGATTTGAAGCACTTCTTTGCTCGTGGCTTCAACGAAAATGGCTGGAAAAAGTTTGGTTTCCGGTTCCATCTAAAAAAAACGCTTGTGAGTAAAAGTGTTGCGGGTTTTAATGGGTATATTAACCATGTATTTGTGTGAAGTGGGTTTGCCGTCGCAAGTGAAAGTAATCATACCGGTGGCGGCATCTAGAAAACAACCGATAAACATTCCTTGGGCTGCACCTTTACCAGACGCATCTTGAGTAACTTGATTGTATAATTCGTCAGCCCTCACCATGTAGCAAGCGTGACGGTCCACACTATTAAAAAAACAACATAACCACCAAAACTTTCTCAAATAACGTCTTACTCAGAGATGTAAGAAAAGTTTTTTTCAGGTAGAAAAAAAACATGAAACAAAAGTAAAAAAAACCTTTTTTTTGTTTTTTTCGTTTATTTTCTCTTCAAATTTTGAAAACCCGACACAATAATTCACAATCCTGACATTTTTTTTGTTGCTTTTTTACCCAATTTCCACAAATTTCTGGGATTTTTAATTTTTGCCGGTGTTGCCAAAGATTAACAGAATCTAGGAATTTTTTAAAATTTTCAAGATACCTTCACTATTTAGCGGTGTTGTCAAATTTATATACAGGGTGTCCCAGAATATGTGGGCAATCTCCCGGATTCAAATAGAACACATAAAAATAATATGACAAGTTTTTTTTTCCTATGGAGATACGGTCTCATAACGGACACCTTTAGAAATCGTTTGTTTTTAAATAACTTTTGGACTACTAGGTGGAATTTAATATTTTTTTAATATATTGTTTACTACGAAAGTTTCCTTAAAATTTACACTTTTAATCACATTCGGCTTATTTAGTTTGTCAGAGACGGACTAGCTCTAACAGAGTAATGCTATTTTTTTTAAAGGCACAACAATAGTATTTTTGGTCAGATTAAACCTTAAATTTAAAAAAAGTTACTCCTGATTGACATCGATAAAATGACTATTTACAAAAAAAAAAATGTTTTTGTACAATAGGGTTTTTTGAATTTATTTTTATCTTTTTGCAATGTTTTTTTTACATTTACCAGTTTAAATAATGATGTCAGTGTCAGTAATATTAATAATAGAGTGTTTTGAAATTTTCTTTTCTTTTCATTACAGGGGCGTCCGTTATGGGCCAGTATCTCCGTAGGTGGGGCCGTGGGAAAAAAAATTATAGGAACTTGCCATATTATTTTTATGTGTTTTATCTAAATCCGGGAGATTGACCACATATTCTGTCTGGGACACCCTGTATATATACAGGGTGTTATGTAATTAATGTAATACATTAAAATACCGAATACCTTTTGGCGGAAAAATATTTTAAAAAATATGTTCCACTGGATAAAGAAAAATATGCATTAGAAGTTTTTTATATTTTTTGTGATACGCCACTGGTTACACACTTGTGTTCTGTGAGTACATAGATACCAACCAACAAAGTAGCTGCACGTTGTCAGTTGTAAAAAAAAATTACTAAAAATTTTTCTTGCAAAAAATAAATAAAAACTTTTGGATTTATTTACATAAATTGAATGTTTAAAGTTTAAACTGCGAACTTGTCCTAATTTCATCTGAGTACATTTTTGTATTTATTGAGTTTTTATTTATTTTTTGCAAGAAAAATTTTTAGTAACAATAGTAACTATAGTTCAGATATTTTCAATTTGAGCACATAACCTGAAATTTGAAAGAAATGCACTAGATTCTGTCATAAAAGTTGCCAGATTTTGTTTGTATTTACCTTCATTACAAAAACGACATAATCAACAATTAATAAAAATTGTTGATTTTGTCATTTTTGTAAATTTAAATGTAAATTTAAACAAAATCTGGCAACTTTTTTTGACAGAATCTGGAAACGCTGATTGTTACCAACCATAACATAATTAATTAAATTAGGCAACCAGATTAGCCTAAAGTTTCTAGTCGATCAGTGGCGTACTTTTTGGTAGGATAAAGGTTATTATAAATTATATTACGAATTAAAAAAAAAGGTGCTTCTTTATGAACCCTAAGGAACTACCCATTTTAATATATTAGAACATTAATTACATAACACCCTGTATATTGGCATTTTGCTAAAATTTTATTTTGATGACGTTAATTTCGCATATCCTTTAAAATCTTAATTTTATATATTCGACTTATGACGTGTTTTGTGGGAAACTAAATAATCTACAAAAAATGTATTTACTTTTTACTTTAAATTATATTTTACTACTAAATTAAATTTGTTTTTTTTGCAAAAAAAGAGCCAAAAGGCCAAAACTATGCTTGATTCGATTATTAAAAGAAAGTTTGAAAAAAACAAAATTTTTTTTAACGTTACATCTCTAGTCTTACCCATCAACAACACTGTCGTAAGCATCAGTTATCATGACGGAAGCTTTCAGTACTTGACTTTGGTTGAAATCTTTGCTGTGCAAGTGATATTGTGTGGTCACCCAACCGACGTAAACGTGAGTAGGATCTTGACCGGGGAAAATTCTGACACCATAGAAATATTCGTTGATTAGTTTCAAACATTCGGCGTCATATATTTCGTTTCCTACAGATTCGACATCGGAAGTTTGTGGTACTGACAGTTGTTTTTGTTGGGACGCAGCTTGTGGAGCTTGCAAATCATTCTATAAGAGAGTATTAACAGGACAAGGCTTTAGTTTTTGTACGACATTAAACATAAAAATAAGTATTAAGTAAAAGTAGAGTTCCAAAACCCTTAATAATTGGTTTGCAGCCAATAATCGAATCGAATATTGAAAAAAGAGCTTTTGGGCAAAAATAGAATGCAACATTCACCTTTTCGCCAAGAACGAAAAAAATCATCGAAATATGACCATTTTCAAATTATCTAAGAAGAAAACAAGGTATTTTTGAAAAAATCTATGGATAAGTCTCAAAGTTATGACCGTTTATGTGACATAAACATTAATAAATCAGTCAAGTTCAGACAAACACTAGGCAAAAGAAACTAGTCCTAAAGAAATAAACATACGTAGATTACAAGGCACACTTGGACACAGACGCACAAGTACTAAAAGAATAGCTGCATACTAACCACCCAATCCCCATTCATGAACCCCAATTGAATGGGGTTATTACTAAATACCTGGTTGAGGGGGACTCCGGATTGTACTTAGTTTTGGGTAAGTTCAATGTCTCCCAAAAACCAAAATGTTTTCCCTCCTGGTCTATGGTCCCACACCCCACTAGCCTAAATCGGGCGTATGGCCCAGCCCGGCGACAAAATTCCGGGAGTGGCCTTAAAAATCGACCCTGTCATCCACGACCTCCTAAGAAAAATTTACCAGCCGGGGAGAAAATTCGGATCCACCACACAGGTAATTCTGTGCAGTGGCGGGATACGTATGAGAACCGAAAGGGGGTAAAATAACCCTGGGAGATCAGTGTAAGGCGTTTGCCGATGGGTCCAGCCATACGTTCTATACTCATACTCACTTCATTTTATTACTTTGATCAACAAGCGTAAATATATCCCTGAGAATCCATTCATTGCATTCAAACCTTTTTCGAAAAATCTCAGAGTAACGACTGGTGGAAGATTTCACCATGAAATAAAGTCCATGAAGCCGAGAGATTTTTAGATGAACGAATGGTAGGAAATTATATTTGGTCCCTCATAAGAAAATCAGATACCAAAAAAAAGAACAGAAGATGATCAAAAAGATAAAACTATTTCTAATAAACTGCTATCATAAATGGAAACAAAACCAGCAATTGTATGCCCTGAAAAATTTTACAAAATGAGGATCATTTTGTAAAATTTTTCAGGGCACATAATTTTCCAATACAGCGTTAAAACTTCATGTATTTTTGCATTGTTGCATTCTTATTTTTGAGAGTGATATTTTTCAGCGATTCGATTATGTTTAATTTTACACCTTTTGCAACCAGGTTGGCCGTTTTTAACTCGCCAACTTTTACTCACTCCTTAGTCAAAATTATTTTTTTACCTGCCCCCCTTGTGGTTGTCTTATAGTAGGCTGTCTAGACAGCATAGTATTACTTAACCCTACAGATCTTGACTGTGGGTTGAGTTCCATGCCAATTCTGCCACCTCCTTGAGGTTCTGGAGATTTGGCCTTCTTTTTGGAGCGGTCTCCGCTTGAAGCATCGCGTTTTTTGCCGAAGAACCTTGAAAAAGGTTACACATTATTATTTAGACAACTAAAATGATAAAGAAAGTAGGTACCGAAGCATAGCTATACCTTTCTATAATAATACTGACACCAAACCTATCGTTGAATATCACTAATATTTCTAAAGGTACTTACACAAACACGGTGCATTTAAAATAGTTTTTTTTGTTATTTTACCTGCGGACACTGTCACTGCCCAATTAGCAAATGCATATAGAAAGAGAAGAATAATTTAAAATGATCAATATAAGAATTGTTGTTACCTAAAAGGCGATCTTCCACGTTTTTTCTTATCGTCCGGTGGAGATTTTTCTTGATTTTGTGGGGCCATATCGTTGTACCTATTGATATCTAGCTCACTAGATGATCTACCAACACCTCTACCAAATGATACACCTAAATCTACAACATAAACAAATCATTTAATTAAAGAGTGCCTAGATAGATTTAACGTACTGTTTTCTTCAAAACCATTGACGTTCCTGGACAAAGAGCCTTTCCTAGGCGGTCTAGCAGGCATGCTTCTAGTAGATTTGCTATGCGGTTCACTTCTTTGGGTTTTCATTACTTCGTCGGATTCCACAGCATCCTCCGAGTAGTTCCTGTGCAAACCTTTAATGTCGGTCATGGAAAAGCCGCTTTTCATTATTTGTTCTATGTGAGCTGATGGTTGCTGCATGGCGGCTTGTTGCTGAATAACTTCGGCTTTTAGACGATGCTGCATTATTTTGATGTCGTTCCAACGTCTCATCTTTTCGTCCTCACTAAAAATGAACGAATTGTCCAAAAAATCTTTCTTTTTGAATTTAAGTGTCCCGGATTTTCCTGCATTAGAAAATTCTCCCATAATTTTAACTTGAATGTCCCGAGGCTGTCAAATAAATATTTTTTATCCAATGCTGTTAATTTTTTTTAAGAATTAGCTGACCAGAAAAGCTACATTTCTAGACCGGATTTAGAAATGTTAGAAAATGTTAATGATTTCTATAAAAAATGTTGTTAAAGTTTTAAGAAAAATACTTGGCGAATGATATCCTCTAAACCTTTTTTACATATCGGATTCAAAAAGTGTCCTGAAATTTTTATTCCTTAACCGTCCCCATACGCATTTAGTGGAAAATAAAATTGAACATACTACCCAAGCAGTAAAATTAATCTTAATAACACGGGAATTAGTCAGTTACAGCAATACAAAGTAAAAAGATTACGTTGTATCTTATAGTGATTTTGAGGCTCAATAATAAGGTAATTATTTGCTTCTGTATTTTTATTTTGTTCCGAAACGTCCCTAACGATAATAGACACATCCATTATTTTTGTTTAACAATAACTACGATTTTTTTATTAACATTATGTTAACCTCAATATGAAACTCTGCCATTTACCTACCATTGGTATAAAAAAACATCAGACTGTCCCTTTATTAAACGTACGGTTGGGGACGGTCGGGATAAGGCAAGAACGGTCAGGAAAACAATCAAGTTTTGTACAGCTTAATAAAGACAAATATTAAAATATTTAGGATTTATGTGTATTATGTTGTGGTACGAAACTACTTTTACTTATTTTGTTAAGTATTTCGCCAATTTAAATTAAAAAACAAAACTAAAAATTAAGGAAGCGTATAAAGTAACTAAAATTAACTGGATATTAAAAAAGTGCAGTTAAGATATACCGCAAATATTTAAAAAAAATTATATTAACTTTTTTAATTAGACAAAATTAATAAACACGGAATAAATTACTGCTGACGAAAACATATATTTTCCGCACCCTGTTTAAAACGGTTTATTATACTAAAATTCTGAAGGATGCATTAAGTTTTATTTTATATAGTCAACGTATCAGTTCATTGAATTAAAAAAAAGTAGCCTTAACAGGATTTTAGTAAGACACGGCTCTTCCCATTAAAAAAATAGACCCTTAGTTTAAATTGCTTTCCAATTTATGTGGGTTTGAAAAGTTAGAATAACATTAATTAATTAACAGTTATAAATTATAAGTAAAAAGTAAATTTCTGCCTATATTAAAGATTTTTCCCATTTTTTTTTATAAATAAGGTAAGGAACGGTCAAAAAAAGTACTAGTGCTTTGGTGACTTAATAAACTTCTAACTTTTAAAATAATTAAAATTGTGCTTTGCCATTTAGCTTTTCATTCGAAGGCAAGGTCTAGAGTAGGGTGTTTCAAAATAAGGCAATATTTTTTTTTCAAATTTATGTAAAATTCTCGCCACTAATTCTAAAAAAATAATTCTGTCAAAATTTGAGCTCTTAATATTAATTTTAAAAGGCATGGAAAAATAGTTTTTTAAGATTTATTTCGACTGTATGCTATGTAGAACTTTTTTTTTTGATTAACAATCACTGGTCCTTTTTTAGCATTAAGTATCTACAAAAAATCTTACAAAGTCCAGTGTGTAGATTCAACTGTTTATTTTTTTATTAACGTTGAAACGTATAAATTATAAAAAAAATTGATATTTTTACATTTAGCGGCTAAACTACTAATCGTAGAAGAAAAAGTCAATTAGCAATTTTGAAGATCTTTTAATGCTCTAAAAATTCGTTTTAAACAATTTTTTTTTACACCTACAGTTCAAAAGTTATAAGTGTCTAAAATCCTATTTTCATTATATTACAATATTAACTGTAGGAAAAAAGTTTAGGGACAATTTTGCAGGAAACTCGAAGCTCTATAAATAACGTACCAAGATTCTTCAACGCACTCAATCACTGAATTTAAGCTAAAATAGCTTAACTTTTATGATATTCTTAATTTCATGATCCAGCTTTTGACTGCAAATAAAACTTTATGCCTACTTCGCTTCAAAAAAGTTTTGAAATACTGAAAATAATTTTAAACCTTTAAATCGTTATTTATAAAGCTTCGAGTTTCCTGCAAAATTGTCCCTAAACTTTTTTCCTACAGTGAGTATTATAATAATATATTAATATATAATAGTATATTATATTATATATTAGGGTGTACCAAAAAACTCGATATTTTTTTCTTGCTCTCCACCCAAAATATCGTAGAATATGTCCGAACAAATATCCTGTTAAAAACAGAGCTCATAATTTCAATTTTAAGAGGTCCTTTATCGAATCTGAAGTTTTGCCGCTTAAATAGCACAGAAAACGGACTTTTTTACCTTATTTATTCTTGCAACCTAGGAAGAAATTTTTTTTTCATAAAATCCATGACCAAATCTTACAAAGCATTAAATTTGGACGAAAAAATCTTATTAAGCCGAATTTCTATTTTTATTATTTGATTTTTTACAGAGCTTTAAATTTAAAATTTTACGTTTTTTGCCTTTTTCAGCTAAACTATTGAAGTTAGACGAAAACGTCAAATGGCAATTTTTTAGCTTGTCTGATGGACCACAAAAAAGTTTTAGGCGAATTTTTTTATCGTCAATATTCTAAAAGTTACAGGCGTATAAAGTCATCATTTTTGTATTATTAACTTTAAATTTAAAGCTATGTAAAAAATAAAATAATGAAAATAGAAATTCGGCTTAATAAGATTTTTTTGTCCAAATTTAATGCTTTGTAAGAATTGGTAATAGATTTTATGAAAAAAAAAAAATTCTTTCTAGGTTGCAAGAATAAATAAGGTAAAAAAATTCAGTTCTCTGTGTTATTTAGCGGCAAAACTTCAGATTCGATGAAGGACCTCTTAAAATTGAAATTATGAGCTCCGCTTTTAACAGAATATTTGTTCGGACATATTCTACGATATTTTGGGTAGAGAGCAAGAAAAAAAATATCGAGTTTTTTTGGCACACCCTATTATATACAGGGTGTCCGGGAAAAGGAGGTCAATCCGGTAACCATATATTCCTTGAGTTAAAACAATAAGACTTTCATAATACCATTTTTCAATTTAGAGCTTCATGTTCAATATACAGGGCGACGAAGTTTGAAATTTAAAACTGATTTTTTTTAATAATTCGAGTAATTGATAAGATATTAAGTTTAAATTCGGTACACTACTTCAACATAAATAGTTACATTTTTGGAGACCAACAAAACAAAAAAACAATTGTCAAATAATCAAAATAGGGGGATCCAGTACTCACTGACTCCCCCTATTTTTTAGTACGTGCGCCAATGACTTCCAAACGTTATTTTTTCAGGTAATCATTTACTGTTGAACATTTTTTGTCTCTTATAAAATTTTGATAAAATGATTTGTTTTAGAGATAATTTGTAAAGTATGGGTCAGTCCATATCAAATTTTCGAAATTTAATTTTTTTTTGAAAAAATTTAGGTCATGTGATATATCATAAAAAAGGTTTCTAATAGGCCTTTAAAATAAGCCACCACTCACCTTTCTACTTTTAATAGTTTACGAGATATCGCTATTTTTGTAAGTACTTGCAAGACCCAAATTTATCGGAATTTTTTGATTTTCAAAAATCAATAAAACAAAAACCACCTATCGAAAAAAATTCATATATGGGATTTTTGAAATTTTTAGTGAGGTAAACAAATTTACCAAAAATTATCAAAATCGGAGATGGTGGGGGAAGAACCTTTGGTTGATTTGATATGGACTGACCCATACTTTACAAATTATCTCTGAAACAAATCATTTTATCAAAATTTTATACGAGACAAATTTTTTTTAACAATAAATTATTACCTGAAAAAATACTGTTTGAAAGTCATTGGCGCACGTACTAAAAAATAGGGGGAGTCAGTGAGTACTGGACCCCCCTATTTTGATTATTTGACAATTGTTTTTTATTTTGTTGGTCTCAAAAAATGTAACTATTTATGTTGAAGTAGTGTACCGAATTTAAACTTAATATCTTATCAATTACTCGAATTATTAAAAAAAATCAGTTTTAAATTTCAAACTTTGTCGCCCTGTATATCGAACATGAAGCTCTAAATTGAAAAATGGTATTATGAAAGTCTTATTGTTTTAACTCAAGGAATATAATATATTCCTATATTATGGTTAATGGATTGACCTCCTTTTCCCGGACACCCTGTATATTAGAATTAATTTTTATGTCCCAAGACAGGGTACCCATTCCTGTCCAACTTTTTATTGCTGTAGATGTCGTACTAATATTCTTAAAAAATCTTCTATTTATATTATGTGTCAAAATTTTAACATGTTAAATGGTTCTCCTGATATTAATTATTCCTCAATAAATAATATTGTGAATAGAATCAATCTTTAATTTTGTCAAATAGGTTATATTTATTATATTTACTATATTTTATTGTATATTATTATGTGTTGCACTTTGTTAATATGTAATATTACTGTATGTGTGATAAATTGTGCTGTAATTGGTTATTTGTACTGTTGGACAGTAAAGTATTATTATTATTATTATGCATAATAATTAAAATAGGATTTTAGACACTTAAACTATTTGAACTGTGGGTGATAAACAAAAATTATTTAAAACAAACTTGTAGAGCAGTCAAAAATCTTCAAAATTGCTAATTATCTTTTTCTTCTACGATTAGTACTTTAGCCGCTAAATGTAAAAATATTTTTTTTTTTAGAATTTATACGTTTCAACGTTAATAAAAAAGAAAGAGTTGAATCTACAAACTGGACTTTATTAAGAAAAAAAGTTCTACATAGTATGCAGGCGAAATAAATCTTAAAAAACTATTTTTTCATGTTAAATCAATGGGAAAATTTTAAATTCGGTGATGGACCTTTTAAAATTAATATTAAGAGCTCAAATTTTGACAGAATTTTTTTTAGCATAAGTGACAAGAATTTTACATGAATTTGAAAAAAAAATATTGCCTTATTTTGAAACCCTAGTCTGGAGTCAAAAAATAATTTCAACAAGGAAAACCGACAAATTTTATGTTTAAAAATTTTTGGATATAAATATTAAAATTATGGGATAATTACTCATAATATATTATATACCTGATAAACTCTGAATGGCAAATGACAGGCAAACTGAGCCTCAAAAACTCCCAGTTAGCCTTCTCCATAGTCTCAAACGTATTGTGACTGATCTTCAAACAAGGCGGAGTATCGGACCCGGCCAAAATCCTGGTGACGTCGATTTTCGTATCGAGCATGTCGTCGGTATTCTCGAATATCGGCTGGTCTTTTGTATACCAGTACGTGACAGCTCTGTTCATGTTGACGCAGAAGGGTTCGTAGCCTTCTTGAAGCCCGCACATCGTGAAGTATTTAAGCTGTGTCACGTCCTGCCCGAAGCAGAGGCGGGCTTTTTGGCCGACTCCCAAAGTGAAGGCGGGTACGAAATTATCGCCCTGTACATCGGCGAATGTTGTTTCGCCACCAAGGGCGTCCATGAGAAGTTCACCATTTAGCGAGAAACCTAAACATTTGATTTTGTAGTTATTTTTAACGTAGGGTTGCTAGATACACAAGAAATTTTGAAGATAGCATTAATAAACAGTAGGTCCATGCAAATAATTAGTAAGAATAACCATTGCATATTGTTATAACATTGCAATGTAAAAACTCAACTAAAAATAAAACAAAATATAACCTGAATAAAAAAGCGTACAGTCTGTATATTTTTTTGGTATATAAGCGATAAATATAAGTATTGTATTAATAATAAAATAAGCCTGCGTTGTATTTTGTTTTGATTCTTACTTATTGTATGATCAATTAGATCAAGGAAGACACCAACTACGTCATTAACTTGCCATTGTTTTCCAAACGATTCCGCAGAGTTACAGAATACTTTCTCTTCCTAAGAACATTCACAAATTTCGAATTAGAACACAAAAATAATTTCAAAAAATCAAAAATCAAAAACATGGAAAGTCAATGCGCGAAAAAACCTGAAAATACATTTACAAAATTGTACATTGATTTTTCAAACCGACTCACTAATAAATCTATCATAAAAATTGAAAAAGCAGCCGATTACGTCTCCTATTTTGTATTTTAAACCAAACATTTCGTACGCTCCTCCGTGCCACTTTTTACCCTAATATTTACATAGTAAGCAACACAATAAATTATTTATTTAGAGATGAAGGGTATTCTAGTTTAGACAGACCGCCTTTAACTTTATTTTAAATTAAAAGCTTTTCATTTTTTGAATTTTAATGTTAATTATTTATTTTTTAATGAGTAGAAATTTTCCAAGTGAGCCCATGATTTTCGACGTTAAAAGAAATATAAATTAATAATCTACTAAGTAGTAGAAAGTTACCAAACATTTTTTTATACTTTATTCGTTTATTTTTATATATGACGTTTGTTATTTTTACAAGTAATACATTTATTTTTTTCTTTTTTATTTTCATTCCATGTCCTGCATCTTATAAAAATAAAACATTGGAAATTGTTATTTTATACTTTTATGTTAATTATGACGATATTTGAGTAAATATGGCGTACCTTGATAGAACGCAAGGAAGTACCTGTTAATTAACAAGTTAACTTACCGCTCAAATATTATTTATCTTTGACCCAAGGAGCTATCAGAAAATTGTTTAATCGGTTCCTTAATCTTTAGCTTTCAGAGCTTCTTTTACCTCCTATTTTTTTTTAAATTTCCTTAAGGAGAACAAGGCCAAATTAACATTTTTTTTAAATAAAAAAAATAAAAAAGTAGCCAAAAAAATAATAGCAGGTTTTTGAAAATTTTATTATTAATTGCATTTATTTCACATTCTCACAAATTTGTATTAATTTTTTATAAATAGTTCACAAGAAAATAATTTTTAAATCAAATGCAACAGATTTGTTTAATCGTACACTGAAAAAAATTTACGAAATTTTACACATCCAAACACACATTTATTTCTGTTTTTTTACTTAAGAAATGTGTTGTTCCATATAAAACATGTACACACATACTTACATAAGTAAAATAGCATTAATTTATGTATTTTTTTAAATTAATATGTAGTTTTTCATATTATTATGTAATAAATCCTTAAATTTATGTGCTTTTACAATTTTTAATGTACTTGTACTATTATTTTCTTGAATTTTAGATTTACATGACCTTTGCATTTTTACACATTATATGTAGTTTTACAGTATGTTTGTACATATACATTTAAATACGTGGCATCAAAATAACCAACGATCAGATGTGTAAATTTACTAAATATTTTTTTGAGTGTAGGTACATTGTGAATAAACGAATTGAGTTAAAAAAAAATGTAACCATCTACTACTTAGTATACTATACATTATTAATTAATATTTATTTTTAATTTCTATGACAACGTCGAAAATCATGGGGTGCGTTCATGAAGCTTTACCCGAGTAGAGTTAATATGGCGTCGTGTAAACTCATAGTGCTTGATTTATTTTATGCCGTCATGAACGACTCTGAGTAAAAACAACTTAACCTTATTTTCTGACATTTTAAATTTAATTTATGCATAAATAACATGTAAACTTAAATTATATTTTATTATATTTAATATGGATAGAGTTAAAAAACTTTCAGCGTTCACTTTAATTGTCCATTGAAGTTGTTTAACTAAAATTTTTATGTTATTACTTATAAAATAAAAGTAATTATGGGAAATACATACGCATATTATCTTGAACCAGTAACAATCCGTCTTCGTTATAGATGATATTACCCTCAGGGTCAGTCACAATGGTATAATTATCCATTATTTAATTAATTTAGCAACTATATCACAAATAGCAACAACGATTTCTATATAAACACAAACACAAATAACCTCAATTTAAATTCAAATTTGACAATTCAAATTCAACTTTGACAATTCAAATTCAAATTTGACAATAACATACTACAATGCGCATGCGGAGTTATTTTAACGCACCTACAAGAGGTGGGTTAAAAATGTAAACTCGGTGTTAAATATCCTGGTAGTCACGAACGATTTAGTCAAGTTAAAGTGTAGATACCGCTGTTGTAATGAACGTTTTGAGTTAACTCCGAGTGAATCGAGTAAACGTCATGAACGCACCCATGGGCTCACTTGGCAAATTTCTACTCAATGACGTTTAAAATATAAAAACAGTCCACGTACAGGGTGGTCCACGTAAGGTGACCCATATACTTATCTCAGAAACTACTGGAGTCACAAAAAATTTGTAAGGAACAAATATTCACGAAGTAAAAAATATTTTTAAAATATTATATTTTCATTTATACAGGGTGTTCGGTTTTCCTTGGGACGATACCAACTTTCTTATTTTCAATGGAACACCCTGTATTTTTTTGCATTTTTGGATTCTTCCCACTCTTTTAGGTATACTTTGTAAATATATTAAATAAGAAAATGTTAATACTTTTTGAGTAAAATTAAGATTTATTAAAATTTCTCTAAATGTAGACACTCGCTAAAAGTTAAAAATAACCAACTAAAAGTTATTATTTTTTATATTATGTAGTATCCATCTCTTTAATAATAAGTAAGCTATAAGTTAATTATTATATTTTTTGGAAAATATCATACAGGGTGTTTTTTATGTCCCGTTGAAAATAGCGATTTTAAAAGTTTAAAATCTTGTTTTTATTCAATGGAACACCCTATATATTTTTGCATAATTGGATAGAATAAGTAATTACCTTTCATTTTATATATATATGTCCTATACCTAAACCTAACAGAAAAAAAAATATTCGCATTTTTCACAATTAGTAGCTTTTTTCCAATTACCTTAGTTAAATTTTCATTATTCAAAGAAAACACCCTGTATAATATTTTCCAAAAAATAAATTAATTAACTTATAGCTTACTTATTATTAAAGAGATGAATGCTACATAATATAAAAAATAATAACTTTTAGTTGGTTATTTTTAACTTTTAGCGAATGTCTACATTTAGAGAAATTTTAATAAATCCTCATTTTACTCAAAAAGTATTAACATTTTCTTAATTAATATATTTACAAAGTATACCTAAAAGAGTGTGTAGAATCCAAAAATGCAAAAAAATATAGGGTGTTCCATTGAAAATAAGAAAGTTGGTATCGTCCCAAGGAAAACCGAACACCCCGTATAAATGAAAATATAATATTTTAAAAATATTTTTTACTTCGTGAATATTTGTTTCTTACAAATTTTTTGTGACTCCAGTAGTTTCTGAGATAAGTATATGGGTCACCTTAAGTGGATCACCTAAAAAAAATATTCGCATTTTACAAAATTAGTAGCTTTGCGCGTATGGTAATTATTATAGTAATATATATTTATATATAAAAGCATTTTTATTTGTTGTTATTGAAATTTATTTCTTTGAATAATGAAAATTTAACTAAGGTAATTGGAAAAAAGCTACTAATTGTGAAAAATGCGAATATTTTTTTTTTCTGTTAGATTTAGGTATAGGACATATATATATAAAATGAAAGGTAATTACTTATTCTATCCAATTATGCAAAAATATATAGGGTGTTCCATTGAAGAAAAACAAGATTTTAAACTTTTAAAATCGCTATTTTCAACGGGACATAGAAAACACCCTGTATGATATTTTCCAAAAAATATAATAATTAACTTATAGCTTACTTATTATTAAAGAGATGTATACTGCATAATATAAAAAATAATAACTTTTAGTTGATTATTTTTAACTTTTAGCGAGTGTCTACATTTAGAGAAATTTTAATAAATCTTAATTTTACTCAAAAAGTATTAACATTTTCTTAATTAATATATTTACAAAGTATACCTAAAAGAGTGGGTAGAATCCAAAAATACAAAAAAATACAGGGTGTTCCATTGAAAATAAGAAAGTTGGTATCGTCCCAAGGAAAACCGAACACCCTGTATAAATGAAAATATAATATTTTAAAAATATTTTTTACTTCGTGAATATTTGTTTCTTACAAATTTTTTGTGACTCCAGTAGTTTCTGAGATAAGTATATGGGTCACCTTACGTGGACCACCCTGTACATGTTATGTCATATTATGTCATCCTCAGCTGTCCTATTATTATTTTTTTTGTATCATGTAGAATATTTTAGAAGATTGACAAGTTCTTCAAGCAAAAACGCTTAAAACTTTTAAAACTGCTTGTCGAAAAAATACTTAATACAACCGTTACTTTTAAAACCAGCCTGCTAAACAAGAATTCCTTCTAAAAATGTCAAGAAACATAAATTAAATAAACTTACATTGTATCCGTCAAAAGCCCAAGTACTCTCATCAGAACCCAACATGGATCCGGGCGCGCAATCGGCCCTGGCCCATCCGACCCTCATAGGGCCCGCGGTCAAAATTTCGAACTCGAAATACCACTTTCCCGAGCCGACCGCGTAGTTTTTCTCGGCTCTGTACGTTCGGAAAGCAGACTGCCGCAATCGGCTCGCCTCGGCCAGAAGGGTCTCTTGCTGCTCGCCGGTGGGCGGGTCCAAGTTGTAGCCGTACACCAACAGGGTGCGCACTGTTTCCGATGCGGTGTCGCGATTGGCTTTCTTGATTGCGTCGTCTACTTTGCAGTAGGGGACCAAGTGAGGGCTGCGGTACATGTCAGGATCCTAAAAAGAGTTAAGGTTTGTTTTCATTTTGTTAATTGAACTGTCCTAAAAACTAATATTTATGCCCATTTTTTTAACGAATCGGTATGTCACGTCAAAACTTTACAAGAGGTAAAAAAACCGAATCATTAAAAAAACAACAATGTGACTTTGGCGTGTACTGCTAGGTTCTTAGTGTTGTTGACTTGTTAAATTCTTTTAGAAAAAAAATCAATATTATTGAAAATTGTCGGTTGTGGAACTGATTCAATTATTTAAGGTATTTTTAAGAGTTTGTAAAACAACTGGTAGAAGTTAAAAATGAGGTATAAATTTTTAATTTAGTAATGACTCGTTCGATACAGAGGGCAATAGTATACATAATACCAAGATACTTCTGCAGGTATATACGCGTCAAAAAGGTAGTCGAAGGTGGCGAAAAGTTATCACCCGATTTTCCTAATACTTCAGGCAAAATATTTGTCACTTTATCTTTAATGTAAACTGGTATAAACTGGTCATTATACTTTTTAGCCCCACCTACCTCTAAAAATAAATATTTCACATTTTCGTATTCATTGTGACTATTACTAAGGCAAACTAAAGGTAATTCTTCAAATGAGATCATACAACGGTTCTTAGATTTTTGTTTCCTATTTATATTCACTACATACTCCATCAGAAAACATTTTAATTTAAGATAAATTACTGGTCGAAAATTGCATTTGATAACAAAAAAGTTATAAACAAACTACTTTTTTTTAACTTTTTTAATAGTCTATTGCATCCATGTAAAGTTCAGCTAACCAATCATCCTCAACAATTTTTAGAAATTTTATATACAGTGTGCCTACTTAAGTTGGCAACATATGGGAAACTTTTTTATTATTAATTTTAAGAAAAAAAGTTATTCTTTATAAAACGTTCTGCATGTTCTAAAATCTAAAATACAATCATCAGATATAAAAAAAAATTGTTGTATACGCGGTTTGTCAAAAAATATCAATCTTACTCAAGAGTAAAGTTCCTTTATATTTGACAACATCGAAAATGCTTATTAAAAAAAGTTGATCATAACTAAAAACTACCTTTAAATATGCAATAATTGCAGTAATAATTGAAGTAATTATTACTTCCATTTACAAGGAAAAATCATTTTTTGTTTACAATAACAATGCAAATGTAACTGTAGTTACATGTAATCTAGGATTCACTGACAAATAAATGATTTGTTGAATGTTTGGTATTGGTTATTTGAGAAAAATTTGTAAAATAATTTTTTTAAGTAGAAGGATATAATTGCATACTAAAACATAGTTTTTCATTCCAAACAACTTTTTATAATTAATTAATAACTTTTCGATATTGTCACAAATAATATGTAGTTATTTGTTTTACAAGTGTTGAAAAGCAACTTTTTCATGCGAGTGTTGAAGTTGCTCACGAGGCCGTTATGCCGAGTGTGCATTAACACGAGCTTGAAGAAAGCTTTTCTCAAAAGTGAAACACAATGTTTTTTCTACGACCCTTTTATTTTTAAATACAAAACAAAATGACCTAAAAACGTGTTTGACAGCTGTTAAAATTACTTTCATCTTATTCTTTTAATTATCAAGGTATAAGTTACCTTCTCAATTTAAATAATGGTACTAAAAATTAGAATTTTTTAAACAAACACAATAAATTGTGTTCTAAATGATATTTCGACATACATATACAAATACAACACAAATTTTGAAACGAATGCCAAACGATGCTGTCAATTTCTTTTCACTTTTTACACAGAAATGTCACTTTACATTCGTGTTTTTCCTTGCCAATGAAAAGATTTATTTTCTAAGCAACGATGCCATTACAAAATGTGACTTTTACATAGTGGTCATAGAAAAAGGTACTTTACTCTTGTACCAAATTCATATTTTTTGTCCAACCTTTTATATGACTAAAACAATTTGATATCTGAAGATTTTATTTTAGATTTTAGAACATGCATAACTTTTTATAAAGAATAAGTTTTCTTCGTAAAATTAATAATAATAAAGTTTTCGATATGTTGCTAACTTAAGTAGACACACTGTATAAGTATTGTACTATGCTCCACACCTCAAAGTCCCACCACGTGACCACGTACGGAACGCAGTCTATTGAAAATTTGGCATTTAAGGCTTTTCAGGTTATGTATCTGTCAAAGTATAGTCAACGAAAGAAATAATATTATGTTTAGGCGTTAAAAATGTTTAAATCTTTATAACATTACAATAACATTGGATGGTTTAAGAATTTAAGAATATAAATACTGCATTTAATGAAATTCTAAAGTGTATGGTGCCAAATAAGTAATATTTTTGTGCATTTGGTCCAAATACCTGTTTTTCTTCATAAAATAATATTAACTAAACAGCATTTATTAAAAAAAATCTAGCTTCTCTATTATGGAAGAAGAATATCTGTTTAAAAGGTAGGTTAATATATTATAACAAAAATATCATCTAATTTTGTAATTTTAAGGTTAGAAAAATTTATTTTGACTAAAATAATAAGTATATTGGATTATTTAAAAGACTGTATAATATGGTATTTAAAAATGTGGTGGTTTTTCTTATCCAGCTTAAAGTGTACCTACATAAAGTTTTGTCAATACAAATAGTTAAAGAGCTTTGACTGAACTTGATCTACATCGAAAAATCATTATAACTTTAAAAATTTTAATAAATCACATGTCATGGGAATATTAAATATTTTCACATTGCAAGTTTCTCTAAAAATTGTTTGTTTTCTTGTAATCTAACTTAAAGTAGGTATGCCGAGAGGTATGCACAAGTTTTGTCATTAGAAGTATAAAAGCTTCAATTTAATTTGAACGATATTCAACAATTATTTAGTATACCTATATTTATTTATGACCATATTAACACACTTCAATCCACTTATTTATTTTGGTCAAAATAGATTTTTCTAACCTTAAAATACAAAATTAGATGATATTTTTTGTTCTAATACATTATCTACCTTTGATACAGATATTCTTATTTCATAATAGAGAAGTTAGATTTTTTTAAATAAATGCTGTTTAGTTAAAACTATTTTATGGAGAAATGTAGACCCAATGCACAAAAATATCCCTTATATTGCACCTTACACTTTGGAATTTCATTAAATGCAGTATTTATATTCCTAAATTCTTAAACCAACCATTGTTATTGTGATACTATAAAGATTTATTAACTTTTAACGCTTAAACATAAGCGGTAACACTATAAATATTATTTCTTTCATTGACTATACTTTGACAGATACATAACCTGAAAAGCCTTAAATGCCAAATTTTCAAAAGACTTCGTTCCGTACGTGGTCACGTGGTGGGACTTTGAGGTGTGGAGCATAGTACATTAGACTGGGCCAAAAAAATCAACTATTTTTTTTTGAAAACCATATCAAAAATATGGTTTGGGGCGACAAAAAAAATTATTGTGAAAGTTTGAGTCCATAATATTATTATTAAGAGGTCTATCACCCCAATTTTAATTTTTTTTTCCCTCATCAAGTTTTTGTCTCAGAACTCCCAAACCATTGAGTTTAACAAAATTTACTTAAAAATATTTTTTTAAGAAAATTAAATGCTCTACAAAAAAGGTTAAATAAAATTTTTCGTCAGATGAACCGTTTCCTTAAAATCATGCCCTGAACATTGGTATAGTTTTACATTTTGATCTTTTAACTTTGGAATTTTGAAATTCACGTAAAAATCAGTACCCATAAAAAAACCGATAAATATTCTTATGTGAAATCAAATGCTTTACCAAAAAAGCCTCTTAACATTTTTGGCTAAATTCACTCGATCAATCCGTATAGCTTTTTAAAATATTCATGATAACATGAAAAATCGCAGGCCAACTTCAGGAATTCTGACTCACAGAAATTTACTGTATTTTATAAAATATTACTTACTTCATTTAGGCCATATGTCCACCCTTGCTGAATTCTCTCCTTAGCCCACAAATTATGCGTATTTTCCGCCAACTGGTCAACCAACTCTTCTAACTTAGCCGTTAAGGCAATTTGAGTTAAATCAAGGGGAGCAGGCTTATAACCATTGGCTTGCATGAAGGGCTCATTGGGCAATCTTATAGTCTTTATTCTTGAGGGTGGTTTGTCCATGGTAATGTAGTAACCCAGAGCAATAATTGTCCTAAAAAGTCATTGTAATAAAAACTTAATACAAATGATCAAATCGTTGCTTACTTTAATGTTTGTACTGCTAACTGGGAGTCGTATCGTTTTTCTGCAGGTGGGAGCTTGTCGAAAGGCACTAAACATGGATGAACATGTCTTAAATCGTCCCTGAATTCGCCCCACTGCCAGCCAGCTTCAATTTTGTTCATCGCCCACATTTCGTGGATATTTTCTGCCAGTTTGTCTTTTATCGAGTCTATATACGAGGCTAATGTAACCATGGAGGTATCGACTGGGTTTGGCACGAAAGCGGTGTCGTCTTCTATGTATAGAGGTCCGGCGATTACGTTTTTGTTCATGTTTCCGAAGTAGAAACACGGTTCTAGGCATAGAACCTGCTGCGGGAGCAGACTTTCCACCAAAGGCGAGAACTCTTCTGGTGGCAGGTATTTTAGTTTGCCGTGGTCTCCGCCTAATAGAAAGCGGCAACTAGAAGAAAAAATATATGGGTTTATGATCTTCAGAAAAGGGAATATATTAACCTTAGTTTGGAAGAACAGCTGATTGCAGGAAAAAACATGCCGTCTAAATTAAAATTACGGAAGCTTCCTTTAATTGGCACACCGTTGAAGGTGAAAGAGATAATTGGAATTGTTAAATCTAAGGCACAGCCAATAACGTCATCTATGAAAAAAATGTTAATAAAAATTCTTAGTTGATGTTGTAGTTTTTTACTTTTTTTAATGTGTGGTTCAGTAGGATTATCTGAAACAATGGTGCTTCTACCACCTGTCCATAAATAGGCTCCATCGAAACCATAGGAGTAAAGATCGTCTCCTACACCGTTACCACCCCATTTTTCGCCGCCACCAGGGTAAGGGACATACCTAAATAAAGATGTTTAAACTCCAAATTTATAATATAAGGTTTTTATATAGTTTCATTGCTTTTATGGTCATTTATGGCAAAAAAAATGACTATATATACTAGGGTGATTTAAAAAAAACTTTTTTGTTTTTTTTTCTCGGAACCACGCTCAAAAGTTTTCGTATAAATGTAAAAATGAGCCTGTAAGAGATGAGCTCTTAATTTAAAAATTAAAATGCTCCGCATCGCACTTTTCGATTTTCCATAAAAATAACATAGGAAAAATTATTTTTATTTCTTCTGATTTTTGTAACTAACGAACGAATAGGTCTGTAAAGTTCTTAACATATTTTTGTAGAGAATTCAACGCTTTACAAAAAAGGTTTCTTATGATTTTTTGATAAATTTGATCCTTCTAAAGTAATTTAAGGTCAAAGTTTAAATTATACAAAATTTTTCTTATTTTAACTGTTTTGGAGAGTCTAACCGAATCATTTAAAATTTGGAATATTTTTGTAGAGAATTTAACGCTCTACAAAAAAGGTCTAAAGTCATTTTTCGGTAAGTTAAATTGGTTAAAAGTTATTCGAGGTTAAAGTGAAATTAACCGTCAATTTAGCCGTTTTCTCGAAAAAACTCCTAGATTTTTAAGTTCAAGGGCTAAAAACAAATCGAAATATTGTTTTTGGGCTCTGGAAATTCAAAAAAACATAACTATCGATATTACGATCTCGAAAAGCTCCAAAATTTTATGGTAGAAATATTTTCAAACGATTTCAGCCTAAAGTAGCAGGAAGTTCCATAAATAGCATGAAGGGTTATTCTTTTTTCTAATTTTTTTGAAAAATCTACCCGATTTATGCAAAAATATTGCTCCTAATAACATTTTTTTTAATTTTCTGGAATTCTTAGATTATCTTAATCAAATTGTAACAGAAGTTTTTCCAAAAAGTGGGAGGTTAAAGTGAAATTAACCGTCAATTTAGCCGTTTTCTCGAAAAAACTCCTAGATTTTTAAGTTCAAGGGCTAAAAACAAATCGAAATATTGTTTTTGGGCTCTGGAAATTCAAAAAAAACATAACTATCGATATTACGATCTCGAAAAGCTCCAAAATTTTATGGTAGAAATATTTTCAAACGATTTCAGCCTAAAGTAGCAGGAAGTTCCATAAATAGCATGAAGGGTTATTCTTTTTTCTAATTTTTTTGAAAAATCTACCCGATTTATGCAAAAATATTGCTCCTAATAACATTTTTTTTAATTTTCTGGAATTCTTAGATTATCTTAATCAAATTGTAACAGAAGTTTTTCCAAAAAACTTTTGGCTGAAATCGTTTAAAAATATTTCTACCATAAAATTTTGGTCCTTTTCGAGATAGGAGTTTTTTCGAAAAAACGGCAAAGTTGACGGTTAATTTCAGTTTAACCTTGAATAACTTTTATCCAAGTTAACTTACCGAAAAATGACTCTTGACTTTTTTGTAGAGCGTTCAATTCTCTACAAAAATATTCCAAATTTTAAATGAGTCCTGTACACTCGCCAAAAAAGTTAAAAAACCCAAAAAAATCGTATAATTTGAACTTTGACCTCAAATTACTTTAGAAGGATCAAATTTATCAAAAAATCAACTGTATACTGTAAAGTTCTTGAAATATTGAGTATTTTCGTAACTAACCGCTTATTTTTTAAATTACCCAGGTCTAACATTTTAAGAGTTTTCAAAAATAGGTTTTATGTACATAAATTTGACAATTCGTTATTATTTGTTTAATTTACTACAAAAGTATGTACTACTATCCATATTAGGGTGGCCCAAAAAATAAGAATATTTTGTTTCTATTGTCTCTTGTGAAAATATGTTGGTTTGTCATGTTTTAAGAGCCCTGTCAACAGATCAGCTCCATTAATAGTTATTTACGTGTCAAGCTTTGTAAATGAATCTTTACGGGCGAGTTGGAAGTTTGTGGGGTGAGCGACGCAGGAGCAAACCCCATAATCCAGTGAGCCTAGTGAAGATTAATTGCAAAGCGTGACACGTACAAACTTTTATTTTTACGTTTGGATAACGATTTTCAAATTTAAAATTTCAATTAATGTGTCAAATTTGTCATTTTATTTCATAAATTGCTTTTCTACAATCCTGTAAAACTTTACAGGTCTTTTATACAAGCCCGTAAAATATTACAGGACTGTTCCCATAATGTATCGTTTACTTGGATACAAAAACAACAAAATTAACCTTTAAAATGTCATTTACTAAGAAGGTGGAAATAAAAATTTTTTAGGGGTCGCTCAAGATTTTTAAAAATTTCCAAAATCGTCAAAAATTGGATTTTTTTTTATTTTAATTTTTTTTCTCGTTCCGATATTATTTTTTAATTTAAAAATAATAATGATTCTGAAAATTTCAAATGGATATTTTGATTTCTAAAGGTCGCTCAAGATTTTTTTAACCTTCAAAAGAGTATTTTGAATGTTTTCGAGCGACCTCTGAATATAAATACCAACGAACTTTAGCCACCTTTGGAAATTAAAATATTGATTTGATATTTTTAAAATTTTTATTATTTTCCACCAAAAAGAGACAAGAAAAAAAATTAAAATAAAACAAAAATTCAATTTTTGACGATTTTTAAAATTTTAAAAAATCTTGAGCGACCCCTAAAATTTTTTTAATTGAGCTGATATTTTGACAGGGCTCTTACAGCATGATAAACTAACATATTTTTACAAGAGACGAGAAAAAAAAAGATATTCTTTTTTTTTGGGCCACCCTAATCCATATACACAAAAATATGATTCAAAATATTTACCCTTTAGAATTGGCCCAACCGATTCTCAGATGCGGCATCATATGCGTAGTTTTTTCCAAATGATCGACCGTCACCTCAAAGTACCACTTTTGAAAAATTGCGCTACCTTCTAATCGTCCAACAAAAATATTAGGGCGGACGCTAAAATAAAAACCCCGTTGAACAAAATCACATCTATAATTTTCCTTTGGGAACTTACCTAGCCACATGGTCAACCAATTGAGTCTGCAACAGTAAATTCTTACCGGGCAGCAAAAAATCACAGATGTTATTTTGCGAACTACGCACTGCCACTCCATTACCAACACAGAGAGAACAAAGTACGTCCAATACTTTTGGGTCCCTACCGTGTTTTTCCAATAGAGAGATAATAACTTTAATGTGTTCATCCTAAAAAATATTACGTTTAATATGCATTAGTTTTGATTTCATATTTGTTACCCTCATCATATTCAAGGCTTCAGGAGAATCTATAAGAACACAATGAAGTACATCCAACATTCCTGTACCCTCGCTGGAGGCTTGTGAGCCCAATCTAGAAAACAACCAATTCAAACGATTTGAGTTGGCGAATTGCGCGCAATTTGTGTGGTTTCCTTTGATAATAGCAGCTAAAAACAAAATAAAATATGTGTAATTAAATTTTTTTTAGAATAAATTGCAATATTGAAAATTGGGTCTTTCCATCTCAAATCGACCAGGCAAAAAGGGGTAGGTCGTTATTATTATTTTTCAACGAAATTTTTTTTACAGTTTCTTTACCGAAATCGATGAGACCTATTACTATTTTTTCTTTTTGCTTAAATTTGTTTTGTTTACCCGTAGGAAATTTTTGAAAAATGGACATAAAATCGATTTTTCTTTTTTTAGGAGTGACAATTTTTCTTCAAAATGTGATAACTTGGCCAAAAATGTTTCGATCGTTACAATTTTTTTTTTAATTAAATGTTTACTTCATAAAAAAAATTAAAACAAAAATTGAGATCAACATTTCGGAAATGCCACATTTTTTTTACTTCATATTTTTTTCGTTTGAAGTTGATAATTTAACATATTTTTGTAACTTCTGGTTTCACCGAAAATGCTCTTAAGTAGGTAAATTAAATTATTACAGATTTTGGAGTCAAATGTAAATTCTTAATATATTGCAAGTGTTACTTTTAAAAAATGTAAAAGGTATACCTAAGTTAATTTTGGTTAAAATAATAAAAAGTAGGTATTACATACCTAAAAGTAATGAATCGAATGCACAAGAAACTTATAAAACGCAATAACAGATATGAGTGAGGCAGTCGCGAAACTCTTTTTGACTGAGGGAAATAAGTATTAAGACTAAGAGGTCCAAAAACTAATGCGCACATTAATTATGTTTAGAAATAACAAATTTTCATTTGATTTCATATTTTGTTTTTTTAATTATTGCCAGAGATTCCCTACAATGGCCACACTATAGGGCGGTTAGATATACCTTTTTATAGGTAATCGCATTTGAATGAATTTATTTAGTAGTTTTAAGCCCAACAAATGTTGAGCAATTACTTACACCCCTTTGATTCTAACCACCTTCATTATTATTTTTATTTTATTTTATAAAATGTTTTAGCGTATGTTTTCTAGTAAAATAAAATGTTAATATTTACTTAACAGCAAAACAAACTAACTGATGGTGGAATTATGCAGCACAAATTAGCATTAAGTTAACATTAACATTAAAAAGTTAAGATGAATGTAATACAATGGAAGCATTTATGGGCGATTCCATGATTACTTACTAACGGGACAAACAAAAAAAAATGTTTTATGAAAATTTTTGAAGATGTGTTGTTCCTTTAATAATAATTTTATGCCAGTAATCAGCAATGAAATTAAGTAATAATACCTATAGGTATTATTACTTAATTTCATTGCTGATTAATTAATTAATTAATTAATATATTATAAAATTATTATTATTATATGAACAACACATCTTTAAAATTTTCATAAAACATTATGTCTTGTTTTTGTTTGTCCCGTTAGTAATCATGGAATCGCCCTTATGCAACATAATAACATTTACATTAAGCATAAATACCCTCCTATTGGTTAAATTAATCTTAATCTTAATGTTAATGTTAATTTGTGCCTTCTTAATTTATTTACTTCTGTACACACCTTAAAACCCAATAAACATTCAAATTTAATTAAGAGTTTAAAAGCGATATTATTAATATTTGGCATTAAATTTAAAAAAAATGTTTTATTAAAAAAAAATTTTTGGCATAGAGTATGGTTTTTTAAATTTTGAAAGATAATAAAAACCAGCATTGCAAAATAGTCATTTATGCATCAAGGCAGTAAAGTCGTATTTTTTATCACGAATGTGAGCCGAGGCAAATAACCACGTGAATGATAAAAAATGGCTTTAATGCCGAGATGCATATTAAATTTTATCCTAAATCCCATTCAAATGACATTTGATTTAATCATCAATATTAATTATTAGTATTATTAAATAAATGGGATTTCGGATAAAATTTAATATCCTATAGGAAGTGTCTGTTTGTTGCGATGGTTATTATATATTTGCCCGCCGCGGCGATTTTTTAATCTAATTAATAAAATTAACTTATTACATTTTATGAAAGGGGTCCAATCGACCTCCATGACGGTGCTTTTTTTATATTATTTAGTTGTTGCTGAGGAGCAGTAGACACATCTTAAAATGTATAATGGGTTGCATACAATACTAGTATTATTTATTTTACTTTACTGCCGATTAATCGGCAGTAAAGTAGTCAACTACTTTACTGCTGATTTCGGATAAAAATAATAAAAGTATTTTTTTCAGACTACTATTCCCAACATGAAGGAGAAAAGCTAATTCAAGGCACTTTAGATATAGAAATAAAGTTTAATTAAAAATTGTTTTGATACGTGACAAAAATATGATAAATATATAAAAAGTTTAAAATTACACTTTATAAAGGTCACCCCAGTTTCATTACCCTAGATAAAATACCAAATGTTTGCGATGAACCACGAATTTACTAGAAAATGGCATTTTTATTTAAAAAATAATATTTCCGAAACAATGAATTTAGCCAAATCGGGATATTTGGTGAAAGTTGTTCAAAAATATAAAGAAAAACAAAAAAGGCAAAAAAAAAGTTGAGTGAACTTTATATTTAAAAAAAATTGTAACGATCGAAACATTTTTGGCCAAGTTATCGCATTTTCAAGAAAAAATTGGACTCGTAAATAGAGAAAAATCGATGATTTCTGTCCATTTTTCAAAAATTTACTAAATTTAAGCAAAAAGAAAAAATCCAGGTCTCATCGATTTCGGTAGAAAAACTGTAAAAAAAATTGTTAAAAAAACGACCCTACCCCTTTTTGCCTGGTGGATTTGAGATGGAAAGGCCCTAGTACATATTTTCTAAAATACTTTGTATAAAAAAATATAAAAACCAACATCTGGTCTCCTTCATTTCTTAATAACATTTACACTAAAATACAAATAAATCTAAAAATCCGCATATTTTACCTAAAAGTTGGTAAAGGTATCCAGAAATCATCTCCCAACTTTGGTCTCCGGCCAAACCAGCTAAGAAGCCTTGTGATGTAATAACATTTATTTTGTCGATAGCTTCGAGAATCAGGTTTAAAATACCTTCTTCTTGGAAAAGATCCTGTCTGTTTCTTAAGGCTCTCAATTTGTTTTGTTTGTCTTCATGTTCTGTAATGGAAAATAATAATAGGAAAGAAACGAATTTATTATTTAGTTATGTACCCATTTCATCCTCAGGTTGTGCAAAATAGTTGATCAAATCTTCAAGACACATAACCATTTCGTTTAGGTTTACTGTCATAAAGAACATTGAATGTCTACCATTCATTTGAAGTTGCTCCAAGCCACTAAAATTTAGAAAATTATTTTTTTTACATACAAAATAAACATTAACAATTACTTAATAAACTGTGTAAAGAGCGAGCTACACTTCCTGATAACCCTCGCAGTTCTGGACTCCTCCTCCTGACTCCTACTGAAGTCCAATCCATCGTCCATTTTGCCTTCTTCGTGCAAGACGGCTTGTTTCTCTTCCACCTTGCCGACGCCTTTCTTTTTCGTTTCGAACGCTTTGTAAGACAACCACAAACCCGACTCGGAATGCTGCACAATGACGGTGGAGTCGCCATATTTGATGATGGGCGCTCCGATCACCTCCAAGTCTTTGTCTTCGAGCACGACTTTCTGGTCGTCTTTTTCTTGTCGCAAGCAGAAAGCCGTTGTGGCTGTGTTAGCATCGTCCCTGTGAAGCAAGAAGAGTAAGTTAGGTATGCCGCAAGGTCCTATTCAGGGTCCATTTCTGTTCCTAATTCACATTTCTTTACCTGCTCACTAAATATAATTCGTTAGCTTCGTTAACAGCCAAATATCTGCCGGTGGTGATGTGTCTTATTCTCATTGGGTGAGACCAGTTTATAAAAGCACCGGCCCACTTGGTTCTAGCTAATTCCAGCCTCCATAGTGATCTAGCCTGCGACATAACACTACCACCCTCATAGATAACAACGCTAAAAATGGCAAAATGCAAAAACAAATAACTAAATTATTTATTGTATATACTTATGCCCTGGTTCTATGCTCCACGTAGATGGTATCGTAAGACATTCGTCGCCACCGTGGAAAAATCGAAGTACATCTCCTCCGAATACGTAACCGACGTATTTCATGCGCGAAATGCCGGTGCCGTAGGGTTGGACGGACCAGTGGGTCACGTGAAAACTCGCATTTACAATCGAAATTTCGTTTTCCTTTGTTGTATGCTAGAAAATTTTTTATGATAGTGCTTCATCTCCCTAAACTTTAATCTAAGCTATTTAGAGCTCTATCTTCACAACATTTAATCTAAGAGCATTTTGAATAAAAGATTTTTCAAAAAGTATGAACAATACCATATGAAGGGGTAATAAGCAAAATGATAGGTACAAGTGCAAAAAATAGAAGTGGAGTTATTAACTTTTAAAGTTTTTGCTATAACAAAAATCTAGATACTTTTCAGTCACTATAGATACTTTTCAGTCACTATAGTGAACTCTTGACGAAGATCTTATGTCGGCATAGTTACCGAGACCTCGCTTGACAACAAAATTTTACAACCCACAATAATCTACTCCTACAGTGCAAATAAACTATAATACACTGTATTTACAGTAAATTAAAGGCTACCTTACGGTCACAGAAGTAATAAGATTGTGAAGTGATAAGTGACAGCATACCTGGCGGACGAACCACCTGACAAAAGGAAGCATTCTATGTGAAGAACAAACGAGGCTAACCAAGAGTGGAAAGGGTCATGCAAACATTTCATAAGTACGCTTAACTGACTGCATGACCTAATACGTAAATTTGCAACATTAACCACGTTCCTTACACAATCCTAAGAGCGGTTCTTTCCGCTTAAACACAACCTTAATAAAAAAAAAAAACAATCTAAAACAAAGAACAGCAACAATAACAAGACAATAGTAACAAAACAATACAAAAAAAACAATAAATCCAAGCCGTCCCAAATCTTACCGCTAGCATTCACGGGATTAATGCTGAGCCAGACAAATAAATCAATCCAACTTTTCCAATAAACAAAAGTGTTTAAACTAACCGAGACATAAATAAACATAAGAACCTATGAACTTATAAACCCTACGTTGAAAATGCAATAATCGAACTAAACAGTCGTTACGAAAAAATAAAAGACAAAGACGGACAAACCAATGCGTACTCTATGATTAAACCACAGTACGAGCCCTAACCACAAAATGTTCGGACACTTCATAATTTATACAGAAATATTTTTCGTGAATACTATCTTAAAACTATTAGAAGTTATGAAAAATTCAGCTTATTTTGGCATATACCCCTCGAAGCAATTTTTATTTTTAAAAAGTTTACCTTTTATTTTTAGCTTTTAAAAAAAGGCTAACTTTTTAACTTTTTTTTGTATGAGTAAAAAAAGTTAAAAAGAACATAAAATATTATACAAACCCTGAAAATTTGGTAAAAATTGTATAAATAATAAGAAAGTTATATCTTTGCAAAATCTCCCGTTTCCTAAGAAAATTGCAAAACTCTTTAAAAATAGCATTTTTAAATTACTTATACTTTTTTATAACTTATTTATTTTTTACCAAATTTTCAGGGTTTGTATAATATTTTATGCTCTTTTTAATGGGTCCATTTATAACTTTTTTTACTCATACAAAAAAAGTTAGCCTTTTTTTAAAAGCTAAAAATAAAAGGTAAACTTTTTAAAAATAAAAATCGCTTCAAGGGGTATATGCTAAAATGAGCTGAATTTTTCATAACTTCTAATAATTTTAAGATATTATTCACGAAAAATATTTCTGTATAAATAATAATAATTATTATGAAGTGTCCGAACATTTTGTGGTTAGGGCTCGTATAAAGAACTGTTTGCTGTGCTTAAAGGACTAGGGCAAAAACGGCTTTTGGGTGTGAGTGGACACAACACTAGTCGCCTCGGACGTCTTTAACATCGCAAATGAATACCACCAACATGTTGCAACAGGGGGGAGACAGGGTGACGGTTAAGCCGTAGCCTACGACAAGGAAGATAAGTCCCTACAGCTAACTAACAACTCCCCAACTTTAAATAGTTATCCCAAATGTTTGGAGTAATACTAATTTTCCGGTCTAGTGGGATTCCGCGTCGTACACAGATTTTAGTCGGCGTAATTGTCCCCTAAAAACCAAAATGTCTGTCCCCCCATCCCCACATCCTTTTGTTCCTACTGGGCGTATAGCAACGGCCTGGCGAAACCGGGAGAGGCTATTTAAACTATTCGCATGTCGCTCTCAAGCCCCAAATATGGTACAGTACAGGACGCGGTGGATATTCACACCCAGCAAACACGAGTAAAGCCGTGCAATTACTGGTAGCTCTCGGGAGAGATGAGGATGTTTCAATATTGTTGTTTGCATTAATCAACATGCACAACTCGTTCAATTTTCACGTTATGGAAAACTTAGAAAAAAAACTAACCAATTCTGCACTTCATGCTTAAATGCACTTGTACCCTTTTGCTTCTCACCCCTTTATATATTTTATTACAACTAAATTGTCAACAATGTTATAAAATGTCAAATAGAGCTCATATTTTATTTATTTTTAGGTATCATTAATTTTATAATTGTAAAAAAACGTGCTTGGTTTTGCCAAAAAATGTTCATTCATATTGCCAAAATGTATGATACATAACATTCTTGTTTATTTACAAAAATTAAAATTACATTTCCGACTTACCAAATATCTTTCAGTTGCTACAGATACTAAAATCAAATCGTCTCCTACCCGGACTTTCTCACCCTCAGATCTACAAAATAAAAATTAAAAAGTTACTCGATCTAACATATTGTTCATTTTGGCCGTATGCACAAAGCATAGTTTAGATTTGTTGGCCCAACGAACAATAAAGGTGTGGTGACTGAATTTACCTTTGTTTACTTGCTGGGTGCACTGTCCACCAACAGGCTTCACCTTGACTGTGTTCTTGTAAACCAACATCAAAAGCTAGTTTGTCATTACTGGAACTTGTTGATAAACAAGCTAAATACTAAAATTTTTAAAAACTATTTATTAATAACATTTAAAACACAATCGTAGGCAAAAGTCTTACATATTTTTATTATGTATTGTCTTTAAAATTTAAATTACAATTATTATGTGCAGCACCTCTATATTTACCTGTAATGTGACTATGATCAACTTAAATCAATAATTAAACAGTTTAAGGGGGCTTTCACATATCAGGTCACGCGATTTTCGATCAGAAAATTTTAATGAATATTTGTATAAGATTATAAGTCTAACGTGGTTAATGACTCCCTTGTCACACTTGTCCGACCCCCTTCCCTAAAGCGTGACGTAATATGCGAACGACAAAGACAAATTTTAGAAATTGAAAATTATAAAAATATGCAATACCTAATTATGCAGGTGTATTTTTCCAAGTTTATCTTACCATATCACTGTTCTGATGTCTTAATAATATGGCATTACCGTACAATAGTGTACGATGGCCAGAGCCAGTGCCTTTTCCCTAAAAAGAACAGGTCAAAATTTATTAAAAATATAACTTTTTTCCCGAGTTTCTTGATGTATCATATCAATTTATGTTTCCTTTAAGTATCATTTTATTTAAACGTTGGCTAAATGTCAACAATTTTATTGTTAACTCTTTAGTAAATTATGTTTACCAAGGCGCAATAAATTACTAAAGAGATTTTTTTAGTATACCAACTTCTACCACTGCACTATGTATGTTAGGCACTCTTCTACAGGCAGATTTGGTAATAAAAGGCCATAATACAAATTAAAAAAATAATAATTTTATAATTACAAAAATAATTTACATCAGTATAAAGTTCTACGAGTTAATGATAATGCCAATGTTATTTTGGTTAGTTCTACAGTGGGAACAAAAATTGTGAAGTATAATTTTAAGAAAACCTTATTGTTTGTAGTGTTGTCCCAGGTAGCATACTGACGTCTGCTGACGTTTAAATGACGTCAGCAGACGTCAGTATGCTACCTGGGGTGTTGTAGTGTATCAAAAAGGCTGCTAATTAAAAAAATGTGCTCTCAATAAAATACCACGTGATTGAGGAGGTTATTTTAAGTATAAAAAACTATTTTTATGGAATAAATAAAAATGTTGATGTCAAGTATTGTTTAATTTAGATTATAAAACATGTTGGTACCCAATGTTCTCAAAATACCATATGAAATCTATACTAGTAACTATGCGAGTAGGATTATATATGTATAGTACTACAGTTTTTTAAGCATAAAAAAACTCGATAAGCAGGTTTTTTTAGTCACTATAGGAAGTCTAAAAAACTTGGCAACGCTGTGTTCTTACTATGCTGTGTTCTTACTATGCTGTATATCCATATCTCTGTGTATATCTCACAGTGTTGTTAAGGAAACAAAAGAAACAAGGCATCTAGTAGTTTAAGTTAACAGTTGACAGATGCATTTACACAAATTTTAAATCATCATTACTTCTTTATTTTTAACAAGCTTTAACTTTTTTCTTTTGAAAAATCATAAGAAAATTGTGTTTAATCTTTTTATATAAATACATGAATAAAATAAATTAAAGAAGATAAAATAAAATTTTAAATCCTTATAAATACAGGGTGTTTAAAGTGGTCCATTACAATTGTAACTGAAGTTTCTGGGGAACGGCAAAAGATTTCGATCTGAATTTTTTAAAGCGCTTATAATCCAACTACCTAAGCCTAAGCCGCAAGTGATATTAACTTTGTTATTTCAAATAGAACACCCCATATATTTTTTACATTTTTAAATTCTACATAAAATTCTGATTAAAATGAATAAACCATGTCCAATACCTAAAATGAAATTTCAATGAAAAATAACCCATAACTATGTTTGCGGAATATTTTAAATCTTAAAACATTGCTTATAATATTTTATGTCAATTCTTTAACATATCTCAACAACTTACTTGAGAAAAACCATGGCAAATTAGGCTAACTTGAAACATTTTATTTTAAATGTAACACCCTGTATGTTTTTACATAAACAAATATGAAATAAAAACATTTTGATTGATGTAACTTTAATTTAGAGATATTTATCAATTTCTAATATAAGACCCAGAATAGGGAAAATGAGTAAGAATTAAAAAATGCTTGAATGTAAATGGAGAACATTTTGAACATTTAGTAATAAATTAGTAATTAAAATTGTTTATTAAAATATTGTTGGTTTATTAAATTGTTACAAATACGCATTTATTTATACAAAATAATATTTAAAATTTTAGAAATTGTTAAATATCTCCGAAATTATTAACTTTAGGTAAAGGGAATATTTACATCAATCAAAAGGTTTTTCAAGTTAGCATAATTTTCCCTGAGTTTTCTCAGGTAATTTGTTGAAAAATGTTAAAGAATTGACAGGTAAGCTAACAATGTTTTAGGATTCTAAAAATATCACCCCGATATCCGCAAACCTTATAACATTTTTATAAAAACTTTTTTTGTAACAGCCCTGGCTAAACAAAATTTAATCATGAAAAAAGGCGATTTTTTTAATGTCAAAAACATTTTTTAAATAGAGTACACTATACATTATAATGACGTCTAGGATATCTTGTCTAAACTGATATCAGTTTAGACAAGATATCCTAACATATGTTATGTTTTAAAGTTGTTTTTGTTGAATTTCCAACATTAAAAAAATATATTAGTTGCCAGTCGTGTATTTATGTTTATTATAAAAAAGGGTGCCAAAGTGACAGTGACTTTGGCCACCCACATTTAAAAAAAGATGTACTTTTGAAAGTTGCAAAATTTTAAGATTTGGTATTTGAATTACTATTAACTATCTATAAAATGACACCAAGAACAAGTAGGTAAGTATATACTTAAGATATCTTTATCCTGTAAAAAGTTACAGGACCTAAAAGTTCAAAAGTGGACCAAACTTAAGTCGCCATTTTCAGGACACCCTGTATAATAGTATATAAAACCTACTACCACATACAATCTTAAAACGTGCTAAAGTATCTTTAAAAAGAAAATTTCTGGTATTTTTTTTAATTTTAGACTTTTGTAATTGTTTTTAGAGCTCTACTTCCTTCTAAGAATAAAATAATATAATATAAAATAATTTTAATAAATTTATTATTTATAATAAAACACAATTGATTTTATAAAATTAGCATCCTTTTTAAAAAAAAAATCATAATAAATATTGATTGCTTCAAAATATTTGAAATTTTGTGTGATCTGTGGTGCATATTGTGGTGTTAAAAAAATAGTTAACAAACAACACAATACATTTGTTACATAAGTGTAGAATTTTTTGAAGAAGACAATTTTACTTACTAAGTTCTCTTCGCCCTGTAAAAGCAAAAATATATCTAAGCAGGACAAACAGAAGGAAAAAAAAGGAAATAATATATGAATTTTATTTAGTTAATATTTTTATTTACAAACTGTTTAAGAAAATTTCTTATAAAGTTTAAATTCAAATAATTACCAATATCTATTGTTTAAACCAGTTTGTAAATAAATAGTGTTGATTAGGTAAAAAATAACACCTAAAAAATCACCAACTAATCAAAAATTAAATCATGATTAAAACATAGATCACAAAAACAACATTAAAATGTGTTAAATATTTTAAATTTACACATAATTCCTTCAGAATTATGACCTTTTATATGTTAAATTTTTTGTATTATTTAGAAAAACATTTATTAATTTAACCCATTATTATGGAGCAAAAATAGAATAAAAAAACAATCTCAAATATTTGGCAAAGTAAGCAATTTGCTCAGTAATGTTGAATAACTTTATTTTTTTTATTTAATAGTGATGTATTTACAAGTAATAGAATTTTATTTAACTTACTGTTTCGTTGCCGGCTGCTGTGACTAATTCTTGTAAGGCACGAACTGACAAGGCCTGTTCTATTACAAAAACACATTGTGAAAGATCTGGAGGAATATTCTAAAAATTAATTAGTGTTAGATTTTATTTATTGATGTTTTTTTTATTCTTACTTTATCTGCTATATTTTCTAAAAAGCAATGCCTATTACCAAAACCTTCCGCAGCTAAACAAACACGCTCTCCAGTTGCTGTACACGAAAGACATACCATGTCTTCCTAAAATAGAAAATTTAATTATTAAATAGGTACCTACATAAAAAAGTATATTTAAAAAAATATAATTCATAAGTTACATATATAGGTAGGTATTAATTATGTTTTACCATGCATAAAAGTTATAATAAAAACATTGACATTGATTTTATTGCAGATTATACTTTAAGGTAGTGAACTTGAAATTTAGAAATAATATATTCTATGGAATTGATTTTTTTGTTTTCCTACCCAACCAAGTGGGTCAGGGTTTCAGTTTTAGTGCCTTTTTTCTGCTAAAAAAAACAAAAACACACTGGAACATCAGTCGCACACATTCAGCATTTAAAATCCACTTAAAATTAAAATTGGAACTGCTAACTATAATAACCCTGCAATATAACCTAAAAACTTACCGTGCGAAGGAATGAAACATCATCCTGCTCCGAGCCCCCTTCAGCCTCTGCCATCCTGGGGCCTTAATAAATCCTAAAACACCACATTTATTTTATTTTTGAGAAAAGTAAATCCAAATTTTGAAGTCGCATTTTCAAAACAAAAATATTGCAGTAAAAGGGTAGGCACCCTAAAAAACAAACAACGAAAAGTTACTAGACAAATTGCGGCTCTTTTAGGCCCATCGATTTTAGTTTCCGCTTTTTGTGAAATTTAATATCTTTGGCCAATATAGGTATTTTTGCCAAATAAATCTTAATTAGGTATATTCAAATATTTGTAAAAAAATGCACTCTACAAAGAAAACCCTTTTTGGTTATTTGAAACTATGGGGGCAACTCTATACTCACTAGTTTTATTAGTTAACTTAGTTTTGCGCTTTATAATTACCTATTTTTTATTTTTTTGCATTAATAATCCACACACAGCCACAATTTTTCGTTCAGAAAGCACTGAGAATTATTTAATCTATTTATATCTATAGCTGAGTTTAGGTATTTTTAGACAAGGAGCCAAAATAAAATTAGAAAATTATCAAGTATTCCTACTGTATTCCATAATTAAATTAATTTAACCAACAGGAAGTTTAATAAAGCTTGTAAAAATAAAGAAGACATTATTTATTTAATATTTTTGGAAAACGTTTATTTTAAAGCTATTAATTTTTATGATACAAGTTGATCAGGAATAAATCTAAAAATAGATGTACCTACCACACTACAATTTAAATAGGAACTTCTAGAATCTGAAAGAGAATAAATAAATGAGGCAAGAAAACAATTAAAATATTTATTTTGTTAAATAAATTAACATTTACAATATAATAGTGACAATTTTAACTAAAAATAATGTTAACAAAAATTGACAAAATATAATAAAAAAATATGTATACTAAAAATGTTTGGGTCACATACAAAAAGGCCAAACCTAAATAATAATAAATTATTTTTGGTATCTGACACGTTTATACAATATTTACAAGATGAAATTATTTATATAAGTAAATTTAATACATAAACACAGCCAATAATGCTATGCTGTTGACTACGAATTCAATACAGAAATCTATAATAAAAAAATGTGATCAAAAATATAAAAATTAATCATCAAATTTTAAAACTAATAATTTTTAGTAAAAAAATTAATTAGTAGGTAAGTAAATATAATTTAAATTACTTTAAACTGTTTTAAATATTTAGTAAAATGATTAATTTTTATAAACAATATATTATGTGATGCTTATTAATTAAAAAGCTATTAAGAAAATTGAAAATACTCTGTTTTGAAAATGACAATTTATTATTTTTTGAGAATGTTTACGAATATACAATAATTATTAATACAGGTATAGTTTGTACTAAAATTGTATATACAGAGGGTTTCCAATGGGAAAAACTTTTTTATTGGCGTTCAAAGAAAAAAACATGTTCATAAAAGTTCTGATTGTTTAAAAAATTAGATTCCCATAAAAAATTAATCAAAGGTACAGGCTGCTCAGAAATTTAGAAAACATGCTTGGATAGAAGTTTACAAAAAAATGCATTCTTATTAAAAGCTCCTAATTGTTTAAAAAAATAGATATTATTATTCAAAAAAAATGTAATTAAATGTATAGGGTGCATAAAACTTAAAAAAACATGAAAATGCTTCAAGAGAAGTATATAATTTTTTAAACAAGCAGGACTTTTTACAAATAATGATTTTTTTATTTGAGGACAAAAAAAGTTTTTTCCATTGGCAAATAAACTCCTGGACAAAATTAACGCAACATCAAAAAATTTGCCAAATTTTTTATGCTATTTTTTGTTGAATTTATGATCCTATTTGAATGATTTTTTTTTGCATTGTAGGTTGGTTCCTTGACAATGTCATAATTTTCGCTGTTTATGATAAAAAGTTCATTTTCGATTTATACCGGGTGTAACAAAAATGTAATGTTTTTTTCCGAAAATTCGTATCACCCTGTGGAGTATACTAGCAACTGAAACATATAGCAGTTGATATTAGACGGTAGGTTCATCTTTCGCCAACATTTTCTTTTTTGGTTTACTTCATTATCTCTGTTATTAAAGGAGATACGCTGTTTTATAGCATAACATGTTTTTATAGACTTTATTATTCAAAACATTAATTGTTAAATGTTTTCAAGTAGGCTATGGAAAATTCGCCATACTTATAACAACTGTTCGAAAACTGCTTATTAAATGTTCGTTTCGTATTTTAATCTTGAAAAATTAATCGTCTAAAAAATTTTTCGACAGAAGAAGCAGTAAGAGACTTAACTTTGGTGGATAAGGGCTATTCGATGTAATGTTGCTTATGTGATAGGAAGACATCGTTCGACTATAAGTCGTATGGTTAAACGATTTAACGAGACAGGATCTTACTCTTTAAGGTCAGTACAAGGGCGAAAACGATGTACCGATCCAAGGGATGAGCGTTTTATTAGGCAAACTGCTCTAGAAACAGGAAGATTACTAGTACTAGGCTAAAAAGTGAGCTTAGAACTGCTCGCCGTAATACAATATCGTCTCGAACAATTATGAGCTTAGAACTGCTCGCCATAATACAATATCGTTTTGAACAATCATGATTGTGATCCTGCAGGAGACGTTTAAATGAGGCATTTAAGCAAGAGAAGACCTGCAAAGAAACAATTACTTACTAGAGAGCACAAAGTTTCAAGATTGCGTTTTGCCAGAAATTATCAACATTGGACTGTTAATGATTGGAAGAAGGTTTTATTTTCTGATGAAACGAGAGTTAGTCTTAATTCTCCTGATGGTGTGAACGTGTTTGGCGAAGGTCAGGAGAGAGATTTGCAAGTGGCAATATTTCTCCTAAAATCCCGTTTGGTGAAAGCTCTGTAATGTTTTGGGGAGGAATATGCTTCAACGGACGCAGTCCCTATACGTGTAAGATCAATGAACGCCGATTATTATCTAGAAAACATTGTAATTGAACATGTAATGCCATTTGTTCCTTTTTTGGGACCGAATAGTTTATTTATGCAGGATTATGCATTTATCAAAGCGAGCAGAAATTATACAATTATACAGATAACAAATAATCTAAACATCTCTTGAAATGTCAGAAAACGTCCATAGCCTACTTGAAAATATTTAACAATGATTGTTTTGAATAATAAAGTCTATAAAAACATGTTACGGTATAAAACGGCGTATCTCCTTTAATAACAGAGATAATGAAGTAAACCAAAAAAGAAAATGTTGGCGAAAGATGAACCTACCGTCTAATGTCAACTGCTATATGTTTCAGTTGCTAGTATACTCCACAGGGTGATACGAATTTTCGGAAAAAAACATTATATTTTTATTACACCCGGTATAAATCGAAAATGAACTTTTTATCATAAACAGCGAAAATTATGACATTGTCAAGGAACCAACCTACAATCCAAAAAAAAAATCATTCAAATCGGATCATAAATTCAACAAAAAAATAGCATAAAAAATGTGGCAAATTTTTTGATGTTGCGTTAATTTTGTCCAGGAGTTTATATTATATTTAATATTTAATAGAACAATTTTTTAAAAGAATTTTGTTTAACATTTAATTTAATTTATTTATTTTAAAATTATATTAATATTAGGTTTTTTACAGACTTTCTTTTGAATTTTTTTTTCTTTAAAATAAAATCTTTTTTCTTAATTCTTGAGCACTGTACATTTGTTTTAAATTGTTTTTGATGGGAATCTTATTTTTTAAACAGTCAGGACAATGAGTAGGTATTTGAAACTTTTTTTTGTGAATCGAATTTTTAAATAAATCTCATTTTTAAACAAGCAGGAAGCATGTCGAATATTTTTTCGTAAAACGCATAATAAAGAAGTTTTTTTATTGGCAACCCTTCCCGGGGACACACTGTATATATTTTTCTGGAATCTATTATTATTTTAGCATCTAGGACACTCACTGGAATAAATCAAATATTTAAAGCTATTTATTTACAAAAATTAATTGTATATTCAAAAATATTCGGTTAATTTAATGAAACAGTAAAAATATTTCCAACAATTTTATCAAACCCACTTCACAAAATTTAGCTGCTCTGAAAATGATATGTTAAAATCCAAATTAATAAAGTTGTAGCTAATATTTAATTTAAACTTCTCCTGGTTTTAATTCTTTTTGCAATTTAAAACATTTCTGTAGAAAAATATGTCAAAATCGCAATCTTGTGCGCAGTGGATAAAGCCATGTTCTGATTGGTTGGTAGCTTTCTATTTTTCTATAAATAATGTAGTGGTTTTTATCGGGAGTGATTAACCAATTAAATCACGTTATTCTTCACCGCACACTAGATTGCGACAGAGAATGCACTGCTGTGATTGGCTAAACACTTCCTTCCACCAATATAAAGCCAAGTATTTTCATACCCGTTACGTCAAAATAAAAAGTTGTTTTCCAAATATCTACGGAAACGTTTAAAATGACATAATACAAAAATTAAAACCAAAAAATTGTTAATGTTTTATTAAGTTTCATGTAAGAAATAACTTGTGAAGTGGGTAATTTTATTAAAACTCTTTTGTACATTTTTTAATTTAAACACTACTTAATTTAAATAGTATTTTCAAAATCTTTTTATTGTATAATCTGATAGAATTTTTTATACACTGTTTTCATGAAAATATATCATTTATATATATATTTCAATTTAATTTGTTCTAATTCGTGGTACCTATAATACCTTGTGTACATACGCTAGAGAAATACTTTTTTTAATTGAGGTATGTCAATTGTAATAATAATTCATTATTCTGCATAAACTTCACTTTTATGGGGGGATGGGAGTTCAATTAATAAAAATTTTGATTATATTTACAAGTCAAAAATCCTCACTTTTTGATTGCTTCATCACTCTACTATTTCAGTCAAATTCAACAATATGTATATTTGACTAGTTTTACTTTTAAGTAAGTCTTATTCTCCAGTCTGATCATAATTACATCAAATAGAAAAACAGAAAAACCCCGTTTGGTTTATCAATTTTTTTCTAAAAACACAACACCAAAAAATTAACACACATAATATTATTGTTAGTTAGTTATAAGGTTTATCAATGAGTAAGAGAGAGATCGGTGAAGTTTATGCGATTCGGTTCGTCTATAAATTCAAAATTTTACTCGTAGAAGACAAAATTGATTATTTCTTCTATAGAACATCACGATTTCTGTATTCGTAATTTGCACCTACCTACAAATCATCTACGACCTACCAATAAGTTAAGTTACTTACTAAGCAAAGCAATAATCTCAATGATTGTGAGCATTTATCTGAAACCAAATTATAAATTAATAAATTATGTCGAGATCGCGATTTTTTACTTACTCAAAATTTTATTAATAACTTGCTTCATGACCAGCCAAAATATACAAGTCGTGGCCCTCGTCGTTCGTTAGAGTTCCGCTTTTTAATAAATGACTTTCTAACATTACAACCCTGTAAAAAAAATGGACATTTATACATATTCCTGCGACCGAAATAATACGATATAACTAAACTTTCTTCTATACAAAAGATTTTGATTTTAACAAACAAACGTTTATGCACAAAACTTTTTGGGGGTTTTCAGACAGGGAAAAGTAAATTTCTTAAAAAGTTTAATTTTCCCGTCCTGAAAAACCCGTCAAATGTTGTGCAGAAACGTTAGTTTTTTTAAATTTGACATCCTGTATCTTGGTTATTACCAACTTTTGTATAGATGTAACTTTAGTTATATCATATTGCATTATTTTGGTCTCAGGAATATGTGATATATATTGTACAGGCATTTCAGAAACACTTTGTAAGATAATAATAGGATTTTTAACTTTAAAGTTTTATACTTACTTATCAGCTCCTAATAATTTGTACGTTCTTGATGTATCAGTAATTTCTTGAGTAATTTCACCATTTTTCAATGATCTTCCTTGCACGCCGTGCTTGTGAAAGGCAAGAACACTATCGGGAAGACACACTATAACAGAAAAACCATCAAAAATATATTTCTTTAAATGTAGCAAAATTGAGAATTTGCATTTACAAAAATGTTTTAGGGGAAAATATGAAACGCTTTTAAACGCCTGTAAGTATCTCCTGATACACGAAGTCGCAGAGATTATGTCATTTATTTTGCAGTAGTGCGGGATATCGAAGATACACTGTCCGTCAAAATTAACTCATAATAAGTTAAAAAATTCTAACTTTAAAACGCCTTTACCAATCTTTATGAAATTTTGTATAAAAATACTTTAACTTATATCTCAGTTAAGTGTTCAAGGGTTTTTCGATAAAATATCCTTAAAGACCTTTTATTTAATAATAAAAAATGCTAAAAAATACTTTTATAGGGAAATTTATTTTTAAGTAAATAAAAAATATGTTGTGAAAGACCGTATTTTTGTTGGTATACCCTAAAAATTTTGTACAAATCAAACGAACAGTATCGAAAATACAGCGCTTCAAAGTCGTCAAAAATGACCAGTTTTCAGCAAAATAATAAAAATGGGGTCATTTTTACCGACTTTGAAGCGCTGTATCTTCGTTACTTTTCTTTTGATTTGTACATAATTTTCAGGGTATACTAACGAAAATACGGTCTTTAACAGCATATTTTTTATTTACTTAAAAAAATCCCTTAAAGTTATTTTTCGAAGGTTTTTTTAATTATTAAATAAAAAAGCTTTAAAAATATTTTCTCGAAAAACCCTCGAACACGTAAACTGAGATATAAGTTGTAGTAGTATTTTTATACAAAATTTCATGAAGATTGGTAAAGGCGTTTTAGAGTTAGAATTTTTTTACTTATTATGCGTTAATTTTGACGGGCAGTGTAGGTTTTAAGTGATTTATTGAAAACGTGATTCCAAGTGATTGGATAATTACATGCACAAAAATGGAAGGAGAAATATGCATAATACTTCAAAATTAAAAAATATTGGGACAAATTCGCACAGTAGACATTTAAAAAATGGTAGGACAAAATTTTCAAAATTTATAAATTGAACATTATTTACGATATTTTTTAAATCATTTTTTTTAATCAAACCTTTATTTATAATAATAATTAATGGTATTTAATATATTTTTCAATTTAAATCCAATACATTTTCTGTAAAATTGATCAGGATAGTAAGTATATTTAGAAAAAACCTACAAACTACATACCCATAAAGTCTTTAAAAGTGGATATGATTCAAACTTAACACTTAACAGCTGATCTACGAAAAGAGAAATCAAGTACTTTGTAAGAAATTAAAATTAAATTGAAAAAAAACAATAAAAATTATAGTTCTTTTTACAGTGTACAAGAGCCAGGAAGCATAATATGATCTTTGAAGACAACCTGTAACAGAAACTCAAACTCTAAGAAATCAAGTACCTAAATGTACATGTACTGCAGTGTAAGAAATTAAAATAAAATTTGAAAAATAAAATTTGAAAAACAAAATAAATCAAAATTAAATCTTTTCTTTTGCATTGTGCAGGAAATGTACCAAGACGAGGAAGCTAATAATTTTCAAGGACAGTCCATAAGAAAAACTCAATGCTGTTGATAATGAAATGGCCCGGGATACAAAAGCATTAGAAAACCAGCTTACCATAATATAATATTTTTTACAAGTTAAGTTTTATTCAATTTAGGAGCCATGGTGGCCAATTTAGGGTTTTTATTTGACAACTAAACCTAAATTTTTGACATTGTCAAAATTTAAATAAAAAAACTAGGTACCTACCTACTAAATTGCAATTATTTGTAAATGAGAAAAAATATGTTGTTTACATTTTTCTTGCAATGTTAATTTTGTAACTTGATTTTTATTTCATTCTTTATATTTGCTTTAAAACAGGATATTTTATTTTATTGAAAACATTTGACTTATAAATGGCTTTAAAACAAGATATTTTATTTGAAAACCCATTATTTAAAACAAAAATAAAATTTTTCTTAGCCCTTTTTTTTGTATATTTTATTTGGTATTTAGTAAATATTATTTGCTATAAAACAATATATTTTATTTAATTGAAAACCCATATAAAATAGGTTTTTTTCATTAATTATCGTAATAATAGGTTTCTTCATTAATAATCACAGACAAACTTTCAAAAAGTGGATTCCTTGATTTTTAACCATATAAAATTCCAATATGGCGGCCATAAGAAAAACAAAAACCTTCTTGTAAAACTTTTTTTTTTAAATTCCCCAACCGTTTTGTGATCTCATTAGTAATTTCTAAAAAAATCAAATTTTTGCGTTTTGCAAAGATAAATGCTCAAGCATTTTTCATCTCCACTTGTAAATTTAAGGTACAACAATTTTCAGTAGTATCATTATTTCTAGAGATGGGAAAATTCCCATTTGACGAAAATTCCCGGAAACTTTCCATCGAAAATTCCCGAAATTTTCCGAAAGTTTCAAAAAAATTTTTTTTATTGCGAAAATATTTTTTTATGCCAGGGATTTGCAAAAATATATAACACATTAACTTTTTGCCAAATTTTATTAAGAAAAAAAATGTTTATAAGAATGTAACTGCAATACTATTTTTAGTATCTTTTACTTTGGAATATTCCTATTGTATACTGAAACCTACAAAATAAAAATAAAATGTTTACTATAAAAAATTCACTGCTAGTAAATCCTAGATATTACGTAAAAAAATTAAAAGGGACAAAGTAACTAATATATAGGAATATTGAAAAGTAAAAGATACTAAAAATAGTATTGCAGTTCTAGTCAGCTGACTGATAAAATTTTTGTTTTTTGCACTATTTTGTAATAATTCCAAACACTAGAATTTTCTCTTGGCATTGTGCTATGCCTATAAATAAACAACAAAAATTTAAGAATGATTTTAACTTTGTTTATTGTTTTTATTTTGTTTACCTTTTTTTAAAAAAGTTTTTTGTGATGATGCTGAATAATCCGGCTTCATTGAGGTTATGTAACATAACTTACATTATTTATACTTCTTCTGCTTTAAATTAACACACATTAAATTCTTATTCAAAGTTTCTTGGCCTTGTATCATGGCCTTAACGAAAATCAGCGGTTAAATAATTACATTTAAATGAAAAAAAACAAGGAAAGTTTCCAAGGAATGTTTCCAAGGAATGTTTCCGGTAGCTTAAAAGAAACTTTCAAAATGAAAATAAATTCCCAATTGGAAACTTTCCAAAACGGAAAGTTTCCTTAAAATGGAAACTTTCCGATTCCCATCTCTAATTATTTCTTAAGGAATTATTGACCTACAAAAAATATACAGAATAACATGTTCAACTTACATATACTCTCGATCTTGAAATCGAACCGCAAATCGTTGACCTGCTTTCTGCTCAGTTTGACGAGAGTACCTTTCGGCGTGACAATTTTGATGTAATTCTCGTAACACACCAAAATCGAATCCTTATCGAGCTGCGTTACGCTGGTGATGTCGAGATTTTCGCGTTTCGGAACCACGGTCGCCGTGCCGTCCATGTCCTGCAGCTCGTCCGAGTGAAACCAATTGGCACCGGAATTCATGTTGATCAAATCCAGTTTGAACGTGTTCGGCTGGTAGGCTTGCTTGATGGATACGCACACCATCGGGTATTCCAGCTCGGGGGTGATGATCATCTCGAATACGTTCAAAGGGTAAGGTAGTGAGCATTCGACATGCTATAAACAAGTTACTTTTTAAGGGTTTGATTTAAAAAAAAATCTTTAAAATCATTAAAAACTCCTTCAATGCCCTAAACTACCAAACAAGTATTTATACAGTGAAGAAAGAAATATTTCTAGGTGTTCCACAAGGTTCTCTTTTGGGACCATAAGGGGACATCCATTAATCCATCCAACCATTAATTAAAAAAAGTAATCAATTTTTTTTGGGTTTATCATGTTGTCCGCAATGAAAGTTTAATGGCTAGAATCTCACGTGAGGGAGTCTATCACATCTCACCAAATCTCACCAAGGGGGAGGGAGGGGTCCCATTAACAGAAAAATGCCTCACGTAATTAATGGATGTCCCCTAACTATTTACATCATACATTAATGAATGTTTCATAAAAATTGTACTTTTACAAAGACCAGTTAAATCTTGAAACACTTGAAAGTTTTAACAGGTAAACAAAGTTCTATGACACACTGACATTGTCAATTTGACAAGACAATAGTCAAGTGTTAAAATATTATTTATTTACTGTAACTTTTAAATTTACCCTATTTATTGGATAAAACTGGAATTTAAAAAAAGCAGTTTATAAAATTTTGTAGCTATATTATCCTGGTTAAAGAGTGTAATAAAAAACGAGCATCAGTCCATAGGAACAATGGGGTTGGGGTTGTAATTGTTAAAGAATTTGGTTATGTACGGAATTTTCGGGAAAAAACGAAAAAATTTAAAAATTAAAAAAAAAAATAACTTGCATTTGTACGTATTATCTGTAAGTAGTACGAATTTAAAAAAATTCCAACTTTCCGATTGTTCAAAAAAATTAACTTTTGCATTTATTCACGTATTATCTACGGATAATAAGGAAATATAAATATAAAAGCAAGTCAATTTTTCTGAAAATTTTACAATTTTTCCGTTTAAAAAGCGTAAGTGTTTTAAAGGCTCAGAAGGTGCGATAAAATTGAATTTTAATAGTATATTATGTATCAAGTTTGATAAACGCCATTTTAGACACGAACTTAATTTTGGCACGAGCGATCTGACGACAAATACTTATTCTTAAATTTTAAGACTTAAAATGATTTAAATCAAATATTTGTATAGAGCGCCATCTATAAAACAATAGGGGAATCTGTGTTACCGTCAAATGCCAAATTTTTATGTGTTATAAACACCAAGGTTATAAATCGAAATGTATTCCTTAAAAATGGAATAACAACAGTGAAAGTAAAGAAAATGTTTTATAAGCACTTCACAGTGGAGTACGAGCCCGAATTTAAGTTATATCTAGTTTACTGCCAGCGAAATTAAAAGGTCAGTACAATGTTCATATAAACTTTTCAAATATTGGCGTTTAGAAACTATTTCATACTTTTGTATTTTTGTATTGAAATAATATAATAATTTTCACATTTAGTATTATTTTACAAAGGGACTTTATTTTAACGATTGTATGACATTTGACAACTCTCAACTAAATTAATACTAACTTCAGCCGTGACTAAAAACCTGATGCTAACTTCATCCTGTGACTAAAACGCCATAAAGCCACAATTTGTCAATGTGTATTTAAAAGGTCACACTTAGTGTCATGGAAACATGTACGATAATGGGCATTTTAAAGGTGGAAGTAGAAAAAAAGTTATGAGCTGCCTTAATGCTGTAAGCATTTATTCATAAATAACATAAAAATGTTCGCTAGCTATAAAAGTAAAATGCAAGACAAATAAATATTGTAATAAAATAATTTTTTATTTTTGTATTTATTATTTGACGTAAATAGGTGCGAAATAATAAGTCATATATTATGTTAAGTATGATATTGAATGACATCATGCTGACGTCAAATTTACATAAATGTGTCTACTGGTTACTAATATACCAAGATACCATTTATATTATATCGTGAGTCACGTGACGTCAAAAAATAGCAAAAATCGCTTTTTTCAACAGTATGGTTGTTTTTAGCGACTAATCTCTATAAAAGAAGTAGTTTCACACTGATTTTCCACAAAATTTCCCAACCCCATTAAGTATTTTAAAAGAAAAGATAAAATCTAAAAAAAGTTGCAAAAAATTATTTAATTGAAATTAAGGCATTGTGTAAGTAAAAAAGCATTGAACTACCTATTGTGTGGTACCGATCCTTTGTTTGTATGTTTGAACATTCAATAGTAAAACATTTAAAAAATTGTATACTTTACCTTTAAAAGCATGAACTTGTTGAGCGGATCATACCACTGCATCAAGTATATGCCGGTCGTCGATGCACCGCACAAATACTTGTAACCGTTGTAAGGGTTTCTGGCAACGCAGCATTTTTGCGTGCCTTTTGTGTCGGGCACGCGGGTGGTAAGCGCGAATTTACGCGGCACCAGCCGTTCGGGAATTCGATTCATGTGCAAACTGAACCTGTGCGATTGCTTGCTCTGCAAACCCAGAAGGTCGTGTCTGAACAATTGAGGAGTTTTTCCTGAAAAAAAGTTTGTTTAATAAGAGTGAATAATCTGAAAGGCTTTGTTGAAAATCACAGCTTCTCAAGACAGAACATTGAAGATAGGAATTTATAGTTTATGATTATGCGATTATTTCTTTAGCTATTGGCATTTTAACTCGACTATTTTTACAGAATGTCTAAATCACCAATATTAGTTTTCCAAACGGGGTAAATATTGACCATATTTGGTAGATTATTATAATATGTCCCAGAATTAGGGTTTTAAAGTGTCGGAAAAAACCCTGAAAAATTGGGGGGAAAAACCTGTTTTTTCCGTTTTTATCCCAGGCCTTCGAAAAATGCAAAAAAATCAATTTTTCGAATAAGGTATATTTAAAAAAAAAATCAATTTTTCGAAGGCCTGGGAAAAAAAACGGAAAAACAGGTTTCCCCCCCAATTTTTCAGTTTTTTTATCGACACTTTAAAACCCATTTTGCTTCATTTTAGAGCGACATTTTTTTTTTCATAGTTCCACCTAAAAATCTTATAACCTGTCAGAAAACAAAAATTTTGAGCTATTACAACGCTCTTAATCTTTATTTTAGGCCGTTGCTATTCAATTATTAAATATTTCCCTTTAAAAACCTTTAAAAACAATGTTTTATTATTTTCTCCTTTCGCTCGCAGAGTAAGAATATTTTTTTCGAATTTCGGTTCCAAAATCTTTATACAGGATGAAATTATCTTCAAAAATGTCTATTTAAGCAAGTCTGTAAGTTGAATATGTTTTTCACAAATTGCTGTTCTACTCAAAAATCTTCTACAATAGCAGTAAAGAATAAATCATTGTTTTTTACTGGTTTTTAAAGGGAAATATTTAAAAATTGAATAGCAACGGCTTAAAATAAAGATTAAGAGCTTTGTAATAGCTCAAAATTTTTGTTTTCTGACCGGTTACAAGATTTTCAGGTAAGACATTAAAAAAAAATGTCGCTCTAAAATGAAGCACCCTAAAAATATACATTTTAAAAAAGTTAACTATTCAATTAAAAAAAAACTCTTATTACAGAAAAAAACTAAATTGATTCAAGAAAATAAAAGTAAACGTTAAATAAACTTTGTGACTTTTTTGCAAAAATGATTAAAAATATCCAATTACAAAATAATGAATTAAACTTTAATTACAAAATTAAAATTTTATAAATCTGTGTCAAATAAAACGAAAGATATGTTAATACAGCACCAAATAAGTTTTTTTGTGGTCCGGTAGAATATTCTTAGTAAATTAAAATAAAAGGAATAATTATTAATAATTATTAACGTGTTAATCATAATATTATATGATCAACATCGGAAATTCACATTTTTCTTGATATCAGCGTATGGATATTATCCGTAAAAATTTCTAAATTTTCAGAAAAATTGACTTTTGCATTTTTTTCGCATTTGCAAAAACATGATTTCGAGAAATCGCCGAATAGAGGCATGAGTGCAAAATATAGAACAAGCAAAAATAGAAAATTTTCGTTGATGGAAGAACTATCCATTTTTTTACCTGATAAAGTCATTAGAACGTCCTTAATAACATACATCCATACGGTTCGCCTATTGTATAATTGGTCTATGCAAGTTTCATGCAATTCGTTTAAGTTTAAATTGTAAATTCCTTCTTCGGCGCCTATAAGAATGTGCTGATCTCGCGTTTCAGGATGAATCCAAGAAGCTGTGCAATGAATTCTCAACGGACTACCATTGAAAACCTAAAAGTAAAACACATAAAGCATTGATAAACCACTATTGATTTTTATAGTTGTTTATTGTTTGGAAGGTACATGTTAAAGTAGGATTTTGTGGCAATGGGTCTTTCTACCTTTGAAAAGCAGGCCCCCATGTGTACTTTTGGTGTCGGCGGTAGACCATTGCTGGGGGGTCTGGGGGGCGTGTGTCTTCTGCGGTGCTTTCTGGGGGGAACGGGGGGACATGCTACCAAATCCGGTGCGCTTGTGTCGTGGTTTGCTTCCTCTTCTGTACCATAAAATAAGAAATTAGATCACTTCCCACATAACACAATATGTTTTAAAAATGTTGTCAGGTCGTTTGGAGAACAATATTTATAAATTTAAGGTTAATGAAATGTTGTTCAAACATTCAGGGAAAAATATTTCTATAACTGTTACGCGTAAATATTTCTGAAACATTTATAAATATCACGTAAATATTTTTTTAACATTTATTTTGCAATTTTATGTAGATATTATTTCCTAAATATTGTTAAGTTATTTAAAAATATTTATAAATTTTTTGAAAAGTTCAATAAAAGCTTTCTGCGATCTTTTGATGAATTGCAAATCAGCGTCGGTTTGGTCATTTTTACTGTGTTTCAAGTGCGACGCTAAGTTAAAATAATAAATTATCCAGATAATTATTCCTGCTAGAGGTATGTAATATATTTATTTTTATTGTTTAGATTATTATTGCTATTTATGAATGGTAGTGTACTGAACCGCGGCGTTACCTTAAAATTTTATTGCCACCCTATTGAAGACTATTATTCTATCGGTAAATTTCTTTTTAATTTAAATTAAATTCTTTTTAGCCTCCATCCGAAAAAATAAAAAAAACTGCAACTACGGCGGAAAATGACATTTTACCGGAGTTACGACAATTGATAAGCTAAATTTAGAAAAAGGAAGTAAAAAAGAACCTTAAAAAGACAATCCAAGACTGCAGAAAGAAAAATATTCTTTTATTTCTGTAAGTTTTTCCAAGGAATTTTTGTTTTACATATTTCACTTTAATTTATATCAATTATTTTTAAAATAAACATTTTTTTTTAAATACTACTATACTATAAGTACTAAATTTTCTTGTATATTTAGCGTGCAAAAAATAGATCTCCAGCTAAGGTATTTCACTGTTATAGTATATCTAATATGAGAATACCATACCACATCTACTTTTTGCACACCAAAACAAGAAAATTCAGTACAGTAAAAGTATCACAAGGCTTTTATAAATATAAAAGCATTATTTACATTTTTAAAATAAATATGCAATGAACTGTAATATTTTGAAAATATTTCCAGATATTTTTGTGATGCTGAGGAAACATTTATAAAATATAAGGTAATTTATCTAAAACATTTGCAAAAATGTTTAAAAAATGTGAAAAAATATTGTATAAATATAAAAATTGGGACATCTAAATGTTTTAGAGGAATTTAAATGATTATAACTAATATTTCTAAAATATTTTTTTGTTATGGGGGAAGATTTTAATATTTTATTTGTGCTGCTACAGAATAGAAAAGAGTTGGCTAAAAGGTCTTTCCACTAAAAACAATTAAATACTTTAATCTACTCAAGTAAATCTACTAAACTACTGAAAAATAAAACGGTATGAATAAAATACTGTAATATTTATGTCTTCTTAAATTTGCCTAAACATGGATTCCAATTTCTTTTCAATTGAACAAATTTGTAACTCCCACTTTCCTCAATGATGAATGAAAAAATGCTCGAATAATACATTTCAAGCACATATTTAAAGATGAAAATATTGTAAAAACACAAAAATTACCACACGGCTTTTATAAATATAAAAGTAACATTTTATAAATATTATTTTATAAATATGCAACGAACTAATATTTTAAAAATATTTCCAGATATTTTTGTTAAGTTGAGGAAACATTAATAAAATAGAAGGTAATGTATCTACAGTTCATTTTTTTTATCTGGACTCATGTTTTTTTGTTAGGTTGGTGGCTTATGCCAGTTTGACTTGTATTTGGTATTTTTAGAATTTTAAAATGGTACTTCTTATAAAGAATTTAATTAAATACTTTGACACTGTCAAATTGACAATAATATTTATTATTGATAATTTACTTGTCAATTATAAATAAAAAAATAATTATGCCAAAAATAATAGCAACGAATTCGAATGTAAAAGCCCTTTTGAGGGAAAAACTTCATTTTGATGAAATTATGCCAAATGCCGCAATCGAAGAAAAAGTACATCGCCTTATGGACATTTTTGAAGTAAAAAAATAACGAATTTGGTTTTATAATTATTACATCACACTTTATTTTCACATTATTCACAATTGGACAACATTTACGTTCACAAAAAAATTTTAATTTCTTTTATATAAATTCTTTTCAAAGCGAAGATTATTATCCGCTAGGAATACTTTCTCTTCTGGGCCGTAAAGCAACTTATATTTAACTACTTTTTTTATATGATTTTACTTATCCATGGACTACCAAAGCCAAATTAATTGCATTTTTAACTACGAATTTCGACAACTCAACTTGACAACTGCACAATGTAACTTACAATAATTTATACATAACCACAATTAGATTTATAACTAGCTTAGTTTGTTTTAATCAATGCGACCAACTTGACAACTGTATTTACCAACCAAAACCCTAAATTTGCAACGTTGCCGCAGTCCAGATAAAAAAAAATGATCTTTAGAACATTTACAAAAATGTTTTAAAAATGTTGTGAAAAAATATTGTATAAATATAAAAAGTGGGACATCTAAATCTGTGGGTAAAAGGCATAAGGGGATAAGTCAAAAAAAGAAATTTTTCAGTAGAGCCTTAAACGTAATCGCATTAATTCAGGAAACATATTTATGGTTAGCGGGTATACCCTTTTGTTAGCCCATATCATATGCTAACAAAAGCGTATACCCGCTAAACATAAATATATTTCCTAAATTAATGCGAACAGGTTAAAGGCTCTATTGAAAAATTGCGTTTTTTGACTTATCCCCTTATGCCTTTTACCCACAGAAATGTTGTAAAAATATTTAAATGATAAAGACTAATATTTCAAAATATTTAGGTTATTTAGCAAAAATATTCATTGATTATTTCCCTCAATATAATATGAACTAATCAAGAGCCTTGAATTTTCGAATAAATTTCGTTTAAATAAGCGATTAAATCACTAGACCTTTTTAACAGCGATTAAATTTTAGCCTCCATATTGGATTTTTGTTTACGATTTTATGGTGTTATTTACAAGTTTTAACAAACATTTTTTAAAAAACAATAAAAAATAAGTTATCTAGTTTACGAAATATCAATTATTACTTATTACATACCTTAAATTAATGGAATTTTCTTTAAAAAAATATTTATAAACTTTGACACATACGTCCGATTTTATGAATGGTCAAATAGTTTCCTTTAATTCGAGAAATAATCTAGACGTATATCACTTAACCTATAAATTTAATCTGTCAAACTATGCTCAGTAAGTTTTTTATTTGATTTTTCTTTTTGGAAAATAGTTTCATGCAAAATAATTAAAAATAAAACCCCTCGACCGCTACGCGGTCTCGTGATTTTATTAAATTATTTTGCATTCAACATTTTCCAACAAAAACCAAACAAAAAACTACTGAGCCTAGTTTACCCGATTAAATTCATAGTTCTCGTGATGTAATATATGAATATTTTAAATAAATTTTTTTGTTATGTGGGTTTTGTGTACTTTTTCCATAATCTTTCTTACCGTTTACGTTTCGTTCGGCCCTGCCGCTGTCGCTGAGTGAGCGTTGCCGCTGGCCATTGATGTTCATAGAATTGACGAGACCGAAGATTTCGTCTACCGAGGAATGTCTGCGTGGCGATCCATTTAACGTTTCCACGTTCGTCGGACTAGAAGGTATCGTGTGAACGTCGCATTTCACGTTCACCTCGCTGTCTTGCACCGGCAACGTCGCCCTAAAACACCGCAGCGTGAAAAAATGACAACCCCGGCAGGATGAATTGAGTTAAGTACAGTCAAGAACACTGAACTTACATTATTTACACATAAATTATTCCCAAAAATGGCGCATTAATTTGGCAACGCTATGTCTCTTATTAGCTTAATTCAAATAAGGCAGCTGAGGCTGACATTGTTGAGAAATGTATGTACTATGCTCCACACATCAAAATCCCACCACGTTACTTTGAAAGAAATAATTAAGGTAATAATAATAATAATAATTAATGTATTTTTTCACTTTATATATACAGATTTTAATATTGGTTTATTGCTATTGAAACTTAAGTCTTATAACTGGTGGTTTACACAGCTGGCTAGAAGGTTACCTAACTAATAGAAGGCAAATTGTAGTTATTTTAGGATACCTTTCATATTTTATTGACGTTACTTCAGGAGGGTCACATTTGGGCCCTATTTTATTTTTGCTTTTTATTAATGGCATTACTACATGTGTTGAATTTTGCGGATGATTCAAAGTTGTATAAAAAAATATCTTCACTTTTGGATTACCAAATGCTCCAATCAGATATTAATCGTATTGCTGACTGGTGTAATGGCAATTTTCTTGAGTTAAATATGAGTAAATGCAAGGTAATTTCTTTTTCTAAAAGTATTCGTACTTGGAATTATAATTACTTTATTAATAATAATGAACTGGAAAGAGTCTCCACTATGACTGATTTAGGTGTATTGTTTGATACAAAGTTAACTTTTATCAAGCATATTGATAAAACTGTTAATAAGGCTATGAGAATGTGTGGTTTTGTAATTAGACAATGTCAAGATTTTACTGATATCCATGCTATTCTTATTCTTTTTAATTCTTTGTCTCTTAGCATTTTAGAATACGCATCAGTTATATGGAGACCCTCACAACAGTGTTGTGAAAATTGTGAAATTTTTGTTATTTAAACTTAAGATTTCTAATGATATTAGTTATAATCATAAGTTATCCTTGCTAGGAATACAATCGCTAGAAATACGGCGTATAAACTTTGATAAAATTTTTATGTTTAAGATATTTAATAATTTGATTTACTGTTCTGATATATTAAAACTTTTTTCTTTACGTGTACCCACAATCCATTGCATGTGGATTGTGCGTGTACCTACCATCAATACTCGCAATAGTGCATTAATACGTATTCCATTGAGTAGAACTAATTACAGGCAATTCAGTTGTGTGCCTAGATTGGCACGTAATCTGAATGCCTGCAATATCGATATTTTTAATGTAAGCTTGTTTTCTTTTAAAAAGTACCTTATTAATAATAGTTAATTATATGTTTGTGTATTATACAGGGTGTCCCAGAACTCGCGCCACAGAGAAAAAGGGAACGTACCGAAAGTAATTTGAAACACATATTTAAAAATTCAAATTGTCCAACGCAAAGGATAAGGAAGATAAGAATAAAAAACGATAGCCAATCCCAATAGATCACCACAGGGATAATAAAAAATATGTAAAATATTTGGTCCACTGGAATCCAATTCATTGTAACACTGCTGTCAATCTTTACTTCTGTCATTAATATTATATTTGGTTATAACACAGTTATAAATTAAGTTATTATAAATAATGTTTTCCTTAGATGATTATACCGAAATGATAATTATTTATGGGGAGTGTGGGCGCAACGCCAGGGAGACAGCGAGAGTTTTTTCCCAGCGCTTTCCTGATCGTCCCCTGGACAGTAAAGTAATCCTTAGAACTATCACAAGAACCCGAGAGACCGGTCAAGTTGTTCCGCTTCGTAAGGGGATTGGAGGTGCTCCCAAACGTATTAGAACAGTGGAAAATGAAGAAGCTGTTTTGAATGCGTTTGAGGAAAATAGTAGGAAGAGCATAAGGGAAGTTGCTCGAGAACTGGATATTTTCCGCTCCACAGTTCAGCGGGTTATGAAGAACGATCGGCAACACCCTTTTCATTTTACCCGAGTGCAGCACCTTCAGCCGGAAGATTATCCCGCTAGAGTCGAATTCTGCCTATGGTTGCTGGAGCAAGAAAATCTCCAGCCAAATTTTGTTTCTAACATTATGTTTTCGGATGAGTCAATTTTTGCCAGACAAGGATGCTTCAATGCCCATAATTTACATGTATGGGCAAATGAAAATCCGCATGCTATATTCCAAGGGGAGTTCCAACATCGATTTTCTATTAATTTTTGGAGTGCTATAATAGGAGATCGCGTTGTATGTAAACTCTTTAGGTTTTCTTTTTTATTTTAATTTGGCCATTTTCCTCTAGGTTGGACCTTTTAAATTTCCTGCACGGTTAACAGGCCAAATTTATGCAGACTTCTTAGAAAACAATTTAGAGAATTTGTTAGGCGACGTGCCACTGGTATATCGAGTAAATGAATGGTTGCAGCACGATGGTGCACCACCACATTTTAGTCGCGACGTTCGGCGAATCTTGGACGGGCAGTATCCTGGCCGATGGATAGGACGAGGTGGGCCACAAAATTGGCCTGCTCGTTCACCCGATTTAAATCCCTTGGATTTTTTTCTTTGGGGACACCTTAAAAACTTTATGTACCCATCGAAACAGAGGATCAGCTTAGGAACCGCATCCAAGACGCTTTTGCGACGGTTACTCCTGAAATGGTCATGGAGTCAAAATCCAGCCTTTTAAGAAGAGCGCGGATTTGTTTACAAATGAATGGTGCACACTTTGAGCACTTATTGTAAACATATTAGCATATTTTTTTTATTTAGTTGTTAACACATTTTCATAATATTTAATTTAGTTTTACTTAATGTTGTTTGTTTACTTTTACGGAAATTTATAGTTTTCGTAATTTTTTAAAAGTTTGTTTATTTGTTTCTGTAACTTATGACTTTTTCTAAAATTTTAACTAAAAAAGCCTAAAAAATTACAACTTGTTTGATTTTTTACTTTAAAACATTGTCGTTCTGAGGTATCAGTCATTTTTGACAGCTTTTGACAACTTAGTAAATACAGTCGGCCAAAAGATTTTTAAAAGTTTTAAGACAACAATGTTCTATCGTCTCCTAGCAATTTTTAAATCCCCTACGTTTAATCTAGGCAAGAGCTCTCGGTATTGGCTGCCACTTTTTTGCTTTAATTCGCTTACACTATTACCTAGAAATTTTTTATTTTTAAATTTGGCATCTCCATTTCTGTCGGCACGCCCCCTTTTTCTCTGTGGCGCGAGTTCTGGGACACCCTGTATATATTTTTTTCCTTCTCTTTTTGTTTTGTTATAAAAATTCTTACTACAGGTATCTTTTTGTACTACTTGGATTTTCTCTGTATGTACTACTAAATAACAAAAAAAAAAAAAAAAGTAAATAAATAAAATTACGATAATTAAAATGAGATTTGGTCATGGCTGTTATCCCAAAACCTTCATAAAATTGGTATTTTAACAAGCCCAGATTGTAAAAACTGCAGTTATAACTGATTCCAATAAAATATTTTTTAAATGTTCCCAGTATGATTAAAAAGTCCAAAATAATAAACCTTGTGGTGAACCCCCTGGTTAACATTCCATATTTATTGTCTCTTGGTAATATTGAAATGTGTTCCTTGCTGGTCTCTTTTTTGGGAGAAGTTAGTATAAAAAGATTAGGTTAATTTTGTAAACTTTGTTATCTTTCCTATTGTTTTATAAAACCTTTTTTTCCGTGGCCATCCAATTGTGTGTAGTTAAAAAAAATGTTCTAATAGGCCCTATAACAAGAAGAGTGTGTCCCTGTTATAATACCTTGTTAATCTTCTGTACGTTTCCTATTTATTTGTAGAAAGTAGGTTAGCTTAGATTTTTGCTTTTTTTATTGTAATTTTTAATTTTATAAAAATGGTGACTGGCTAAATGGACCACAGTCCAAAGCCAATAAAAAAAGAAGACAAAAAATACATTTATTGCATTATTTTTAGAAAATAAGAAGTCACTGATGTGTGGAGCATAGTAGGTTTTATTTAAAACTTTTAATCGTCTTTCTTATTATTAAAAAAATATCATTTTTTTGCTTATGAAACATCATAAAGTGTACTATTTTATAAAAATAAAATAAACTCTTAATAACTCTTAAACTACTCATTTTTTGTTTGTCATATAATACGCCATTTTCAGGACCCTGTATAATAAAAGGGATTAATTTGAGGATAAAAAAATCTAGTCAATTAAAAAAAATTACAACAATTACCCAATTAACTTTTTTACACAGAATTACTTTTTGATTTTATTTTTTAGGAAATAAAAATATTTTCGGAACCAAAATTTACAGAAACATTCAAATGCTCAAATTAATAAATGTGCACAAAGAGGTTTAAAAAACATGCTTTAATAGATAAATAAGTATAAAACTCAAAACAATTACCTAATTAATCATTATTAAATAAACTCTTCACAACTGAAACATTTTTATATACAGCAAAAACTAATTAAACCAATTTACAAACAGTCTTGCCACACAAAACAAATGTTAACTACAGTAGTAAAAATCTCAAGATCAGGATTTAGTAGTGTCATCGTACCATAAGTTACAAATGAATTTATTAGAAAATTGTGTACTTAATGAAACCCACATATAAACCAATTTAGACTGCATTCCTTTGTTCCATATTGACCAGTACATCACAATTGTTATTTATAAATACTGTTTACTATTTAAAAACGAAAAATGCAATATTTGCATAAAAAATGCACTAAGAATTTATAAAAAAACAGTTTCTCTCAAAACTTAATTCTAGAAACAGTTTTATGATCCTTTAATAAAATGATACAGCATACTACGGATTTTTTTAAACATTTTTGCATAACCAAGTCATATTTTCCATTTTAAAATCTGGATTAGAAAATAAGTTGAAGTATTTTTTTCTTATCAAGAGATAAAAACATATAGAGGGTGTGAAAGGTCTTTAAAAGCCCCCCACCACTTATTTATTACCTACACCAAAATAAGTTGATAAATTTACCTCAGTAAAAAAGCAACCTCAGGGCCCAAACTAAGAAACTATTATACACTCACAGGCAAAATAATCGATCCACACAAATTTTCTATGAATTTCAATCAATAACTTTTTTATTTGATTTCAGATTTAAACAAATATTAAAGAATATTGTAGATACATTAATGGAGAATCGCTCACCTTTTAAAAATTACTAAAAAATACACGTACGTTTATAATAACATATATAACATATATAATATAAAGGTTTAAACAAAAATATGTTTTTTACCATAAGTTTAAGACACTCTGTAGAGTGGCAAAACCGTATATTGTTCTAAATTAAGTTTTAATTATCAAGTCACATCTATTTTTAACAGTTTTGTTTTTGGTTCACCTCGATATATTTATTTTTGTGAAAAATATGGATTTTTTTTTAAAAACATTGCAATTTCCAATATTTTTTCTGTATGAAGAAGTAAGGTTGCTATGGTCCATCCATAGCCTATGGAGGATGACAGTGACAGTTTTTTTGAATCATCCCATACTTGGACATGTCATATACAGCTTTCAAAAGCTATCAAATTGTTTTTTGTAAATTAATGTGTTAATTTTGAGGTGTCTTCTTACTTTTAAAAATATCTCCGACTGATGTTGCCCTTTGTACTTTGCTTCTTCTGACGTTTAAAACACTTGCCACGTAATACTGTGACCGTCCATCCTGGATTAAATTAATGGCTCTGGCAACATCAGTCGGAGACATATCCATTTTTTTTAAGTAAGACGACACCTCAAAATTTAAACATTAATTTGCAAAAAACAATTTCATAGCTTTTGAAAGCCGTGTATGACAGGTCCAAGTATGGGATGATTCAACAAAACTGTCACTGTCATTCTCCATAGCCTATGGATGGACCATAGTTCTTCATACAGAAAAATATTGGAAATTGCAATGTTTTTTTAAAAAATCCATATTTTCCACAAAAATAAATATATCGAGGTGAACCAAAAACAAAACTGTTAAGAATAGATGTGACTTGATAAATAAAACTTAATTTAGAACAATATACGGTTTTACCACTCTACAGAGTGTCTTAAACTTATGGTAAAAAACATATTTTTGTTAAAACCTGTATATTATAAACGTACGTCTATTTTTTAGTATTTTTTTAAAATGAGAGCTATTGTCCATTAATTTATCTACAATATTCTTTAATATTCGTTTAAATCCGACATCAAATAAACAAGTTATTTGCGATTGAAATTCATCAAAAATTTGTGTGGATCGATTATTTTGCCTGTGAGTGTATTAAGACAAGTTTAGTTATTTTACAATCGTGGTAGGTTTTTGGAAAGACCTTTACAGACACCCTGTATACATATGTTAAAGTTATGTAGTAAAATGTTCAACTTTTGTTGTGTTCTGCTGATTTAAACCCTTCATTGCAAATGTCAAAAGGGCATAAAATTGTTTCAAAACTTGGTTTCTGAATAAAAAAAAATAAAAGACCCAAAAACTGGTTCCCCAAAACGAAAAATCTTTTCTCTAGTGCGTTCTAATCTAAGACTATAACATCAAACTTACTGCTGTGTATAAGAGTCCGGCGGGTGATACTTGTAGCTTCCCCTAAAATAAACACCACAAGTGAACTACTGATCAAAAAACACAAGTTGTTCACCTTCTTCCAGTACAAATGACCACCCAACCCTCACCACCGTGATAATAGAGATAAAATAAAATGAAGCGTTAACAAAAACAAAGTGCCAAAAAATAAATAAAAAAACGATAGTGTTACATATTTAGGTATTAGTAGATAGAAGCCAAGCGATAAGTGAATTTTGCAAGTGTTTTTAATAGTGAATTACCTCATCATTAATTCTTCGTCAATGTACTGCAATAGACTCCTAAACAACATACAATAAATTAAATAAAAAGTTAAAATTAAATGAAAATTAATTGTTAAAGTCAAACTAAAAAAACCTTGTTAAATTATTGTATCTATTTATTTTAATTGTTCTAAATATTCATCCATGCAAATAATTTTCAAAATTACTAAATTCTTTGTTGTAATTTAAATGATGTATAAAGCAACTTAATATGTACAAAATCAACAAAAATGTGGTTTTAAATAAATTGCGTCTACTGTAGCGTTAAATCCAATCGTGAAAAAATCACTGCACACCAATTTTAAAAAAGCAAACCTTAGAGACATTTTCATTATTTGCGAACCGGTCATTGCTTGCCTCTCGGCGGTACTAAAATATCCCAATAATTAATGAAAAAATAATAAAAATGCAAAAAAAAACTTCTATGAAAGAATTAAAGCAAAGTATGGTTTCTCCCATTTTAAATACTAGATGATAATTATGCCCATTCAAAATAAGAAATGATGATATATGCATATTTGACTCCATTTTGAAGGAAATTTGTAACTAAATATAAAAAATATATTATATAACACATTTTATTACTAGAGCATCTATTATTAAAAAAAAGTAGATGTGAGCTTTAAGGCTAATAGCCTTATACCACAGAGCTGAAGGGAAAAAATTTAATTAAATTCGTGTTTGGTTTTTATTAAATTGACAATTTAGAGATTTTTTCCTAGTTTTAGGGAATTTCGAATGTCTACTGTGTTTTATAAGCTCTTTGACAAACTTTGGCAGATAAGGGTCCCATTCTATTTTATTTAGAAGTTACAAGCAAAGATTATTATTATTATTATCTTTGGTTACAAGGATTTAAAAAAATATATTTACATATTTTAATTAAAGAACGCTGAAAAATAAAAATGCCAGTTGTTGTGACAATAATTGAGGAGCATCCGTGCAAAACCGGCTATATCAACTTTAATAAAATGTTGGGAAAATGGCAAAAACTCTCGGTTTCCTGGCCTTTGCAGATAAAAAAAAAGTAAACTTGAGTTTTGTGGGCTTTGTGGTACTTGATTTATAAGACATACTTTCGTTTTCAAAAACTTTATATTAAGGCCAAAATTTCAACAAATTTTTTGTATATAGCCGGTTTTGCTCAAAAACCGAATAAAATGTGAAAAAAAACCTTTATTATTCAAAAATATTAACAAAATAAATTTAGTGCAAACATGAAAAAACAAAAAATTTTAGTAGTAGTATCGACATATCCAAACCACATGCTCATCATCATTATTATTTATTGGATATAGCCGGGTTTGCTATAAAAACGTGGATTTGGCCGGCTATGCTCCTAAAGCTACCTTTTAAATGTGATTTTAACATGGATATAGTCGGATTTAAACAGAATTATCTTGGTTGTCGATAGAAATAAACCCAAAGATGCGAAATAAAAAAAAACAAAAACTGAATAAAATGGATTTAGCCGGTTTTGCACGGATGCTCCTCAATTGAATCGGTGAAAATAAGAACAGTACAAGTTCAAAAAATTTATTTTGACAATTCATTTTTTAAAATCAATTTTAAAGTTCAAAATACGTTTTTATGAGAGGATATAAATCATTTTAAAGAATATGAATATTATATTTTATAAAATAGTTAAAATATTCTCACGAAAATGTATTTTGAACTTTAAAATTGATTTTAAAAAATGACTTGTCAAAATTAAATTTATGGACATGTACTGTTCTTATTCTCACCGATTCAATTATTGTTGTCATTTTGATTAATCATTTAATACTTTCAAACTGAAAGTTTCAGTATAATTGGGTTTAGGAATCTGTCAATTTCAGAATAATTAAGGTTTGGTATCTGACCTTGAAAGAAGAAAAAACAACCGGAAGGATAATTTACTAGAATATGAATATTATACTTTATAAAATAGTTAAAATATTCTCACGAAAATGTATATTGAACTTTAAAATTGATTTTAAAAAATGAATTGTCAAAATTTAATTTTTGGACATGTACTGTTCTTATTCTCACCTATTCAATTATTGTTGTCATTTTGATTAATCATTTAATACTTTCAAATTGAAAGTTTCAGTAGAATTGGGTTTAGGAATCTGTCAATTTCAGAATAATTAAGGTTAGGTATCTGTAACTGACCTTGAAAGAAGAAAAAACAACCGGAAGGATAATTTACTAAAGAGGTTTGCGTCCAGAATGGTCGTTGCATAGGACGGTAGTTACTCCATATGACATATGACGGTAGTTACTCCTTGTCTTACGCATTGTTACGGCCGTTGACGTACGTCTTTGATAAATAATATACCACCAAAAATTAATCATACTTGGTGGTTGCAAATGGCGATGATGAGACGGAAGTCGCCATTTGCAACCACCAAGTATAAATTGATTGTTTTTTCTTCTAAGGTAACTGCCAGTAAAATTGAAGTTAGGTACCTAACCTTTTACGGTCAATTAAGATAAAATGTTTAGAATTAACCCAGTTATCATCTCTGCTAAAGTTTTTAATACAGCTTGTAGAACACCCTGTATAACTACCTTTAATTACAGAATATGTCATTCTCCCCACTTTAACTCATGTCCTCAAACAAGCTTTTGAGCTTTTAAGCATTTGAGCTATCATTCTTTTTTAAACTTTGAAGCTTTAAATTTATGCAACGATATTTTATTTATACTACTGTGTGAATTTTCCCCACAATTTATTGTGCGAACTTGTCCTACCATTTTTTAAATGTATGCTTCTTTTCGAATTTTGTTAGAATATTTTAATACGTTCATCTTTCTTAGCACCAAATTTTGGTTTACCTTGCAGACAAAGAAGTTTCCCTTCAAAAAATAGATCTTAGAAATATGCCAATAAGATACAAAATTGTGTCGAAGTACATTTATTTTGAATGCGCATAAAATCGTATCCAGTATTTGAGGCTTTTGTCTGGAGAAATTTTTCGACACCCAGGATAATTTGCTGGAAGAGCAAGGATAACTAAAATGTACTTACTTTTCCCGGTTGAGAGAGTCGAACGCGTTTCCGATGCCGCACTTTTTGTTTTGATGTTCACCGCATTCGTGTACTGCCGTAACGTTGTTCATAATGTCCATGAGATCCCAGGGCTGCGGGGATTGGTCCCTTACAGACGCCCCAGAAGGCCCTTCAACATAAAACAATCGTGCTGTATCGAGTATTGTTTACATTCTATTAGCGAATGCCGGCAGTTTAAAGAGTCGCCCGCCACGCACCTATATAGGTAAATACAAGGGGAGATTGGCATCGTATGTATTAACACGCCATTCATTTAGTCGCATGTTTGCTTTACCGGTGATTTGGATTGCATAAAATCAATACGAACATTGAATATAGTCATTGTTATTAAGTTTACTGTTCAAAGAAGGTGAAATTTTATTCATCTAATTTCTTAAAAAAAAACAATATTTTTGAAGTTGTATTTGCAAGAAAGTTTTGTAATTGAAACTTCCAGAGACCTACACGCGCCAGAAGCGGAATGACCGTAGCTACAAATTTTGTCACGCGTATGATTGTAGTTCCATTTTGAACAGTTTTTATTTCAATGCGTCGAAATTTTAACACAAATTATTGAATTTCATTAAAATCGGACAATAATAACTCTGTAGATTTTCAACTCTTGAAATATCATGCTAAACGCTCGGACACGTAATAGTTATTTATGTATTAAGGGCATAATAAGGTTTTTATGGTCCGAGGCGCTATTTCGAGCCCGAGCGCGTTAGCGCGAGGGCTAGAAAAGCGTCGTAGGACCATAAAAACCAGTTATGCCAGCAATGCATACAAAACTTTATGCACGATTAATATATTATTATTTTTAATATATTATTGTTTTTAAAGACGTTTACGTCAAAGAATTTTTGTTATAATTGTCATATTATAATGTCAACTGACATCAGTCAGTTTTAAAGTTTAAAGATGAATGAAATTGAGAAAGCAGCTGAAAAGGCGAAAAATTGGGACCTGATGCCGGAAAAATCAAAATCTTTATACGAAAAAACTTACTTCGAATATATCAAATGGTGTAACATTGTTGTTTTTAATTTTTGACGTTTCATTATAGCCCGCTGGGTCATAATAACGCCCGCGGGCTATAAAAAGACGTTTACGTCAAAGAATTTTTGTTATAATTGTCATATTATAATGTCATCGTGCATAAACATAATTTTTAGCTGTATCAGGTCTAAAAAAGTTTTTCCTATTGGCAATCCGATCCGGTGACACACTGTATACTGGTATATTAATATTTGTAAAATAATATATTTCACCTCTTGTGCCAACATTCCTATGCTTTTTATTTCGATTAATATAATATAATTTAATATCCTCAATTATCTGAAAAAAAAATATTGAATTTCCTAAATTATCCTAATAATACCACTGGTGGTAAAATTTTACCGATATAATTTTTGATTTTTATACGAATGTTTTTTTCTTGGAAATTTCGCAAGTGGCATTAATTTTTAAGACCACGAGCCGCTAGGCGATTGAGTAAATAAAAATCAAAAAATTTTTCACGAGTGGTAATCTTCCAGACTTTTTCACGAATATTTTTTTTAAATTGGAATTAACTTTCGATTTAATTTCTGTTATGATTTTTTTGACCAAAACGCATATTTTTTGACATTTTAATTTTAAAATTAGAAACGTCAACACTGACAATTATTCTTAGCATAAAAACCACTCGTTTTCTAAAATCTGATTGGTCAATAAAGAAATGCGTGGAATAGTCGTAAGTAAAAGCGAAAAAACACGTTGCTAAGTAATATTTTAACAAGAAGCATGAGTGCTGGTGGCAACAAAAATCCGAGTTGAAGACGAGGATTTTTGCACCTGCACGGTAAAATATTTACTATTGTAAAATAAATGTAATTTATTATATTTAAGGTTATTTTTCGTAACCAAAAACCTCAAGATCCCCGATTTAAAAGTTGACTTTTAAGGATATTTTAAGTGTATTAGCGACCCCAAAAACCCCTAGTAACAAAATTTGGAAAATAAGTTAGACCACTGTGTGGCGGGGAAAAAAAAGAAAAATTGGCCAATTTTTCCAAGGCCCGAAAAAAAAAACGAAAAAAGAACATTTTTTCCACAATTTTTCCGTTCTTTTTTCGACGCATTAAAGCGCTTTTTAGAAGTCATGACTTTTTTCTATCAATACTTGAAATAAAGTTTTACCATATTTCAGTTTTGAAGAGCATTTCCAGCAAAATAAAGAAGAAAGTGAATAAAACTCTCAAACTAATATTATGCCGTTTTGAAGTAGTTAAGACCTGTTTATCTTCAAAATAAAATTGTATTTACCTGTTCTCTGTAGGGTATTATTTGCCTCATCAAGATGCGAAATGTCACCCAAAAGTATTGCATTTTGTGGTTTTGGTCGTGACGTCATGCGTGACGCGATTCTTTGCGGTACATTTGGAACAGCCTGTACGAAAAAAATGTAAACATTATGATCTGATTCATTTTAATTAAGTTGCGCAAGCGAAAATTGCATCATAACAAATTAACTTGGTAAAAAATCATGATAATTTAGTTTACTAAGAAATGAGCAATTACATATTATGATTATGCGTTTAATTTAATGATCAATTTAAATGTATAAAATTTATACTATACTATAAATATTAAAATAAACCTTATAATTTTAACTTGTGAAAAAAACAATTTTATTTTACTCACTCCATCTTCATCAGGTTCATCAGTAAACATATGAGAAGGATTATTAACTTTTTGTAATAACTCAATAGCCAGTCTTCTACTCATATCTCCTTGGAAAATAGCATGCTAAAAATATTAATTGGAAAGTTAATAAAAGAAAACTTATTTTTTTCTAAAAACAAACCTGCAGTAATTTATCAGCATTGGGTCTTTTCTTTGGATTCTTAGTCAGTGCCACCTTCACAAAGTTATGAAATGTTGGACTCCATTTTTCTTTATCCTTTAATGTTGGAGGCTTAAACCCGCTTTTCGACATTAAAAACAAAGCCCTCATTGGATGCAAATCAAACATTGGGGGCTGTAATTCAGCCAATTCTATAGCCGTTATGCCTACTGCCCAAATATCACACAATTGATTGTAACCACCTTTACGTTCCACAGCTGCCACCTTAAGAGATTTTTTTTATAGGCAAGGATTCATTTTTATTTGGAGATTTAACATTTACCAAAATAAATTTAACATAAAGGTGTATATTATTATAGTTTTTGGTCAACAAAATTTATAATAATACAAATTTACAATTTTTGTCATAAATAATTTTATCTATACAAAAAATTATTAGTTTCTTAAAATTATATAGATTAATAATAATTATTATTGCCAAAAAAAAATTTTGTATCCTAACAATAAAAAAATAAAATGAGATATAAAGATAACAAGATAAAGATAAGATATAAAGATAATAAAAACAAGATATGGTGGAACAAATATTCTGATCTTGTAATATTCATTTAAATATAAAAAGTAGTGTTTGTTATTTTTATTTTTAAAAACCATCCATTTATTATATAAATACAAAAACGTTTTAAAAATAAAAAGTTAAAATTTGTTAATAATAAGATTATGATGATTTAAACTTGAAATTTTTTGACACAACTATCAGAAAATAGGTCTGTCAAATATGTTAACTTAAGCTAGCTGCAGATGATTTGTTTATTTTGTCTCCATAAGAACTCATTTTAAATGTGTAATAAAATTATATTTTTTTAGTACCGTGGCCGACACGGAATTTTGAACGACTATCATCCCGTTGACATCAAAATCTAAACTTTCTTTATGGACAACTAACCTTACTTTCGGTTATCACTAGTATTGTAATTTTGACAGCGAAAGCAGAAATGCTCAATATTGTATCTTTGCTATTTACAGATGTATACATTAACAACGAAGTTATGTCGTTCGAAATTCCGTGTCGGCCACTGTACCTATATATAATTTTTTAAATTTATATAAAAATAAGTACTTGTAATTAATAAAGAGTCTTTTAAATAAACAAAAGATTTCGTAACTTTCAAAATTACACAAAAACTATTAATTTTCTTACTTCTGGAGCCATCCAGTAAGGTGTCCCAATAAACGATTTCCTTTTATTTATAGTGGCAGTTATCTGGGCTGAAACACCAAAGTCTGCCAATTTCACATCGCCACTTTCAGTCAGGAGAATATTTGCTCCTTTAATATCTCTGTGCATTTTGCCCATATTATGTAAATATGATAAACCTAGTAGAGTTTCTCGGGACATGTAAGTTATCTGAATTTCTGTTAGTGGGCCAGTGACTAAAATTTATAAGATAAAGATATAAGATATTTGTATAATATAAAATGAGTTAAATTACTGTGATAAATGTCTTGAAGAGACCCTCCTCCGCAATATTCCATGCAAATCCATAGCTTATCCCGTCGCAAATAGCTTCCATAATAAGCAATAATGTTAGGATGTCTACAATCTCTCATCATAAGAATTTCTTGTTGTATAATTCCAAAATCATCACCTGAAATGCCAATTGAATAAATTTAGAAACCTTATTAACTTGCATAAAAATTAATTATAAAGTATTATGCAATAGGTAATTTTAATTCCAACTCCTACATACCAGGCTCTAATTTAATGACTTTTATTGCTGCCAAGTCCTTAGTGGACAGTCTTTTAGCCTAAAATAACAACAAATATGAACCAATTTAATAGTTTTATCGTTTAAAGGCTTCATTTCTTATAACAGGACAATTTCAGAGGAAAAATACAATGCCCTTAAAAAAATAAGTAAAATGTGTTACTGGAAGTATACACAAGAATATTTAAAAAACTTATCTTTTCACACTGTCAAAACAAACAAGTTGCAGATATATAAACAATACAACAATATTTTAAAATAATATTATTAAGATGTAGAAAGATTATTTTAAAAATTGAAAAATATTATGATTTAAAAGTAATGCTAAACTCAAATTTACCCAATTAATACCATTGTAAACCTCGAAAAAACAATTTAAAAACTAAAATTTAAATTTTGAAGTGACTTTTTGAGCTTGTTTTTATATTACCAGTTAGTACATCATATGTCCCCAATTTACTTATTTTTGGCTGAAACTCAAAATCTTTTTTGTGTCTAAAAATTGCTGGGATGGAAAGTTGTCTGAAATTGTCCTATCATGTTAAATTGACCCTAAACACAATTATTACCTTGTAGACATCACCATAAGTTCCACTCCCAATTCTTTGTATTAATTCATAATCATCTTGAGGATTCCTCCTCGAGATATCTGAACTTAATACCCCTTGTGCCATCTCAATTATTTGTATATCTTTACATCTTCACTGTTTTGTTCAAAATAAAATAAAATTCGTGTTTACGTGAATTTGACAGTTCTTGGCTCTGCGAGCAGACATATTGGGTAATTTTCAATGCAGCCACCACAGAAAATCAAACAACCAAACGTGTCAATTTCAATTAAAATCGAAGTAATTAATTGGTTAAGGCACGGTCTTACATAAGAGCGGGGTTAAGGTGTTACATCCGATGATTTAAAGCCCAAACAAGTGTTCCCTGACAAGGCTTTAGAGCCGCAATAGGCAAAAACACGGATTTACCAGATTTTGTTAGGTAAGTTGGCAATAACAATGTTTTTGTAGGCAAGATGCTTACCATGGGCGTGGATTGCGTTTGGGAAAAGGTTATTTTATTGTATTATTAAAAAAATCCCTACTTTATAATACAATAAAATACTTCTTTCCCAGGGTGGAAGAATTATTCCACCCTGCTCTTTCCCATGAATCTGTAAGCATGTAAACATATTCATTATTAAATTTGTTCCTTTTTCTTAAGTGTAATTTCTACTAATTTTTTCATCAAGGGTTTTTAATTTTTAATATATTTTCCACAGATTATAAAGGTTATATTTTGATATTTTCAATAAAGATTTTTTATTTTAGAGGTTTAGAGGTTAGATTCAAGTGACAGACGTAATTGAATGGCATTGACTTTCAATGTCAATAGGGAAGGGGAGGGGGTCAATTTCTACCATTTTTAGCGCAACGAAATTTATGAACTAACATTATGTTACTAGCGGGTAGAGGTGGGAAGTTCGATTCTTTTAAAATGATTCCTTCATAAAGATTCGTTCGCGACTGATTAAGATAATTAACGAACAATTCAGGTTCGACCGAATTAATGACTTGGTTCTTGAATCATGTGTAATGACTTGTATTGGTTGTATCGTTAAATGAATCAACGTTTGTATTATTAAATTACTGGATTCGATTTTTATTTTGCTTACGTGTAAATTAATGGCTTTTCCGGTGCAATAAAATCAAAGCTTTTATAAAAAAATTACAAGTAGGTTGTATTGGAAACTTTTGAATCAAAAGAGTATTTTGATATTTGACAAAAAATTCTCTGAAATATCCCTAGAAATATCACCAGTTTTTCAAAATGACCGAAATTTTAGCGTAGTGTAGCGTGATCCGAACCTAGCACCCAGATAGCACAGAGACATCTTAAAGATATCTTAAAGATGCCGGACTCGGACGTTTATGACATCCCTAAGACGTCCAGTTTACGACGTAAGTCATCTTAAAGACGTCTTTAAGATATCTAATGTTACAAAACACACCGTCTTTAAGATGTCCTTTTAACGGCATTATTAAGTCGTTGCTAAACGTTGTTAAGACGTCGTTAAGATGTTAAAGACTACCTATTGAAAAAGTCTTGGTTATGCATTGCTACATCGCCAAAACGTTTTTAAGGTATTAAGTAATTAAAATGTAGCTAACACAGAGTTTACGCTGTGGTAGCTAATAATGTTTTTATTACAAATGGATATTATTAATTGCAGAAAATATAACCATGGTTAGATTGCAATCTACAAGAATGTCAGATATATATATATCTGTTTAGGGTAACTGAATAAATATATATATTTATTCAGTTACCCTAAACATCATCGTTGTCAAAACTTAAAATCCTACATTAATGTTGTTTCTATTAAACCAAAATAAGATGGTACCTAATTATATCTTGCTTGTCAAAATTCACTATTTTATCAAAAAATTAAAAAAAATAAACGGCGGTATAAGGCATTTATAAGATGTCTTTAGAACATTAAATGAAGATATCTTTAAGACGTCTTTCAAAAGACGTCTTTCAAACGTCTTTTTTAGATCTTCAGACGTTCAGTCATAATACAGACATACAAAAGACATCTTCAAGACTTTGTGTGCTATCTGGGCATTTAATTCAGTGCTTGTAACCAAGTTTATATTTATTTATTGGTTTGATTCACTTTTTAGTTCACTCATCGTGATTTAAAAAAAAAAATGATTAAAAAAATAATTGATTCTTTTACAAACTTTGTTCGATTCTTTCGGTTCATTTAAATGATTCGTTCTTTTTGAACGAATCGGAATCAAACTTGCCACCTCTACTAGCGGGTGAGCTGTTACTATAGTAAAACAATATTCACTACATGACGTTTAGTTCTAACCAGGGCCGGATTTACGAATTTGCCGCCCATGGGCCCAACGCATCATTACCCCGAATAACAAATGACTCAGCGAATAAGCTAGAGTCGCGCCCCACTCGCCTCGTGTACATCGACTGCCGCCCTTCTACGCAGTGACGCACTACGCAGAATAATAGTGTAGTCTGATATAAAATTATCTAATGTATTAAAAAACTTCTCTTCCAACTTTTTATAGTTTTAATTAGTGTATAAATCTGAGTGAAAACAAAAATTCTGCATAAAACGCTCTTGATTTTTTAGCAAAATTTTAACTGGCCTTCAAAATTTGCCGCCCCTAAAAATTTGCCGCCCTGGGCCCGGGCCCATGTGGCCCATGCCTAAATCCGGCCCTGGTTCTAACATCGAGCTACTAGTAAAACAATGTTTTAATTCTACTCCTGTTTTCGGTACCATAATCTAAACATTTTATTACGCCTGAAGAAAAAAATATTTTTAACAAATAAATATTGACAATTAAGGAGAATGGACACATAACGCCTATTCCACACAGGCTTGGTAAAGTGTGCCAAAAGTAAACCAAAATGGTGTTACCAAGTTTGTTTTGTGTGTTTATTGCGTGAAAAGGAATTAAAGAATGCCGCCCTTACAGTCTAAATTTTTACGTTTTTCTTTCGATATAACCTACAAATCTGCTTGAATTATTTAACTTTAACGCCATTTTTTGGTTCACATTTGGAACATTTTCAAAGTTTTGATTACGCCTCTCCTGTCTTTCTTACTCAAAGATAAAACTATAGTTTTATAGAGTGCTAAATAAAAGGTATTCTCATCTGACAAGTTTAATACCATGAAGGCTTCACAACACGTCACCCTAATATAACAAGGTTGTATTTTAAAAAACCGAAAAATTTGAGTTTATGCTTCTACAAGATTTTACGTAATCCACCCTTGACATACAACTTGAAAATAACTCTATATATATTAGGGGGTGTGCCAAAAAAACTCGATATATTTTTTTTCTTGCTCTCCACCCAAAATATCGTAGAATATGTCCGAACAAATATCCTGTTAAAAGCGGAGCTCATAATTTCAATTTTAAGAGGTCCCTCATCGAATCTGAAGTTTTGCCGCTTAAATAACACAGAAAACTGACTTTTTTACCTTATTTATTCTTGCAACCTAGGAAGAAATTTTTTTTTCATAAAATCCATGACCAAATCTTACAAAGCATTAAATTTGGACAAAAAAATCTTATTAAGCCGAATTTCTATTTTCATTATTTATTTGATTTTTTACAGAGCTTTAAATTTAAAATTTTTCGTTTTTTGCCTTTTTCAGCTAAACTATTGAAGTTAGACGAAAAAGTCAAATGGCAATTTTTTAGCTTGTCTGATGGACCACAAAAAAGTTTTTGGCGAATTTTTTGTATCGTCAATATTCTAAAAGTTACAGGCGTATAAAGTCATCATTTTTGTATTATTAACTTTAAATTTAAAGCTCTATAAAAATCAAATAATGAAAATAGAAACTCGGCTTAATAAGATTTTTTTGTCCAAAATTTAATGCTTTGTAAGAATTAGTCATGGATTTTATGAAAAAAAAAATTCTTCCTAGGTTGCAAGTATAAATAAGGTAAAAAAGTCAGTTTTCTGTGTTATTTAAGCGGCAAAACTTCAGATTCGATGAGGGACCTCTTAAAATTGAAATTATGAGCTCCTCTTTTAACAGAATATTTGTTCGGACATATTCTACAATATTTTGGGTGGAGAGCAAGAAAAAAAAAATATCGAGTTTTTTTGGCACACCCTAATATATATGTATACATAGAATATACATTCTATAGAATTATTTTTAAGTGGTATGTGAAGCGTAGGCCACGTATAATCCTGTAGAAACATAGACTTAAATTTTTCGTTTTTTTTAACATACAACCTTGTTATATTAGGGTGACGAACAGTGGCGGCTGGTGGATTTTGGGTATACCAATATCTCAATTATTAGATATGGAACCCACACCAAATTTATATGAGTTTATAATGACAATAAATAAACAAGTTCTGCGCAAGCAGAATTTAAATTGAAGTTTGCGAAAAAAAGATAACTTTTTGCTCGGCCGCACTGGCTCAATGGGGCCCCCAATAAATTTAAATTTAATTGGTGCAATTTATTATTTACCATAGTTTATCGACAAATTTCAAATTTTATTAAAACAATCCAAATCATACAGATTTTATATCGTTTTAAAGTTATATTATTTCTTTGAAAGGAAATATTAAAAATTTATAATGGCATAAAATCTGTATATATAATTTGGATTTTTTAAATGAAATTTGTCGATAAACTATGGTAAATAATAATTTAAATTGCACCACTTAAATTTATATTATATTTATTGGGGGCGCTATGGGGCCGGTACGGCCAAGCAAAAAGTTATCTTTTTTTCGCAAATTTCAATTTAAATTCCGCTTGCGCAGAACTTGTTTATTTATTGTCATTATAAACTCATATAAATTTGGTCTGGGTCCTATATCTAATAACTTAGATATCGGTATACCCAAAATCCACCAGCCACCATTGCTTCACAAGGAGTACTCAATAAGGAGAATTGACAGAACCTAGTAAATGTCACAAATTACGTGTTCTTTTTTTTACCACTAGCGTCGCTGATTTCCATTTTGTACCGTTTCAGCGTCCTTAATCAATGGTTTCAGTACTACAAACCACAAAACAAACCAACTAACAGACAACACCAGTGCTCTCTTATTTTGGGGAATCATGTGTAGGTACAATGTCATTTAATATAAAGTTTGTTTTTTGTTTGCGCAAAAATTAAGAAAATGAAAGCGTGGCCATTTTCTTTAAAACAGAAATTTATTTTGGTCGAAATTGCGGAATTTCTCGGATTATATCTAGGACCAAACTGGTTTTTTTATCTCTCCTAATCTTTTCAGTCTTGTTACCCCTATGACCTGTCATAGAAGCTAATTTTACCCCCTCCCATTTTAAAATGACACTCAAAAAACAATACATGCAAATCTAGTCTTTATTAATCATAATAAACTGCACAAAAATATTAGTTCTTACAAATATGTTCTGTGTTGTATGCTCACACCCAAATATTGATTTGTATAAATAAAAAACTATATTTTTTAATAATTAAAGCTTTTATTGAAAAAACATAAACATAAAATATTTACAATTGTTAAAAAATCTTACACTTTCATAATATGTATAATATATTATATTATACTTTAAACAATGTATAAACAAACGAATAAACAGTTAACTGCTGTTAGTGCTATCTTTTAATACATCTTTTAGAATAGAGCTTGAATTCCTGTTTTGCGCAAAATCGGCGAAGGTAGGCAACATGATTTCACTTAAAACTATGGGTGACTGTTGTGACGTCGTCGATGTGGTTTTGTTTCCGTTTTTAGTCGTGGAAGGTTCACTTAGGAGGCTGGGGACCACTCTTGGTTTCGATTCGTTCTCCAAAAACTTAACAAAAGCTTGCGACAGTGATTCCTGCGTCAAATTTTGGTTATTTTGGGGTGATAGTAGAGAACCCAACCAGGACGCATTCTGCGCTTTGCTACTGCTCAGTTTATCGTGATCTTGTTGGTTGAAATCGAGGACAGTCGCAATTATTTTTAGGATTTGCGATTGGTCCTTGTTCATGGTTGGGTTGGAGGACACATAGCCAATGATGAGGTTTTTTACCAGGGATTTTTCAACTTTTCCGTCGGTTTGGCTCGCGATGTTTCTGACTTTTTCTTCGGACTTGTCTAGTTTGGATTGTAGCTGAGTTACTGCAAAGTTTAAGAAATGGTTTAAATATGAATAAATATGATATATTTATTTAAAAATTAAAAATTAAGTGATTTCCAGGGATTAAGAGTTAAAAGTTTAAGTCACTTTCAAAAATGCGGTTTATTTATGTTATCAAAAGTGATTGAAACTCCGAATCTTACTCTATGTCTGTTTTAATGCAATATAAAACAATTTAAAATAAAAAAAATTAATATTCTTAAAAATACAAACTTGCTGCTGATTGTCAAAGCCAAGATGCAAGTGTTACTCAGGGACCGATTTTTAAAAAATCAACCAGTACCTGATGTAATACTCATACCCTAAACTTTCATGCTCCATGCTTGGGATAATAGAAAATAACTGTAAAAATATCAAAAAAACAAAATCATCAAACAACACTAAAGCAAAATAAAAAAAATGCGAAAATAAAATAAAACGAAGGTGCAACTACATTTTGTAAATCTCACTCAGTAACCTGAGGAAATAAATAACCTCACAGTTACCAGATGAGATTAAAAAAACATAGTCAAGCGTGCAAAACGTGCTAGTGTGCTACAAACAAAAAACATAAAATATACTAAACTAAAAAATATTTATTTGGCATACAAGTGAAATGAAAAAGTGAACCAAAAGGAGTGATAAAGTATATTTCAAATCTTAATTTCGTTAAAGTAAATGAAAATTACAAGTGGGCCCAATAAATCCACTATTTTTTTTCTTAAAGGATATCGAAAATATTGTTTGGGGTGACAAAAAACAATTATGGTGTAAGTTTGAGTCCATAATATTAATGTTAAGAGGCTATCATCGCAATTTTAGATTTTTTTCCTGAGCGAGTTTTTGTCTCAGAACTCCCAAACCATTGAGTTTAACAAAATTGACTTAAGAATATTTTTTGAAGAAATTTGATGTTCTACAAAAAAGGTTTGATTGGAATTTCCCGTCAATGAACCGTTTTCTTACAATCATGCCTTAAAAATTGGTATAGTTTTACAATTTGATCTTTTAACTTTGGAATTTTGTAATTCAAGAAAAAATCAGTACCCGGAAAAAAAACCGATAAATATTCTTATGGGAAATCACATGCTCTACAAAAAAGTCTCCTAACATTTTTGGCTTTTTGGGTTAGTTAAAAACTTGAATTCTTTTATCGATGATAATCTTTATGTTATTGATAAAATTACTGAAAATTAAAAAAAATAACACAGAGTTTTTTCGCTTTAAGAAGCTATTTTCTTTAGAAAATATTATTTTCACTATTTAATCGTTTAAATAATAATAATCATGTTTTTTTATTGGAAATTGTTAATTAGTTATATAATACACATTTATAAATAAAAAAATCAAATTATCACCCATAAAAAAATGTACAGAGGAAAAAACAAGAATTTCGTTTTGACTTCAACTTTAACCTTGAATAACTTTTGATTGAGTGAATTTAGCCAAAAATGTTAAGAGGCTTTTTTGTAAAGCATTTGATTTCCCACAAGAATATTCATCGGTTTTTTTCTGGGTACTGATTTTTACATGAATTACAAAATTCCAAAGTTAAAAGATCAAAATGTAAAACTATACCAATTTTTAAGGCATGATTTTAACCTTTTTTGTAAAGCATTTAATTTTCTTAAAAAAATATTTCAATTTTGTTAAACTCAATAGTTTGGGAGTTCTGAGACAAAAACTTTCTGAGGAAAAAAAATTAAAATTATGGACTCAAACTTTCACAATAATTTTTTGTCCCCCCAAACCATATTTTCGATATACTTTTCAAAAAAAAATAGTTGATTTTTTTGGCCCAGTCTATTGTGACACCCTTCATAATAAATAATTGCAGATTTGAAACATACATTGTATAAAAACAAAACAAAATAAAAAAGCAAACGTTCCAAAATCAAAACACTTACAAACAAAAACTTCAACACAAAAAATTGTTAAACAAAATAAGGTAACGTTAAATGTTGTGTTATAATGAGGTTGAGATAGTGGTTTATGAAAATATCAACCGATATCCTGGGGCTATATAATACCCAGAATTACCAGCTGATATTTCACAAACGACCAATTTTGATTAAAAATTAAAATTTAATCCACATTTATATTGAGTAGTACCTAGAAATTGCACAATGAATAATTCTTTGTACATCATAATATTATATCGTTGATTAATGAATCATACTTAAATTTATTTAGATCATGCTTTTGATTTAATTAAAATTTTACCTTCTTCTTTAAGAGTTACGGTAAGTCTTTTAGACAACTCTAACTGTTCAGATAACCTGGCGGCCGCCTGTAAACCTTGTTTGCTTTCCTCCAGCTGTTGTTTTATGTTGTGAATTTCCCTCTTTAATTCTTCCTGCACGCTTTTTTCCACGGCTATTTGCCTCCTTATACGTTCTGTCTCCTGATGTACATCCTTTTCTTTATCTAGAAAATAAAACAATAATAATACTAAAATTAAAGGGATAAAATATTCTTACCTTTTCTGAATTGCTCCAAGACAAACTGTAAGTTGGCTAACGCCGCACCCTTTTTGTTATTCTCATCTTCTGCGTCGGACATTTTTCTTCTCAACTCCTCGCGTTGGCTGGTTAAAGATTGCACTTGTTTTTGTAAAACTTCGACTTGCTGGTTGGCCCTTATGCTGATGGAAGTGTACATGGTGCTCGAATTCTTCTCCTTTTCCTCGATATCTTTGACTTTACTCAAGAGTTCTGCATTTTTCCGCTCAGCCTCCACAAGTTCCTGGGTGAGAGTTTCTTCGACTTCGATCAAATGCGTTTTAAGCCTATCGAGTTCTTTTAGCAGGGATTGCTCCCTCTCACTGGTGCTGGATTTTTCCGATAATACTGTTTGTACTTTCGATTGCTCTTGCAGCAAATTTTCGGCCAGAACTTCGCATTTTTGCTTCAGAAAACCATTTTGGTCCGTCAATTTTTCATGTTCTTCTTTAAGTTTGTTGAATTCTTCGCTTCTTACTAGGTTTTGTTGCTGCATCTCCAAGTTTGTGCTTTTTTCCGATTCCAGCTGCAACATTTGCATCAACCTCTGAATTTCGTTGTAATAAGTTACACTTTCTTGGTCTTTTGTTTTAACCATCGCTATTAATTCGTTTCTTGATGCATTCATTTGCTCTATTTCCTTTTCTTTCGTTGCAAATGCTTGTTGGAGTTTCTCATGATTCGAAACCAATTCAGTTAATTTTGTTTGTAGGTCTTTCATGTCATTTTCCAGGTATATTTTGCCCTCCAATGCAGCTTTTAACTGTTCACCACTGTTTGTTGACTGTACTGGTATTATTGTTTCCTTTATCACATCATTTTTATTTTCAATTGTGGATAATTTTTTTTCCAACTCCTCAACACTTAGCTTTAAATCTACCAACTCCGCATCTTTAGCAACTCTCATGTTATTTAAATCCTCCACCAACTCCTCATTCTTCTTTTTCATTTCCAAACAATTACCTTCAAGCTCTTTTATACGCATTGCACTCGTATTTAAGTTATTTTTGCCTTCGTTAGCTACTACTAATTCTTTACTTAGAGCATCGCACTGCAATTTTAGCTGCGTTTCCGAAATTTTGCAAGCCTGCAACTTTTCTTTCAACATTCTTATTTCCGACTCGCCTTTTCTCCTCTGATCTTCCTCTAATAGTAACTGTTCGCGAACAAAGTTAAGCTCCGTTCGTATATCCTCGGTGTTGCAGTCGTTTTCATTCTGTCGTTGCATTAGCAATTGTTTTTCTTTCAGTATTCTTTCGATTTCCATTTTCGCCAGTTCCAATTCGTCCTTTAAACCCTCCATGTTAATGTTCAACTCAGACGATTGGTACTCGGAATTCTCCAAATCGGATTTGAGTTTGTCCAGATCGTGGTTCAAATTTTCGATTTCTAGACTGCTCGATTTTAAATCGCCTTCGGCTACTTTCAAGTCGTGCTTGTAACTTTCGCTGTCGATCAAGAGTTGGTCGTATTTGCCCAGTAAATCTTGGAAGTCGTGACTTTTGTTTGTGGTATCTACTTCAAGTTTTTGATTTTGACTGTCTTTCTCGTTCTCCATGTCCAGTATGATTTTTTCCAGTTCCTCGATACGGATTTTGGAAATATCTAACTGCGTTTCTAGCGGTATGGAGTCATCTTCGTGGAATGTTTTATGTTTTTCGTAATCATCTATTACGCCTTCCAGGTAATTTATCCTTTTATTTGCATCTTCCACTTCAGATTCTAACATTATAACATTCTCTTCGTTGGTTTCTGTGATTGTTTGGAGCCCTGAATTATTCTTATGGGCGTCCAACTCTTTAATAAGCAGTTCGTTATTTTTCTCCAATTCGGAACATTCATTTTCGTACTCTTTCACGATTCGCGATTTAGAAATAACTTCTTGACTTAACTCTTCAGAATTTTGTATCAATTTTTCAATCTCATGGTTTTTCTCTGAAAGAATTTTATTTTTGTCCTGATTCAACTCAAAAACTTCCTTTTCAAGAGACTCGATTTTTGTTTTAAAATCCAGGAGCATGTCCAAAATATTTTCCACTTGCTTTTTGAACTCGCTCAGTTCATTATCCTCTTCTGTGTTGCTATCTGAAGTTTTTTCGCCCTCTAGATATCTTTTCACGTTTTCCGTTACAATATTAACATACTTCTTGTGGACTCCTTGATTTTCCTCGGTTAATTCTTTATATTGTTTCGACAAACTTTCATATTTAACGCTCAACTTCTCAATGTCTTCCAAACTTTGATTATTAGCCGCCTTTAACTCTTTTATGAGTTGATCGTAACCTGCTATATTATCTTGTTGGCTGTGTAAAGTTGACAGTTCTTCCTTCAACGCGCTCACTTGTTTCTCATAGCTGTCCAAGATGTCGGCCAATTTGGCGCAATTCTCCGTATCTTCGATGTTTTTCCTTTCAAACTCAGTGATTGCTTGCTTGGATTTTTGAAGTTCGGCGTAAAGGAGTTTGTTTTCGTTCTGAAGTATGGTTACGGAATCTTCGTCGGCGTTTTTTAGGTCTTCCAATACTTTTTGCAGGGTTAAGTTGGCACTTTTAACGAAGGTTAGTTCTTTTTGGCACTCTTCAATATCGTGTTTTAGCTTGCGGTTTTCTTCTATGATTGTTGATTGATTCGAGGTTTCATTTGGGGTTGAAGGTTGCTTTTGTTTTAGAGCGTCATATTTGCTTTTAAGTTCCTCAAACGATTTCTTAAAATTTGCTTCTTTTATATTGAACTTTTTATTCATTTGCTGAAGCTGTTCGCATTTTTCTTTGACCTCGTTATTTTCCTCCTGCAATTTATCTTTAATCGACATTATTTCGGAAATGTTTTGTTGGTTGTCAGAGTCCAACTGCTCGAGTGCCGTTTCCAGTTCATTTTTTTCGGTTTTCAGTTGTTCCACAAGTTTTTTCAGGTTTTCCACCGTTTTTGTATCGTCGTTTTGGCTGCTTTCCGGCTTTGGTGGTATGAGAACTTGTTCTTGCCAGTTCCAAGTGTCTCCGAAAGCATTCGATTGGGAAGATTCGCCATTGTTCTGGAAAATAAATATTAAAATTAATATACTTAAGTGATTGCACACATCTAAATGCATCCATATTAGACAAACATTACCCTGTATGACTTTAGGTTCCAAAAATAAAAAAATTAAAGCCCATTGCTGAAAGAGGGAATGTCCAGTGTTTCCGTTATTAGAAGAAGCACTGGCATAAGGGTCTAGTGTACACGGTGTGCCTGAACGAAGTTTAAGTCACATAAAAATGCCGCCAAAAACTGATTGCAGTTTCTTGTGACTTTGGTGACTTAAAAATGATATTTACCAAAATTCTAACTGCTCTCTAAAAATGAAATAGTCAAAATTTTACTATTTGAATTAGTACCAGCATTTTTTACTAATAAAATAGTCGTTTTCACTTTATAATAGTTATTTTTTACTACGTAAATAGTTAAAGTTTGACTAATTTAACATTAGTCACCATATTTGACTATTTCTGACAGTTTAAAGTAACTAATTTCTTTAATCGTTTACGGCCAACAACAAAGTATTATTTGAATTAAATGCATGGTTAAATGACCCATAAAACAAATAAAGATGCAAAAAGTTTAGCTCAAAACAGTAACACAAATAATATATTAAACTTTAAAATATTATGAACAATATTTATTGACAAATAAAATTTATTTTTATAAGAGCGGCTGACAGCCGACTGGTTATGAGGTTAGGTTGACAAGCTTCTCAAGTGACAGACGTGAGTTCAATCCCAGGCTGGGTCAAAACTTTTTTTAAATTTAAATTTACTAATTTAACTATTTCATTCAGTGGAATTTGACTAATTATTAGTGACTGCTTTTTCGCTATGACAATTAGTCAAATATGACTTATAATTAGTTATTTTTGACTAATTCATTTTAAGAGAGTGCTTTTTGTACACCGATTTTTATAAAATTAAAGTATATTATTGAGGAGACTTAAAGAATACTTTTTAATACTTTTCACATCGTTTGATATATACAGGGTGAGCCAAAAATCGCTTATTTTTAATAAAGCAAAAGCGTTAATTTATGATTTTGGCATAACACGCAAAAAAGATTTATCCCCATTTTTTTTTAGATATTTCTACGTTTATCAGGTTACAAAATGGCATTCTTATTAACCTTTTATAAAAAAAAATATTTTTTTAATAAAATAAAATAAAATATCGCTTAGAGAATAAAATGTTGTTTAATTTAGGCTTTTTAGTAGTTTTTAATTTTGAACGAAAAACTGGTTAAAGTTTTTTGATCGGCACTCTTTGGAGATTTAAAAACTATATTTACCAAAATTCTAACTGCTTTTTTTTTAATTTGTTAAAAAATCATTTTCTTATTAATTATTTTTTTATCGCAAACTCTACCTTTGCCAGAGTACACATTTGTACACCGATTTTTATTGATTGCAGTTTTTTGTTTGGGACCCTTTGGTAACTTTAAAATGATATTTACCTAAATCCTAGCTGCTCCTATTTTCGAAATTTTTTGAAAAATCTTTTTTTTTTTAATTTTTGTTTATCTTACCTTTGATTTTTATAATATTGGAGTATATTATTAACGAGACTTGGAGAATACTGTTTTCATACTGAGCACATCATTAGATTTATACAGGGTTAGCCAAAAATCACTTTTTTATATAAGTATATATAGTAAAAAGCATAATGCACAAAAAAGATTTATTTCCAAAAAATGGTATTTTATTTAATTTTATTCAAAATCAATTTTTCTTATAAAGTTTTGATAAGAATCCCATTTTGTAGCCTGATAAACATAAAAATATCTAAAAAAAACATGGGTGGGTATATATCTTTTTTGCGTGTTATGCCAAAATCATGAATTTACGCTTTTGCTTTATTAAAAGAAGCGATTTTTGGCTAACCCTGTATAAATTAAATGATGTGCACAGTATAAAAAAGTATTCTCCAAATCTCCTTAACAATATACTCCAATAATAAAAAAAGTTTGTGGACATTTTTATAAAATCATTAGATATTACACCGTGTGTAATACACACGGTGTAATAAGTTTAAGTCACATAAAAATGTCGCCAAAACTGATTGCAGTTTCTTGTGACTTTGGTGACTTAAAAATGATATTTACCAAAATCCTAGCTGCTCCTCTTTTCGAAATTTTTTGAAAATTCATGATTTTTTTTAAATTTTGGTTTATTTCATTACACATTTGTACACCGATTTTTATAAAATTAAAGTATATTATTAAGGAGACTTAAAGAATACTTTTTAATACTTTTCACATCATTTGATATTTGATATTTGAAAATTCATGATTTTTTTTAAATTTTGGTTTATTTCAGTACACATTTGTACACCGATTTTTATAAAATTAAAGTATATTATTAAGGAGACTTAAAGAATACTTTTTAATACTTTTCACATCATTTGATATATACAGGGTGAGCCAAAAATCGCTTATTTTTAATAAAGCAAAAGCGTAAATTTATGATTTTGGCATAACACGCAAAAAAGATTTATCCCCATTTTTTTTTAGATATTTCTACGTTTATCAGGTTACAAAATGGAATTCTTATTAACCTTTTATAAAAAAAAATAATTTTTTAATAAAATAAAATAAAATATAGCTTAGAGAATATATAAAATGTTGTTTAATTTGGGCTTTTTAGTAGTTTTCAATTTTGAACGAAAAACTGGTTAAAGCTTTTTTATCGGCACTCTTTGGAGATTTAAAAACGATATTTGCCAAAATTTTAACTGCTTTTTTTAATTTGTTAAAAAATCATTTTTTTATTAAATATTTTTTTATCGCAAACTCTACCTTTGCCAGAGTACACATTTGTACACCGATTTTTATTGATTGCAGTTTTTTGTTCGGGACCCTTTGGTAACTTTAAGATGATATTTACCAAAATCCTCGCTGCTCCTTTTTTTTAATTTTTGTTTATCTTACCTTCGACAGAGTACACATTTGTACACCGATTTTTATAATATTGGAGTATATTGTTAACGAGACTTGGAGAATACTGTTTTCATACTGAGCACATCATTATAAAGGTTTAGCCAAAAATCACTTTTATATAGTAAAAAGCATAATGCACAAAAAAGATTTATCTCCAAAAAATGTTATTTTATTTAATTTTATTCAAAATCAATTTTTCTTATAAAGTCTTGATAAGAATTCCATTTTGTTGCCTGATAAACATAAAAATATCTAAAAAAAACATGTTATGCCAAAATCATGAATTTACGCTTTTGCTTTATTAAAAGAAGCGATTTTTGGCTAACCCTGTATTTATTAAATGATGTGCACAGTATAAAAAAGTATTCTCCAATATACTCCAATATTATAAAAATCGGTGTACAAATGTGTACTCTGTCAAAGGTAGACTTTAAGATAAACAAAAATTTAAAAAAAAATCATGAATTTTCAAAAAAATTCGAAAAGAGGAGCAGCTAGGATTTTGGTAAATATCATTTTAAGTCACCAAAGGGTGCCGAACAAGAAATTGCAATCAGTTTTTGGCGGAATTTTTAAACTTCGTTCAGGCACACCGTGTGTAATATCTAATGATTTTATAAAAATGTCGACAAACTTTGTTTTACTTTTGAAAGTAATAGTTTAGACTCTCCATCCCATACTAAAAACCTCTAGTAAATTTGGCCGAGAAATTTTTAAAATTTTCAAAAGAATTAATATTTTTTTATTAAATTTACCACCCTGTATATCTAAAACAAAGCTTTAAAATATACAAGTTCGTATAAACAGATTCTAGTATAGCTTTAAGTTAGTTAAGATAGTGAAAATTTGTTTAGAAAACTAACTGTTATTAGTGGCATAAACAGCGGCCCTAAAGACGGCTAAAGACGACAGACAGCCAGTTAAAAAAAGTCTAGAAACTCGACCAATTAGCGCGTAAGTGTAGGTATAGTGCCGGCCCGAACCAACGGTAATGTCGTTTTCAAACGGCACTGGTGCATAATATTATAATTTTTATGTCTCTTGCTTTTTAAGCAATATAGACGCGTCGTCTATAATGCCCTTATAATTGGAATTTATGTCTTTAAATGTGATGTTTTATTTATGGTATAAATGGGCTATACAGTGCCGGAGAAGCTTGTTGAATATAGATAAGACTTTTTAAATACTTTGTTAATGTGTATTTTGTTGATGTAGGGAATTTAATTTCGCGCTAAAATGTTATAAAAACCTTGAGTTTATCTGCTTGCAAATATTGCAAAGATGCGGAAAAGTTTATGTATTTATTTATACCATGTAGACTGTTTGGATAGTTTAAAATCCCACTTAAAATTATTATTTTCCAAAAACATTAAAATATCCTTAAAAATGTATGCTCAAAGTTTTTGCTATAAATGCGGGGCATTTAATATGCTTTCTCCGTCGTGTTGTATACATTATTGTTTTTAAGCGTTTAATAATTCTGTATTACATTGAAATTTTCGAGTTTGCTACATTTTGATAAAGCGGCGATTTCAAGCGGACGGACGGGACAAATCACAAAACTATTTTTATAAAAAAAATTGTAGGTAATTTATTATACATTATTTTTGCATCAAAATTGGTAAATATATTCTTTATTTATTAGGCTATACATTAAATAAAAAAAATCGCAAGAAATATTTTATAAAAGTAGAGATAATTTCAATAATTGACAGGACGAGCTAAATCTTTTTTTGTCCCGTCCACACCTTTCAATAATTAATAATTATTATTAAAATTATTAATTATTAATAAATAATTATTATTAAAATTATCTCTACTTTTGGGTATTTAAAGAAAACCTTACCCCACCTTGACAAAAAATCAGATTTGTTGTATATATCTGAAGTCAAATAGTTTAATTCCGACGTAATTTATAACCTTAAAATATTCGTACATTGTGATGCTAAGAAGCTAAAATTAAGAATAAATACGGAAGAGTTACAATACTCGATAGAATGTTCAAATGTCGCACCCGTTACATTTTAAGAAAATTTTAGAAAATAAAGTATGTACTTTTTGAGCATTTAAAAT